TGAGTCATGCAGGAACAAAGCTATCAATCCATTTTCTTTCTTTTTCTGTTTTTGTTTTCTTCAAATTATTTAGTGAAGGGTGACAAACATGATGTTCCTTTCGTGGCCAGAAAGAAGACCTGGTCCAACACACGCACATGGAATTATTTTAAACATTTCAATTTAAATGGTATTTTATATTTTTAAATTTATTAGTCTTTTATATAACGTGCACGATACTCATTTTTATATATATTATTTAGATTAAAATAAATACAAGTGATTACTTTGTATTGTTTGGATTGAGTCATGCAGGAACAAAGCTATCAATCCATTTTCTTTCGTTTTCTATGTTTGTTTTCTTGAAATTATTTAGTGAAGGGTGACAAACATGATGTTCCTTTCGTGGCCAGAAAGAAGACCTGGTCCAACACACGCACATGGAATTATTTTAAACATTTCAATTTAAATGGTATTTTGTCTTTTTAAATTTATTAGTTTTTTATATGACGTGCGTTGACTATACTCATTATATATATATATATATCATAAGTTTTGTTTAGATTAAAATAAATACAAGTGATTAATTTGTATTATACTTTACCGTAAAAATTACTTGTAATGTTACTTATAATGTACTTAATTCTATTTTTATATAATGGAGTGATTTTTAGAATAAAGTTCAATCCAAACCTTAGATCTAATCCTTTAGTCCATAATTTATAAATATAAAATTTTAAAATCCTAATAGGCACTCAAAAAGAAAATCAAGTCATCACTCATCTTCAATCCCTGTTCTCAACCCCAAATCAATATCTATATACAACTATAATGAAGAATAATAATAAATTATTTTTACCAACGCGTCAAAGAAAAGAAATGAGAAGATAATCTGAAAATCAAGTCATCACTTCATCTTCAATCCCTGTTTCTCAAACGCCCAAATCAATATCTATATAAACATATGAAGAATAATAATAAGACAACTATAATGAAGAATAATAATAAATTATTTTTACCAACGCGTCAAAGAAAAGAAATGAGAAGATAATCTGAATTGATAATGAAAATCACTTTGACCACAATGACAGTATTATTTACCAAGTATATCAGACAAAGGAATATATGCACACACATACAAATTCTTGAAACCCAAAAAGTGACAAAACAGAAATATATAGTTCTAGTTTTATTTTTTTTTCCAGTTTCCTAAACATTATTTTTTTTTTAGTCGAACAGATTTAAGATATAACAGAAAAAATATTAAGAAAATTAAAAATGCTTAACCATCAATAGGCCATCTATTTATTGCAAGGGCGATATAAATCTCTTACTAAATTAAAATGATGATTTAGTAGTTACAAATTATTCAATAACGAAAAGAAATAAAATTATTATCTAAGAACCTCACAACCTCTTTCCAAACTCATCCTTACCAAAAATTACAAAAAAAAAAATCAACTATATATACCGGAGTACTACCAATATCAATAAAATCATCTATATATATTCTCTAAAAATTAAATTTTATGCTTGTCTACCATTCCATGCTTGTATATGTAAATTCTATCTTTGACAAATTACTTTAAAAAAAAAATTTCCATTCCAAATATCCTCATATTAAATCATAAAGAACAAAAAATTAATTAAAATAAATATACTTTTTTTTATCTCTCTCCTAAATCACAAAATATTATAGTAAATATATATTAATTTTAAAATGTTATCTCTTTTAAAAATATGTCTTAAATCCAATATCATACAAAACCATAAACATAAAGAAAAAGAATACTAATAAAAAAATATAATTTTCTTCTTTTTATCTTATATTTTAAAGAATTAAATATTTATAAATAAAATATATAAAAATTTCAAATGTCGCACATCATATACTATTCATTAAAAATAAATTTAATAAATATAAAAATTTATGAAATGTAGAGATGCTTAAATATATATTATTTAGTCTTAAAAAAGGGAAACAATTATTAATTTTCGTCCCTAAAGGTTTTACAGATTTATTAATATCATCGACCATTCTACTATTATATTACCCTCTTCTATAAAAACGTCCCTGAGGTTGCCACCGTCACTATCTAATCTGGTCTTCCGTAAAAAAAAAAACTTTTCGTTAATTTGGAGAAGAACAAAACGAACATCTATGTCCTTTGAAAAAGATAATTATCCTCCCTGAGGTTTGTCCATAATTATAACTAGCTTCCTTACATCTATAACCAACTTTATACACGTCCCTGAGTTTACTTCTCTCAGATTATTGGTCCGTCGATAAAAAAAAACTACATTTTCTCGGTATTTTGACCGTCATGAGTGGAAAAGACGACAATTATCCTTTATAAGTTCTTCATTACATTATATTAATCATTTTCCTCTAAATACCTTGTAACTCACATTATTTACTATCTTCCCTCAATCCACATGCGGTCTTCCATTGCCCTCATTGCCACCACCGTGTCAATGAAAACTATCTCTCCATAACTAGATCACTACCAAAACTAAAACCCAACATCCAAACTCAATCAAGCCATCATCACCCTTTATCCGTTTATCTCTCTCTCCTTGATTAGAGGATTTAGGGTACTTTGGTCATTCTATTAAAAATTAACAGCAAAAAGTGTGTTTTTTGGACGAAAGGACCAAGTAATATGACGAAAGTAACCTCATGGAGGTTATAAATATTTGTATAAATGGCGGGGACTACTTAAATAATTATGGCAAACCTCAGCGACGAAATAATTATTTTTCCTTTTAGTTTTGTTGGTGATGGTGATCTCGGTTATGTAGATGATACTTAGATAGAACACCTACGAGGCTAGGATGGCAATGAAAAAAACCCGGTTGGTGAGAGATGGTTTTAAAATTGTCCATATTCCATGTATTTCTAAAAGGAAAAGGTACTTTGACAATAATGTCCAACGAAAACTTTATAAACGCGACTAAAATTTCATTCTTTCAAGCTCAAAACTTACGGGAAAAAGATGTTTTTTGTTTATAAGGACCCAATTAATTATGACGGAAAGAAACCTCAAGAGACGTTATAAACTATGTGACTAAATTGTCAAGGACTACTTAATAATTATTATGGCAAACCTCAGGGAACAATAATTATTTTTTCACGAGCGATATCCTTCGTCTTTTTCTCTCAAAATTAACGGCAAAAAATCTTATTTTTTGACGAAGACAATTATCTATTGACGTGGTTGAAAAAACCTCAAGACTGTTATTAAAAATACTGTGACGTTATAAATATATGTATAAATGTCGAGTTCTACTTAAATAATTATGTAAAACCTCAGGGACGAAATAATAATTTTCCCTTTAAAAAGTTATTTTTTTGATTCATTAGGAGGCATGATGACCGAAATAATATCAATTGCTGCACAACAATCCAATTGGTAACTCACCTAATAAAAAAAAAAAATTTCAATGTATATCGATATAAAAATATATCAATAAAATATTATTTTTTAAATTAAAAATTTCAACTGTTTACTATCACGGTTTAATTATGTAAATTCTATTTAATAATTTACTTTTTAAAAAATTTATCCAATCAAATCTTACAAACATAAAAAATAAAAATATTAATACTTTTTTTATCACACTCACTTGAAAATTATTTTTTTTAATATCCAATTATAATTCATACAAAACATAAAGAAAAATAATCAGTTTTCTTATCTATCTTTATTATATATTTCTGAAAAAAAATTACCAATATTTAATAAAATAAAATACTAAAAAATTTCACAATATCTCATGAAAAAAATTTCAAATATCTCATTATCATATATATTCATCAAAAAATAAATTTAATAAAGATAAAACTTTTGAAATGCTTAATTATTTATATGTATTTATTTAAAAAATAATTTTTTATTCATTACGAGACATGATGAACCGAAATAATATTGTTAAAAACACTTATGTTCGAAAGAATTAGAACTCGAGATCTCTCACTCTTCGCATGAGTGAGAAGATAATCAAGCCGCACATGATCGGTTAAAAAAATAATTTTTAAAAATTATATCCAATCAACTAATAAACTGTAATTTTTTAATTGACCGCCATTAATGGTATTTTAGAACATTTTAAATTTTATTAAAAGTGATATAAAATTATTCTCCATTTCCATATATAGTATATATATGAGCAAAATACTTAAATCTTCACTTTTTTTAAGCATTTTTAGTTCAAAAAATTATTTGATTTCAATTAGAAGGATCAAAATTGAACTCCATTATTGAAAATTTTCGTTTTCATTTGATTTTGGGGAAAATTATTTACTTAAATGATTAGCTAGTTTTAGTGGATTTTGGATAATATTTTGAAATTTTTGTTCCTTTTAATTTTAGTACATTGAAATCAAGATATTTTCAATTTGATATATAATTAATTTCGGTTTTAAATTTTTTAAAATCAAAATTAGATGAATTTTGGATTAGTTAGATGTATTTTACATCGAGTTACCAAATGAAGAACTAATAAGAAGAAAAACATCTGTCAAATTAATAGGATACTAAAAAAATAAATTCTGAAAATTGGGTTGTGATTTGCATTTTTATTTTAACGAAAGGGCTAAACTATAATTTGCTGATAATCCACCAGTTCAAGCTAGCCAAGCCAAACGATAAGCCGTCTTTCTCTGTAAAAAATGAATACGCGTAGCCGTAAGTTTGAACTCGAAACTAGTTATGTAATCACGAAAACACCACCTAATCCCTTTTTTTTTTTTTTTTTTAACGATCGCGTAGCGTAAGTTTAGAACTCGAAACTAGTTTATGTAAACACGAAAACACCACCTATATCCCCTTTTTTATTTTTTTGTTGTTCCTTCCTATTATTATAATTTAAATTTTATGTATACTCTCTACTTTGTCAATTTTCCCACTTTCTCTTTTTTTTTTTTTTTTTCCTATTATTTAATTTAATTTTAATGTTACTTCAATTTTAATAAATAAATAAAATATAATATATAAAATATTTCTGCGCATATATATCTATATCTCTCTGTATACATACAAATCCAATAAAGCCAGCCTGAAAAGGTTCAGTGATTCACATCTCTCCTTCTCTTTGAAACGTATCAAATCTCGCACATTTCCCCAGTACAATAACCTGACCGGAACACAACCGTACCGGCAGCTGCTTCCTTCCTTCCGATAAGTGGTGGCCTGATTCTTCGGCAGCAATGTGTAGGCCACGCGCTTTTGCTTCACTATTAGCTGGGTTTATACTACTTCATTTGTTATCTTTTGTTTCTGCTAAGGGATCTACTAATCGTTGGCAAACACTTAGCGGTGAGTCTTTGTTTTCTTTGTTTTTTTCGAGCTCTTTCTCTTCTTTCTCACTCTATAATTCAGTTTTGCTTACATTTTCTCTCTCTATAAGATGCATGGAAATTTGGTACTTCGATTTTCAGTTTTTTTTATTAAATATTTTAGCTGATTGATTACCAAGTATTTTTAGTAGGAGATAGAGTAATTGGTTTCATTAAACAAAGAAATTTTGAAAAAAAAAAAATTATTTGATTTTTGGAAAAATCAGTGGCAAATTTGATCTCGGAATTTTTTGTTGTTTAAAGCTTAATGTATAGATTTTCCCCTCTATCTCAGAAATTTAGTAATCAAATTTATTTGATGTAGATTTGGATTATTGAGTCTACATTATTTCCGCAGGTTGTTTTCCTATTTTCTCGTTAAATAGAGATACTCTCCCTAAATGCAGGGGAAGCTTAGTTGTCTGGATGAATTTTTTTTTTTTTTTAAATTTTTGAGCCGGAAAGCATTGACCGAAATAAAAAAGAACCTTTTTTTTTTTTTTTTTAATTGCAAGGGAAGCTTAGTTTCTGGATTGAATTTTTTTTTTTTCTTTAAATTTTTGAAGGTTCCGGAAAGCATTGACCGATAATAAAAAAGAATCCTTTTTTTTTTTTTTTTTTTGAAAAAAATTATTATTTGCCCACTTATAAATTTCTTGTGCATTGTAGAATTTGATGTTTTCGAGTGGCGCCTAGATAAATCATTTGGCGAATTGAACTCTAACCAAACAGTTTGCCATGTGAGAATAACAGGCGTTCAATTAAAATGTAATATCCTGTTGTTTCGCTCATAACCTTCTCCTTGTAGTGGCGTTTCGACGTCTTCCATGGGTACAGTGAGGCGACGGGAAATATAACATTTTGGATTTTGAGAAAAAGATTCCATCCATAAGCATTTGATCAGAAACCTTTTTTTTTTTTTTTTTTGAAAAAAAATTATTATTTGCACTATAAATTTTCTGTGCATTGTAGAATTTGATGTTTTCGAGTGCCTAGAATATTTTGGGAATTGAACTCAACCAAACAGTTGCATGGAGAATAACAGGCAGTTCAATTAAATGTATATGTTGTGCTTCAATAACCTCTCCCTGTAGTGGCTTCGACGTCTATGGTACAGTGAAGGCGACGGAAATATAACATTTTGGATTGAGAAAAAGTCTCCATAAGCATTTGATAGAATTGAGTTTTAGCCATAATTTTGAGGACTTATTTTCAACAATTTTGTATGAACTCATTGCTTTATATCCCTATTGCAGGAAATCCACCTTTAGTTGTAGCGCGGGGAGGATTTTCAGGAATATTTCCAGATTCCAGCTCATATGCTTATCAATTGGCTTTGGCCACTAGCGTACCAGATGTAGTGCTATGGTGTGATGTGCAGTTAACTAAAGATGGAGTAGGAATTTGTGCTCCTGATGTCAGGCTGGAAAATTCTACTGATATTTCATTATTTTTCAAAAATAGGGAGAGTACTTACATAGTTAACGGTGTCTCCACCAAAGGATGGTTTTCAGTGGATTTCACTTTTAGTGAATTAATATCAAACATCGGCCGTAAGTTCACGGTTCTCCATGTATTTACTCGTTAAATTCTGATACCCTGTTAACTTTTGATTATCTTTATAGGTTATTAATGTCTAAAAGCTTTGTGGGGTTTATCTATATCTCCCGGGTTTATCTATATCTTGAGGGAGAAGGAAGAAGCATTGGCTGCTTATTAAAACAGGGAGGGAGGGGTTCCTAAGATGTAACACTACCTTAGAAAAGTAATAGGAGGAGGAACCAGTGAAAATATCAGGACATCAAAATACTGTTATTTCTGTGTTTTTATTCTTTTAGATACTCTTATATTCAAGTTGCTTTTTAGAAATTACAGGCACTAATCCTTCCTCGTGGATTTTGCAAGGATAAATATAAAATTGAAAGAAGTTGCAGCCCTTTACTGTCAATAGTGCACTTTTCTTATTATAACTATCCATTACACTATTCAAAATTACTACTTATAAATGTTGTATGCTTATACACTGTAGTTATAATTGGAACCCTCTTAACACATGAATAATTCCCTCTTCTTTGATGATGCTCTAACCTTACATCATTCAAGTGAATTAATTGCATGAGTAATTTCCTTCTCCTTGTTGCTCCAGTGAGCTTACATCATTCAAATGGATTAGTTGCATGCCTGAAGCCTAAAGTCCAAGTTCCACTGATGAACTTTGTTGCTTTGTCTGTATGCTTGATTATGTTAATCTTGTTGTTCACTGTCATTATTGGCCCATTTGTATACAAGCTTTGCCTGATGGATGGATGAGACTTACAATAATTCATATTACTTTCCTGAATAAAGGAAATGGTTGATAACATTGGTTCACTGAGTGATGACTGGTCATTTTGTCGCAATTACCTAATTGCAGGAGCACTGGATTTTTTATTTTGGCATTTGGATGTACTTTGATTGATTGTCCATTTAACCTGGGAGTAAACTATATTTTTCTGATACTGGTTTCTATGGAACTCCTTGTCTGGTCACATTTCTTATGAAAGAAAACCACCCCACTTACTGGTCTAACCACTTTATTCTAGACTTTAGTTCTAATTTGCGTTTTATTTGAGCTGTGACACTCAGATTCTGACAACTACTTTACTGTGACAGTTACCCAGGGAGTCTATTCTCGATCTAATATGTTTGACAGCAATCTTTTTCCAATTCAAACCGTTGAAAATGTGACTGCGCTAAAACCACCGGGCACGGGCACATGGTTGAACGTTCAGGTAGATGACTGAAAAAATTTTCCTGTCTATGTCAGATAAATGCCTTCTTTATTTTGGTTTTTGTTTTTCTTGTCATTGTTACTGTTCCGTTTTATTCAAATTCAAGAGTATACGCTTTCCTTGCTATCACTTCAAACCAACCTTTTTGTTTGATTCTTTTGCAGCATGATGCTTTCTTCACACAACACAACCTTAGCATGAGAAATTATGTACTTGCTATATCTAGAAAAGCGGTTATCAATTACATCTCATCGCCAGAGGTTGGTTTCTTGAGAAGTATTGCTCCACGAATCAACCCTAATATAACAAAATTGGTCTTCCGATTTCTTGGACCCAGTGATATTGAGCCTTCAACAAACCAGACTTACAGTGCTTTCCTCAAGAATTTAACATCTATCAAGACATTTGCCTCTGGAATTCTTATCCCTAAGAATTATATTTGGCCTGTCGATGCAACTCTTTATTTACAACCTCATACTTCTGTTGTCTCGGATGCACACAAGGCAGGGCTAGAAGTTTTTGCATCTGAATTTTACAATGATGTTCCATTTAGTTTCAATTACAGTTATGATCCAGTGACTGAATATCTATATTTCGTTGACAATGGTGACTTCTCCGTTGACGGTGTGCTATCTGACTTCCCAATAACTGCATCGGAAGCATTAGGTGGGACATCTTCTCCTTCTGTCCTCCTTTAATATCATGCATCCATACTGATTGTGAAGTATCGGTTCTTCTTATTGTATAATATTATCTGCCTTTTATAAATTGCATTTCTGATGCCAACCTCAATTAGTATGAAACCTAAGTAATTTATTTTGGGAACAAGAGAAGTGGACTCATCTACATTGTTTTTAGCTTTCTAGCATCTTCAAATTGAATAAGTTTATCAGTTTTTTGTCAGGAACATTCTGGTCAAATGGAACTCTCATTTTGCTTTTAATTGTTGCACTTCTGACTTTTCATGAATGCCTACTTTTCTCTAAGTTTACAATCCAAGTGCTGAACTTTCTGTGTATGTTATACTGACTTGTACCTAAGAAAGATGCACTGCCACTGCTAGAGTGTACTCTTACTCAGCTAATGCATAATTGCTGGTTTTATTGTCCTAGTCTGGATGAACAAATATTTTCAGGTGCTTATTCCTCCTTTTATATTGCAGATTGCTTTTCTCATTTAGGCAAAAATGCTTCAACACAAGGTAAGGCATCATTACATAATATATTGCATTTTATAACAAGATTTGACATTTCATCACCGTGTCTTTTGGAATCTTACTTTTACCTATTTCATTCACCTTGTCATGATCCAGTGGATGTTTTGGTCATCTCAAAAAATGGTGCAAGTGGAGATTACCCTGGCTGTACTGACAAGGCTTACCAGGCAGCAATTTCGGATGGAACAGATGTTATTGATTGTCCTGTTCAAATGTCAAAGGATGGAATACCATTTTGCTTAGGTTCCATAAATCTTATTGATAGTACAACAGTTGCTCAGTCCAACTATAGCAACCTTGCACAAATAATTCCAGAGATTAAAAAAGGCAGTGGAATATATACCTTTAGCTTGACATGGAATCAGATTCAGAAATTGACACGTAAGTCAAACTTGGTTCCTATTTACTTTTCTTTAGTGTACTCATCATTTCAATCCCCTAACTTCCTTCTCCTCACAGTAAAATATGGAAATTGGTTCTGAGTTCATATATGCATGATTCAATACTATGATGCAAATTAAATAAAATAGCTCGAACCTATAAGGAAGAAAGAGAGGTAAATATGTGCTGGCTAGTGCGCACTCTTGTGTATATGCAACTAGCTCAATACAATAATTTATTGGTTTGGGCTGGTGAGCTAAGACATCATACCTAGTCAATGTTGCTGCTTGAGAATTAATACTATATAAAAATAAACAAATAGAGAAATTGGAAGAGATCAGATAAAATTGTGAAAGGAGATGTTCTCTCTATGTTATTTTTTGAATATTTGAGATTTTTGTTGCATGCTTTTTATGGTTTTCTGCTTTACTAGCAATGAATGACTTAGTACGTAAGGGAAAGAACAGGAATGAATCACAGCTTTTGTGAACTCTTTTGTTCTTATATTCTATAACAATTACTTCTTTTCCCCTTCTGCCTTAAAAATATGCTTTGGCAATGCAATTGATGTTTGACTGTTCCATTATGTTCTGTTCTCCGGGAAGGTATAGCATCCTGAACCTGTTTTTCTATGAAAGATTTATTTTGTACTGATGTACTTCTTATTTTATATTAGCGATAATATCAAACCCGTATGCAAAATACGAATTGCTCCGGAATCCAAAGTTCAAAAATGTTGGGAATTTTTTAACTTTGTCTGATTTCTTGGACATGGCGAAGAATGCAAGCTCTCTCTCTGGTGTCTTAATCAGCATTGAGGTGGGTTTTTTCTATGCCGAAATAGTTGTTCACATTCCTTATTGCATGTTTTTTGGCTGCTGGTTGATTCTGGTGGCAGATCATGCCTCCTCCATGATCTCCTTCTCTCCAACTAGCTACCATTGTACTTGTGCAGTCGTGCATGTGTTTTGATCATTCAAAAAATTGAAAATAAAAATGATAAAGAAACCGTGGAAAAGAATGATCTCCTTGGAAAGCCATTCTCGGCATAAGAATCAACCTATAAATTTGCTTCTTGCGCTATTTTCTCTTAGGTCATATGCATGCTTGCCCTGCTGTCTTTCCCATCCATGCAATATACGTTTACTAGCTTTGAGATATTGAAACCAATATTTCCAGATACCCATTCACAGGGATGGATTAACCTGTCAGATTTTTCTGTTCCATGATCTACTTTCCAAACATCTGACTCTAAGCCCCTCCAGTTGAAATGCTTATCTTAAGATATATGGCTCGAGTAACCAAACTCTAGGAATGGACTTAGGCAGCTTTACTGGTTGGGTATAGCCTAGACTACTGTCTTGTTGGGTATAATTGTCATAATCAGTCATACATGATTGAAACACTGTTGATTTGGTAAAGCTTTATGAAACATCACATTCCAGCAGTTGCAATATCTGCATACATCTCATCTGGTGGGAGTATACGTCATCCTTTGCTTACTCAATTAAGAGAATACAATTTAATTGCTGAAACACTTCTTTGCCAAAATGGTCAAGGATTTGTCTACTTTTTATGAAGGAGCAAATTCAGCAGAATAATTTTTTTTTTTTTCTACCATGTCTTGATATTTTTACGTCTTCTGCTGCTTTCAGAATGCACCCTATCTTATAGAGAAGCAGCAATTACCCGTAACTGATGCAGTACTTGATGCCTTGAGCAAAGCTGGTTATGATAAACAGGTTGCACTCGAAGTTATGGTTCAGTCAACTAACAGTTCTGTTCTAATGAAGTTTAAGGGAAAAAGTCGCTACAATCTTGTTTACAAGGTTGATGAGGATATTCGAGATGCTCTTGATTCTGCCATTACAGACATTAAGACGGTTGCTGATTCTGTAGTGGTCAGCAAGAGTTCCGTCTTCCCTGACAATGCACTTTTCCTCACTGGTATTACAGATGTTGTACCAAGGCTAACTAAATCTGGGCTTCCCGTTTATGTGGAGACCTTCAGCAATGAGTTTGTGTCTCAAGCATGGGACTTCTTCTCGGATGCAACTGTGGAGATCAACACCTTCGTTGTAGAAGCCAATGTTAGTGGTATTATCACAGACTTCCCTAAAACAGCAGCTAGATACAAGAGTAAGTGGGGTTTCTCTCTTTCTATTCCTTTGACATTGGAATATTTAGGACACGTTTCATAGACCTCAGTGTAATGAGTTTTTATTTCTATTCAATTGCATTCTTTATCACATTACATGTTATTTGAGTTGCAATTCAAAGCTCAGAAGAATATACTATACCTATTACATCATCACTGTTTGGACTAGTAATATAATTGATTACATTGCATTATATTTTATCAGGGCCTTACCAAACATAGCCTTATCTTTGTGGGAAGGTTCATGCACAGTTGTTTTAGGAGCTTTATACTGAGATTTGATTTCTCCATTCTATTCCAGGGAACAGATGTTTAAATTTGGGTAAGAACATGCCTTCTTACATGAGGCCAGTTGAGGCCGGTGGTCTTATGCAACTAATTGCCAACTTGCCACCGGCCGAGGCTCCTAACCCAGTGCTAACAGAGTCTGATGTCATGGAACCACCTTTGCCCTCTGTTACAGCGAGAGGTCCATCTTCTAGCCCAGGTAGTGGAACTTCAGGTAGTGGAACTTCAGGTAGTGGAACTGCAGCAGCTCCAGCATCACCAAATGCACAACCTAAAATTGCTGTATGCTTGTTCCTGTCAAATCTGGCTATTCTCTTCACCATTCTTTTGCTGCTCTGAAATTGGAAAACAGACCATGATCACTCTGCTCAAGAAGATCATACTACATATTTCTGGTCTCTTTGTTTTAGGATCAAGTAGCATGGAGCTTTTTGCTGCATAATTGCTCACTGCAAATCTTTTTCTTCCTCACCTTTTGGTTATTTATTGAACAGCGATGCATTCTTTTTGTTTTGTCGATGTAGTAATTAATGTTCATTCTTCTTCTTCCCCTTGTATTTTGAGAGACACAGATTCTTGAGAGGGACATCATGTCAAGACGGATTCGTTACCCATTTCATCTTTGTAAGATAATTAATATTCTTTGGTGTGTATCATTCATGTGAAGTTTAGAGATGAACTGAACATGCCCGTTGCTCCTTTCAAAAAAAAAAAAAAAACATACCCATTGCTGAAACATGTTTTTTTTATTATTATTTTTAATTTTCTCGAATTTCTTTACCAATCAACTGGAGAAAAAGAAATGATAACAGCACCATTTCGTAATAGAAAATACTATCACCGTTACGGCTAAACATCAGTTAATAGCCAGCCGTTTCAAAGCACAAAGTCTTACACGTTATTGTATTAAAAAAAAAAAAAAAAAAAAAAATTTTTTTTTTTTATTATTATTTTTAATTTCCTCGAATTTCTTTAAAACACCAATCAACTGGAGAAAAAAGAATGATAACAGCAACCATTTTCGGTATAGAAAAAATATCTATCCACCGTTACGGCTAAACATCAGTTTTGTTAATAGCCAGCGCGTTTCCAAAAAAGGCACAAAGTCTTAACACGATTATTGTATTAAAAAAAAAAAAAAAAAAAAAAAAAACAATGTCTCTCAAAAAAAAAAAAAAAAAAAAAAAAACAATGTCTCTCTTCATTTTCTAGGTGATTTCGACTCTAAAATAATCCAGTTGACCTCTTCGTTTGTCCAACGGCATTCCTTGCATCATGCTTTGGCGTCCATGATGTCATATCCATTTTGATGGGCCCCTCTCTTTTTAAATGGACCCCGCCTCCATCAATACCAGGGCCACCACTGTGATTTAGGGCAAGCCTAAATGATGTGGGTGGATTAATTGCAAATTGACAATCCTTTAATAGCTATTGCCTATTAGTACCTTTACTTAAAAATATTGTACTCACATATTACTTTCTTAATCTGATTAGAAATAAATCATTTTCCATTCAAATTGAAAATATCTTTTATATGATTTAATTTTAATTTCAAAACTTGTGAAAGACGATAAGATATGATTTAATTCAATATGTAATTTCTAAATATGTAATTTTTATAAAATTAAGAATTCGATTCATGAAAATATATTTATGATTCCTGAAATGAAATTAGTTTTATACATAAAATTCCTAAGATAATACAATAGCTAATTAGACGAATTGGAGGAAATTATTAAAAGAAAATAGCAATTCTTTTGTTATTATATTTTTTTTAAGGTGGTCGGGTGGCCAAATGTGGACAAGAGAAATTGTGACATCCACAAAAGAATCACTTTTGATTTTAAATTTTTGTTTGTTTTCATAAGTTGAAAGAGAATTTTGACAGTTGCTATGATTTTCTCCTTAAAAGATGTTTGAAATGTGGTCTTTGATCAAATTTCGTTGCGCCATTATCATCCATACGAATATTTTCCCAACCTTTTCTCATCAACATACGATAATTGAATCATTAATGCATATAGTTAGGTATTTTCTTCTTTTCTTAACGTTTTAATTACGAAAATGACTCGTTTTTAATAAATATTTTTTTTATAATATAGGGTTAGAAAGTTAATTAAGAATAATTATAATAAATAAAATAATGTGAAATTAACTTGAAGAATAATTGAATTAATTAAAAAAAGAAAGACGAAAATTGATCCATTTCTATTATGTTATACTACAAAAATTATAGATCTTAAAATATTTGTAAATTGGATTTTGCTATTACTTGTCATTTCGGGTGATATTTGTGAATTGGCTTACCATAGTCATATGATTGAGTAATAATTTATTGACGAACATAAAATAATAATATCTTAAAGTACGTGTTAGCATGGTTAAGTTGATTTAGTTAAACCGGTTAATTTGATGATTAATCGGATTTTAATATTCAACTCGAAAAATAAAATAGAAGTATTCGATGATCAGTTAAAGATTCAATTAGAATGAAATCTAACTGTATGACCCGAATTTTCAAGCTAAAAATAATATCATTTTGCCCATTGTTAGATTATTGTCCCTTTTGGTTCATTTTCTTGGTCTATTGAAGCATTGGTTTGGTTCAATTCAATTATTGAAAAATTTTGGTTAATTGAATCGGGTCAATTTGTTTCCATTCCATTTTATTTTAACTCGATTTCTATAAAATTTTTCTGAGCTAATTCCGGTGCCCCAACCCACCCATTGCCTGTGCTTACTAGCTGGATTCTAGTGTTGGAAGTTGACCAATGAAATTGAGAAGCCAAGATGAACAAAACATGTCAAAGCTTCAAATGGAAAACAAAGAAAGAAAAGAATATCCTCAAACAAAATCACATTTTTTTTTTTTTCATAGTGGACCAATAAAAATCATATTATGGCTCCACAATAATCCCATATCATGCTTACGCATGTATCCACCTAGGATCAAACGATGATGATCCTCGACTCATTCGACACGTGTCCTCCCTGCAGCGGCTATGATCTAAGATTTTCAAAAACACATCATCACAACGCTAAGCTGACGTTAGAGAAGTATAGAATTAAAGAAGGAAAGATCCCTTGAAATTATGGAAAGCTCCCCATGTGGGTCTTATTGGCCGCCTAATGTTTGCTTTGACCTTCCAAAACAGAGCAACTATTGCCACTCTGTAATCTATATATACATTCATATATTTTCTCTTTATTTCTCACATTTTTTTCCAATATATCGATAGTCACTGTAGTTAGAGCTGAATAGAAATGCCTGAAAGAGAGGATTCTTGCGTTCTTGTTCAAGAACCACGCCAAGTGGTGAGAAAGTTCTTGGCCAGGCCTCAACGTGAAGGAGTTGGAGCCACTGTTAGAAGAAGCATAGGAAGGTAAAAAATAAACAAAAAAATCAATGGAAACTCGAGGATTTTGAGATGTTTGTACTGATGGGTTCTTTTTCTTTTTGTTGTTTATAGGTTTGAATTGAAATACTTTGATCCTTTTCTTGTTCTGGATGAGTTCTCCGGTGGGTGCTCTGCTTTCCTTTAATCTGCTCTGTTTCATTACTTGAAATGTGATTGATTGTCTTAACATTTTTGTTCCGGGATTTGGATATTTCAGTTACTGCCCCAGCTGGTTTTCCTGATCATCCACATAGAGGTCTGGACTGGATTCTTGATCATATTTGAAATTTTCCTAAGTGTTTTTTAACAATGAAAAATGAGTTAATTCTAATTCTTCTATTCACTCTCTTAACAGGATTCGAGACAGTTACCTATATGCTTCAGGTACATAAACTGAAAATAATCCAGCAATTCAAATCCTTAAAATTCTTGGGTTTCTATTTTTCTTTTTAAATAAAAGAAAATAGCTAGAGCATTTTGGATATTTAATTGAACTTGTAAACTAGTCAAATAGCTAATTACTTAATTAACCTAAGTGATTAATGTCTAATCATTCAATTACACGTGATTTTATAGCCTATTGCTAAGGTCGGCAAGTTATTGCTTAATTGATTAAGTCAAGGTTCAAGGTTGACTCACAAGAAAAAAGAAAAAAAAAAAAAAAAAAGTTGACTCACTAGAAAAAAGAAAAAAAAAAAAAAACAGAAGTTAAAGAAAATTCCTTGCATATTTCCAAATTAGAGAGCAAAAAACAGAGCAGAGAAGACCAAAAAACCTGACCTTGTGGTTTAGAAAAAGATTAAGAATATTATTGTTTGTTGGTTGCTCCAATATGAAACGATATAGTATTGAGAAGTTGAATTACCTTAAACTGATAGTTAAATGAATAAAGGAGCTGTGACACACTTCGAAGATTTTGAAGGGGCACAAAGCGCGACAAAAAAAAAAAAAAAAAAAAAAAAAAACAGAGTTAAGAAAATTCCTTGCAATAGTTCCAAATTAGAGAGCAAAAAACAGAGCAGAGAAGACAAAACCTGACCTTGTGGTTTAGAAAAGATTAAGAATATATTGTTTGTTTGGTTGTCTAATATGGACGGTTGTATGAGAAGTTGAATTACCTTAAACTGATAGTTAAATGAATAGGGAGCTGTGACACATGAAGATTTTGAAGGGCACAAAGGGACAATAGGTGCTGGTGACTTGCAATGGATGACAGCAGGAAGAGGGATTGTTCACTCTGAGATGCCTGCTTCTCAAGGAACCCAAAAAGGCCTCCAGCTGTGGATCAACCTCTCCTCAAAATATAAAATGTAAGCACTCTAACGAAAGCTTTTTAATTTTTAAGTTAATTAGTTTATTTCAACATAAAATAACATAAAACAAAAATTATAAGCACACTTGAAGTTTACATGATTTACTTACGCCGTGGCTTTCAAGTTTTCTGGAAAGCTATCATGACCTTACACTTTAATATTTTAGTAATAACTACGTCTCTCGCTAAAATAAAATGCAAAAGTACATGATCATGATTAAATTCTTGTAAAATTATTTTATTTTAGTGAGATATATAGTTATTATTGAGATGTGATGTGAAAGTGTAGCGCAAATTAGGCAAGAATACGTCGGTGTACCACATTACATAGATATGACTGTTATGATTTGTCATTATAGTACCTTTCCAAAAGTCATGCTTTAGAACAGCGCACTAAAGTTTTCTGCTTCCAGCCAGCCTGATAGAGCCCTGCTGCTTTTAGGACAACTTACCTTCTGTTTGAGAATCTTGAACGATGCCTTGCCACTTTCTCAACATGTTATTCAAAATTCTTTATCATTTTGTAGCCCTAAAAAATCTCATAATACTAAATTCAATTTTCTATACGACTAAACAGAGACTCGATTATCGAACTATTAAATTAATATATTATCGTAATTATGTTCATTGACCATTGTTTAATTCAATTTTACTGATAGGATTGAGCCTAGATATCAAGAAATACTAAGTAAGGACATTGCAGAAGCTTCAAAAGATGGGGTGAAGGTTAGGGTGATAGCAGGTGAGTCCTTAGGGACTAAGTCACCAATCTACACAAGAACCCCAACAATGTACTTAGATTTCACTCTTAAACCAGGAGCTCACCTCCGGCAACCGATACCGATAACTTGGAATGCTTTTGTTTATGTATTAGAAGGTGAAGGAAAATTTGGATGTGCAAAATCAGTTGCAACATCAGCTCACCATCTTCTGCTTCTAGGCAGTGGAGATGGGTTAGAGGCATGGAACAAGTCATCTAAGCCATTAAGGTTCATTTTAGTTGGAGGGGAACCATTGGGTGAGCCTCTAGTCCAATTTGGGCCTTTTGTGATGAACACACAAGAAGAGATTGACCAAACAATTGATGATTTTGAGAATTATGTTAATGGGTTTGAGAAAGCAAGGCATTGGAGATCTGAAGCTGCTATTAGCCTTGATTTTTAGATGCTGTTATTTGATTAAGAATTTATTAGTTGATTTTTATTTTTAGAGGAAAAGAAAATAAATATTGCTAATTTTAAATCTGTATATTAGTTTGTTTTCTTTTTATATTCATTTTTTAAAGTTGAAAAATTTTATGATTTTTACTTTTTATTAGAGTTAATGGTAAAATTGAAAAAAATAATATACATTTTATTTTTTTTAAATGATAGATATTTTGGACAAAATAAATTCTCGAAACAAAAATTGAGAAAATGTGTTTCCTTAATTAAAAAAAAAAAGGGAAAGAAAAGGATCTCAACTTTGAAAAAAGAGGGCTTAATTTATATTTTTTTGGGTGCAATATATAATTACCAAAAACCAATTTTTTAAATATAATTATCAATTCAATATTGTACCAAATAATCCAAAGGCCCAACTTATAGTCAAAAAGAAAAATATTATTTTTAAATAAAATAATAAGTTTTAGCTTATATTGAAGCAAAAGCTATTATTTTTAATGCTGGTCTTATTGTTTAACCTTTCAAATCCTAAGTAGGGTATAAGAAGAGATCCATTAATCGAGTTTATATTTTAAGTTTTTCTTGAATTTAGTAATAATATGAAGATTTTATTTCTCAAATAAACAATAATAATTTATTAATAGAAATTATTAAAAATTATTATTTTAATTTTAATTAATTAATTTATTTAATGCAAAATCCAAATGATGATTATTAAAAATTGATTTTTAGTAAATGACTCCCTCTCTCTTCTAAAACACAAGTAGTTAATAAATGATTTTTTTTAAAAATTTATCTTTGTTTATATTATATAAAATAATTATTTTCATTTTAATTTAAATAATAATTTAATCAAATTATTTTTAATTTTATTGTAATTTAAGAGATTAATTATTCTTTTTTAATTTTAGTAAAAAATTTTAAATACTTATATTTTTGGGATGGGTGGGCTTGGGCTATATGTACCATCTCGCATCAATTTGATTTTGCGAGCAAACACAAAACTTATTCCAACTATGAATATTCAATTCATTAATGATCGATCCAATCAAAATATCAAATATCGAATGATGTCCTAACTAGCCACTAGGTCTGTAAAATTGGAAACTACTACCTGGAAAAAACAAAATGAAAAACAAAAAAAAAAAGAACTAGCCAATCCAACAATAATATCTGGAATACCTTGCACGTGTCACGTTCTCATTGGATAATTGGAAAACCCAATGTGAACTTCTTGCATCACTTCATTATTAGTACCTTACAATTTTTTATGTAAGTTTCTTCTGTCGACAATGGTGTGCTGGAGGAGGAGGTGAAAGAAAAGAAAACCCAACTGAAGCTTGAAAGATCTAGTTGGGTTTTTCGGGTTTTAGAGAGAAGAGGAAAGGGCATTGACTTAGTTGTACCATGAACAGAACTCACTCTAAGCTCTTCAAGATCGTCGTCTTCCTCTTCGCTCTCAACTCTTTTTCACTTTTCATCTACTTCTCCTCCCCTTACCACCACTATCACCGTCACAATAACCACCACCAACCAACTTCATTGACGGATCATCTCCCTTCCCTCTTAGATAGCCACCGCCATTTCCTAACAGATAACCGCCGTTCCCAGATAGATAATATCAATACTAATAATAATTACCTCAAGCCATGGCCGATTCTACCTTCTTACCTCCCTTGGACTCAGAATCCTAACGTTTCTTTCCGCTCCTGTGAGGCTTACTTCGGAAATGGTTTCACCCGACGCCTCGACGTCCTCCCTGCAAATCCGGCTAGATCTTCCGGTTGGTTCCGTTGTTTCTTCAGTGAGACGCTTCGGAGCTCCATATGCGAGGGTGGAAGTGTGCGGATGGTGCCTGAGAGGATACAGATGTCAAAAGGAGGAGAGACGATAGAGCAGGTGATTGGGAGGACGGAAGATGAGGAGTTACCTGAGTTTGAAAACGGTGCGTTTGAGGTTCTCGGAGTGAAAGGCAAAGGTAAAAATCTTGTTGATAGAAAATTCTTGGATGCGTATGTTTCTGAAGGGCAGATTACGAGGCACACGATGCGTGAACTGATAGGTTCGATTCGTGTCGTTGATAATAAGGAGTTTCTGTGCGATCAGGTTAGGGTTTTTATTTTTGGATAAAGTTTTTAACTTTGAACTTTATTAGCTTATATATGTCAGCAGCTGTTACCAGTTTCTTGGAGGTGATTTAATGAATGATAATTGTTAATTATTGATTCTGGTGATTTGGTTGTTCGTATTTAATTTATTGGAAGCAATTTAATGCAAATGAATCAAAAAATTTACCCTAAAAATGCATACTTTTAAGTATATTAAATTTTAAGGCAGAAATATACCTAAATTTGATTCTTTTTGCCCTTTACAGTTTTCATGACTTCACTTTCTGATAGTAATACTTTTGCTTACAGTGGATTGAGGAGCCAACACTTCTGCTCACGAGATTTGAATATGCTAATCTTTTTCACACTGTCACGGATTGGTTCAGTGCATATGTGTCTTCTCGAGTCACTGAATTGCCTTATCGACCTCATCTGGTTTTTGTGGATGGCCACTGTAGAGTATGTTCTCTCCACTTTGCCTTAATTGTCTGCTTTTGTTTATTTTTACCTAGAGAATTTGATGGTAAAATATAGAGAAGACAAAGATAAAAAAAAAGAGTTCAGAAGCTTTAAGAGAGAGATAGCAGATACATAAGAGTTTAAATGATCTTCCTTAAATTTAATATGTTCTGATAGAATACGATTCTTGTATGGGTAAAAGAGATGATGGTTTTGAATTCTGAGATAATTTTGGAGTGGGATATCTCTTGGTTGACGTAATGTAGTTTGATGAATTTTAGTTTACTTCTCCCTTTGTGTTTTTTTTTTTTTCTCTCTCCTTCATATAGAGGAGAAGCGTGAGTTTCATGTGGTGAATGAGTGTTTGTTGTTCTTAGTGAAGTATGAACACCCTTAATCTTATAAACTGAATATCCTAAACATGATAATGCACCCTCCTTGTTTAACAAAAAAAAAAAAAAACATTGAAAGTGTTGCTGTTATATCATTTCAAGCTAATATACCCATGTAGGAAATTTTATGATAGGCTTTCTTTTTTGACCCTTTTTCTCTTTTCTTGTTACAATTCCCAATTTCATGTGGGAAAAGAGAATAGGACTTGTGAGCTTTGGCAAATCAAAGATCCAAATACAATACATATTATATAATATCCCCACTTAACCTCTCTCATTCTCATGCTATAAGATGCATTAATAAACAGACAGAAACAGAGGTAAACAGAGTAAGAGAGAGTAGAAGAAGAAGCTGGTGTCTAGACTGCAAAGGAAAATGATATAGGGCAGAAAGCTTCACATTCTAAGAACCCTCACCTTCTCCAAATCTGTGATATAATTAGAATTAAAAACTCATTTGTTGTTAGCATAGCTTTCATCATGTGTTAAATTCTTTGCTCTGTTTTTTATGAAGGTGAAAAGAAGCTCTATTATTGCAGATGCTATTAAAAAGAAGGAAAAATATAACTGAAAATATAACTTTGTGGGGTGGGGGGCGGACCAGTGGCCCCTTTCAAATAGTTTTGCCCTTAATATGGGGTGTCAGCGGTCTAATGCTGCTACTCCACAGTCCATCATGCCTAGAATAATTTACACCTTTTACCCACTTTGCTACCCCTCTATTTATTCAAACAAGTTTGTTCTTGTATTCCAAAAGTTCATTGACTCTCTTTAGAGGGGTCCAATTATTTTGAATGGACAATCATATAATGATAGCGGAAGATATTTTTGTAGGTTATAGTTGTGTCTATCTTTTATTGGTAATTGTTTCTTTGCACTGATTCTCGACTATGTTTGTCTGTTTAGACAAAGTTCAAATATGCCTTGGCGAATCTGCTGTTTGGTGCTTTTCTGCTTCATGAATTTTCAAATATGTTCTTGTTGCTTTGGTTTCATTTTATTTTGTTGGGAACATGGCTTGGATAAAGCGGGTCTGCCAGCGATGTGTCACATAACTAACCATCAAAATTTAGGATTGGTTCTTTGTAAAACCAATTGAAGCCCCTATCTTTTCCTTTCTCTTTGCTTTTGGCTCTTCAAGGTTTGTTTGATGCTTTATTTGTTGTGCTGACCCGCATGATAATTTTCAGGCACCTTTGGAAGAAACCTGGAAAGCATTGTTTTCAGGTGTTAGATATGCTAAAAACTTCACTGGCTCTGTTTGTTTTCGTCACTTTGTTCTTGCTCCTTTGGGATATGAGACTGTGCTGTTTAAGGGACTAAATGAAAAAATAGATTGTGAGGGAGCGTCTGCACATGATCTTTGGCAAAACCCTGACAACGGCAAAACAGCCCGATTATCTGAGTTTGGAGAAATGATTAGAACAGCCTTTGGCTTCTCTGTCAACAGACATAGTTCTGAAAAGCCTATTTCAGGTCATAATGTTCTATTTGTCAGACGTGAAGATTATTTAGCCCATCCACGTCATGGTGGTAAAGTTGAATCAAGACTGAGCAATGAACAGGAAATTTTTGACTCATTACAGAGCTGGGCATCAAATCATCAAGAGTGCAAAGTGAATCTTGTCAATGGGTTGTTTGCCCATATGCCTATGAAGGAGCAAGTGCGAGCCATTCAAGAAGCTTCAGTTATTATAGGTGCTCATGGTGCGGGACTGACTCATATAGTTTCTGCAACACCAAAAACAGTGATTTTAGAGATCATTAGCAGCCAGTTTAGGCGTCCTCATTTTCAATTGATTGCCCAGTGGAAGGGATTGGAATACCATGCTATCAATCTTGATGGATCATACGCCCGTCCGGATGTTGTTATTGACAGGCTTAAAAGAATAATGAAAAGCCTTGATTGTTGAAAATTTTCTGCTTTTGTTTGAAATTGATAGATTATCTGGTGGCTGGGATGTGCAAGTGACGAGAAATACTCTCTGCTTGTCTATCTTTGAGTGTCTGCTCGTTATTCTTCCATCATTTTGTCTCTTCTCTGATTTACTTTCTCAGGCTACTGATTTCTCCACAGTATTTTTCATGGTGGTGGCATGAATCTGATGCAACACGATCAAACGCCCTATGCAGAGCAAGATAATGATGTTCAATCCTGATTTTTAATGAAGATAACCATTTTTCAACCATTCTGACTGCAAGAAGAGGATGCCTTGTGTTCATTGGATGCAGTATGTGTTATTATCTCGACACCGATCATTTTTATGCTTTAGAATTAGAATTATTAATGATCTCTAGGGAAAGCGCAATGACAGGTTTTATCTTGAATTTTCTAGGAGAGTAGCTTGTAATCGCCTGTGATTGTCTTACTTGTAGAATACATCAGTAACTGAGTCACATGTTCAATTTTAAAATGAAATACTTTTGTACATGCAGACTAGATTTTTTTTTTTTTTTTTTTTTTTTTTTTTTATAGGAGAGTAGCTTGTAAATCGCCTGTGATTGTCTTACTGTAGAATACCATCATAACTGAGTCACATAATAAAATATTTAAATACTTTTTTGTACATGCAGACTTAGAATTTTTTTTTTTTTTTTTTTTTTTTTTTTTTTTGCCATGATGTGTAATTAGCCATACGCCATTGCTTATAGAAAACAGACAGCATATGTACTTGGTCATCTTATTTTGTTGTTAATTGAATCTCGTTTCTATTTTTTTTTTTTTTTTTTTTTTTTTTTTTTGCATGATGTGTTTAGCCATACGCATTGTATAGAAACAGACAGCATATGTACTTGGTCATCTTATTTGTTGTAATTGAATCTCGTTCCTATTTGAGGTGGAATTGTGTTTGTTTTTCTCTATAGTTTTTTTTTCTCTTAGAATCCTACTTTCATGTTATATTAGCTTTGCTTTGTGTATCAATTGGGACTTGGTGTGCAATCTTGAGCATTTTATTCATTACAGAGGAACTAATGGACCAGAGCCTGACAATCTACAGAGCTTGTCTTTGTGTTTTGTCTGAATTGGGATTTTGATTTGACAATCTGTTAGATACTCTGATAGCATTATTTCATCCTCAAGTTTAGCTGGACATTCTATATTTTAAAATAGCAGCTTGCTGGTTTTTCATATGATCCATATGATTACGTTAGCGGTTGACTCTTGTTGGATAGCTGAACGTCGCATGTTCATCAAGGATCAGCTGCTAAATTTTGTGTTTAAAAAATATCAAAAAATGTTAATTTATTTCAGACGATCTATTGTTGGAAGAACCCTAGATGTTATTAGAGTAAGGATGGTCAACGAAAGCAACATTTTGCGTTAGAAATTTTTAACTGAGACTTGTATCATTCATTTGATAATGTCCCGTGAGACGTATAAAATGTATGAATAACCCAATAACAACGGAACTTTGACAAGCAATAGAGAGAAACCTTTTAATTATTATCATAATAGAGAAGGTGCCTTGCTCAAAGTGAAAGCTTTTATCCACTAATTTGAAAAATGTGTTGCCTTACAGAAGAGAGTGAAGTAAAAGAGGTGGAAAGCAACAAATTTTAATAACTGTCACATGATACAACACGTGACCTTAAGCACTTAAACAGTTCCGTATTAGTTCGCTCAGGCTCCACTTTCTATTTTTCAGAAAATTACATACATGTCAATAACGTTTACTCCACCGATTTTCCGGGAAAACAAACACCTACTCTCTCCCTCGCCTCTTCACTCTCACACCCTTCAAAATTTTGACAATTCTAAACCCTAAGAGAGAGAAATAGGAAGAAGACAAATGAAATCCCTCTTCAAGTCCAAGCCAAAATCTCCAGCTGAACTCGTGAGGCAAACTCGGAACCTTCTCCTTTCCCTCAATGGCAGTGGTGATCTTCGCGGCTCCAAGCGAGAAGAGAAGGTTCGTTTTACTTATCTGTATTCTTTTAAATGTATAAAGTTTGAATTTTTATTTCGTTTGGTTTACTGTTTGTCCAATTCTTAGGAAAGACGTTTAGACCGTTGTGGTATTTATTTATGAATTGTTGTGTGTTTGCAGATGGATGAATTGAATAAACACATACGGGAGTTAAAGCTGATTCTTTATGGTAGTAGTGAATCTGAGCCCGTCGCAGAGGCTTGTGCACAATTGACTCAGGAATTTTTCAGAGAGAACACGATGCATCTTTTAATTATCTTTCTTCCAAAATTAAGTTTGGAGGTGAGGAATGAAAAGGAATATATTTGTTGATTCATTTTGATTTATCATATCTAGCTTTAGAGTTTGATATCTTGTTCATTTTTTTCACTGCTATTTTTCTTTTGCACTCTTCTCTTTTGCTTATCATAAAGAAGATCGTTTTTCATAGGCACGTAGGGACGCCACTCAAGTGGTAGCAAATTTGCAGAGACAGCAAGTTCAAAGTCGGATGATTGCTTCCAGTTACTTGGAAGCTAACTTAGATCTTATTGATATTTTGATATTGGGGTAAGATATTGTCTGTGGAAATTCTTGATGTTTTGATGATTATTTATGCTGTTTGTGTGCCCTACCTTAACCATACCTTAGATCTCACGTTGTATGTATTGCAAATTTTAACATTTTTACATGGTTCAGTTATTAACTTGGAAGTTTATATCAGTCGGTGCAAATGTGCTTTCATTGCTTTTTGTGAACATCAGACAGGAACTAAGTGTCATGTAGAATTTTGTTTTATTATGAACATAAAAATTGTAGTGGTCAGCACATAAGTGCCACTTCAAGCTTGCTAAGCTTTGTAGCCATTTTTGGACGAGAAAAGTCTTCTTGTAACTGGCTGCAACACTAATTTTAGGGGAAAGCTTGTTCTATAAGTCTATAGAGTTGGTAAATCTCTTATTTGTCTTCTACTTTGTTTTCTTGTGGATTAATTTGCTTATATTGATATCTTGATTAGGTATGAAGATCCAGACCTTGCTTTGCATTATGGTGGTATGTTGAGGGAGTGCATACGTCATCAGAGCATTGCAAAGTAATTATCTGAAACTGAAAGATTAGTTGGCAGCATATTATGCATGTGAGGTGGATTTTTTTTTTTGGCATAACTTTTGGTCGTCAGCTGGTGGATGTAAAGATACTCTTTCTGAGTTCATATTTTTAAGATATCCCTTACTTTTTAACTCTTTTTGCAGGTATGCCTTGGAATCAGAAAACATGAAGAAGTTTTTTAACTATATACAGCTTCCAAATTTTGATGTTGCAGCAGATGCTATGGCGACTTTCAAGGTTGAGTTATCTTAATTAGTACTTTATGGCAAGTACAGTATAGCAATTTTCGATGTTTAATTTTCGCAACTATCCCTGGCTGTTGGTTGATCTTGCATCTATACTTACTAATCCTATTCATGAATAAGTTAACCGAGTTTTGGTATTTTAGTTGGCCTAATGTTCTGATTCTCCATTATAGTTGCAATACTTGCAAGCATGGTGATTTTATTGTACAACATGTTACAGGAGCTTCTGACCAGGCACAAATCCACGGTTGCTGGATTTCTTTCAAAAAATTATGATTGGGTATGTCTATCCTGATCTTCTCCCTCTGTTAGGTTGACAATTTTTCTCGTCAGTTGAGTAAATTCTTGTTTGTGTGTCAGCCTGTGCATGATATGTTCCTTTGACGTTTCTCTGTTCTTGAAGATGAGTGTTCTAGGATCTGAAAAGTCTGGCCAATTTGTTGTCAAAATATCATGTGTTCAACATGTTCAACACTTCGATGGCAATTTAACCTTTTGCCAACTTTTTGTGGTTCTAGTTCTTTCAGGATTTTAACTCAAAGCTGCTGGAATCTCAAAGTTATATCACCAAACGACAAGCTTGTAAGGTGTGAAGATGTTTGCAAATATCTGCCTATGCAAGTTTAATCTCATGCATCGACCATCTGTTACAATGACATGGAACTGAATCTCATTGTATGATAATTTCTTATTACTCTTTTCTTCCCTCTTTTTCTGGAATGGGAAATAGAGCATTTCCTGTCCTTTTTCAGTACGGGAATATTTCCTACTGGAAAGAAATGCAATTATAAGAATTCAGGGTACAACTAATCCCTGGATTCCTTAAGTTGCTGTTTTTGAATCGTGTACTGTCCATAATTAACATGAACATTCTTATTAACTTACTATGGGGCTGCACTTCTTATGTCAATAAATGTTGCTTCTGCCATTATTCAAAATTCCCTTTATTTTTGTTTTGTGATTATAGGAAAAATCCTATATATTCTGTCTGCTAGTAAGATGCACTTATTTCTTTTGCAGCTGAGCTTATGCTGACATTTTCTGCTATTCGTTTCAGCTTTTGGGTGAAATTTTGCTTGATCGTTCAAATACTGCAGTCATGGTTCGATATGTAAGCTCCAAAGATAACTTGAGGATTCTAATGAATCTTCTAAGGGTATGTGTTCAGTGTCTTTGATTGTCAAGGAGAATTACATTTTCAATCAATTTTTTGATTAATAGAATCTGTTAAAGAGGAAATAAAGCACAGAGGGCTAACTATTAAAGCCTCTTTAGATTATTCATGCGTCCTTAGCATGCAAATGGAGCAAAAATTTATAATTCCAACGTAGTCAATTGTTTCTATTACATTCCATTTCAGGAATCAAGCAAGAACATCCAGATTGATGCATTTCATGTGTTCAAGGTATTGACTCAAATGTTTGGCATAGATAATTATAAATTCTAGACTTGTATTTTTATTTATTTGCCATCTTCTCTCATTGCTGATAGCTTTTTGCTGCGAATCAAAATAAACCTCCTGAAATTGTTGGCATCCTCATTGCCAATAGAAGCAAGCTTCTGCGTTTCTTGGCCGACTTCAAGATGGATAGAGGTATAACATTGATTAATTTGAACATTTTTTAATTCTAACGTTATTGTCTTTTTGGGGTGAAAATCAAGTTTCATTTGTTGCAGAAGATGAGCAATTTGAGGAAGATAAAACTCTGGTGATAAAAGAAATTGCTTCATTAAAACAAGCAGGTGACCATTGAATGGCCTTGGGGAATTGTGTAGCCTATGTCAGTTAAATTAGATGGTGGGTGGAGTCATTGGCTAGAGATAACGGTTTAGACCTAATGCTCCTTGTACAAAACTCTTATCAGAAACAGAAGTTAAAGAATGGGAAGAACTAATTATGACTTTATGAGATTTTGTCTTTTTTTTGTTTCAGTTTTATTTTTTCATTGTTTAAAGCTGTCTCTTATGACATGGTTTTTTCTTTTTGCATTGATGATACTATCTTCTCACGCTATTCCAATTTCCGATTCCATGAGGAAATTTCAGGGGAGCTTTGATGGTTCGCCTTATATATCTCCTTTTCAATACAATTTTAAGTTGTGCTTATGCTTGTTACGAACAAGAATTACCCAGTCCTTAAGAAACACTAGTATAACTATGAAAAATCAAACCGAAAAAGCTCGTCCACATTCTGCTAATATATGTAAAGCAATTTCAGTACATTAGTATATTATATCAATTAGCCTGCAAATGATCCTAAAGGGAAAATAATAATGAAAACAAGAAAAATCAACAAATGGCCAAAATTAAGCTTGTACTCAAAAGTTCCCCAGCTCAAAAAGTTCTTCACCTGCATTCTGTAGGTCAATTTTAAAAGGCTGCAACAACTCCCAGCAGCTTCCATCGCATCTAAAACTGAAACTATAGGCGTCCTGCGATAATCAGTATGTAGTCTTTTAACACACATTTGGTGAAAAATCATAACTTGGCAGAGAAAACAATTCATTCATCATCGCTTAGTAGGAGCTCCAAGGGTAAAATTTTTATTAATTATGTAAACCTTCAGGAAAGAGTAAGCTTGTTATCTATGATCAATTGCAAAATGTCCTGTGTAGGTAAATATGTGATTTGAAGAGGTGGTTAGATATTGATCTCAATGGCAACTTGTATAACAACAATACTTCTATAGAACACTTGCATGCATGCTGCACCTTCTGCAGGGTACAACCTACAATACAGGAAATCAACTTGATTTTTGAGAAAGCCATGCTTAATAAGAAAGTTCCCACCACTGGTTAAGTAAATCATATAAGATAAATTTTAAGGCTTACCAAAAAGCAAAGACTAGTCTTAGCTGTACTGGTTGGGGTTTTCCCTACTTCTAATGAGAGGGACGCCATCTTCCCTCCAAATAATGCGCTCCTCACATAATGCCGCTGTCACTTCCACATATAACCGATGCTCCTGTAATATAGAAAGTGAAGAAGAAATGTTGCAAAATAATTTTAAACCAAATGAAATCTTACATTCGAAGCAAAACCAGAAGTTAAAATGCCTTCGATGATCTTATACGGTTGTTTTTGTAAGGCTATTTTAAGATGAACATCTGTCTCCTAAAGTCAGTACTACTTATCCAATGTAGCAGATACACAAAAATTGGACAGACAAGTTGATATGACATGGCGTGGAACATAACATTTTCAAATTGGAAAAAAGTGAAATAATATCGTTACCTCTCGGAGAACCCTTGCAGCTAGCTCCTCTGCAGTGTCATTTGCAAGCACGGGGACAACTCTTTGAGCAATGATAAGTCCCGTGTCATAATGCTCATCAACAAAATGGATAGTTGGCCCTGAGTATCTAACCAGGCACAAGGAGAGAGGATGAGGGAAAACCCAAAATAGAGCATGACATAAGGAATTTTCTCATTAAACTTTAAAATTAAGACGGCCGAACTGAAATAGGGAAGGAACTTTAGTTTTTTGTTTGAAAATTAATTTCTGAAGACAAAGAAGACTAACAGCATATTCTGTAAGTTACCTTGCTCCAGAAGCAATGACTGCTTTATGCACCTTCATGCCATAGTAGCCTTTGCCTCCAAAGGCTGGAAGAAGTGCTGGATGTATATTTAATATGCGTTTTGGATAAGCTTGGACCAATTCTGCTGGTATAAGTTTGAGATACCCAGCTAGAAGAATGAAGTCAACCTCAAACTCCCTGATTAAGACAACGTGAACAATGGATAGAGTAGGTACAATCATTTCAACTTTATTCCATTCAAGTTGAAATTAAAGGGTGGAGAGAGAGAGGGAACCATTCCTCACAGATATTCTAATCATTTGCATTTTCTTGAAACCAATTGTCTAAGAAGTTAAAAACTACAGAATTTCTAGATGTAAAAATGTGTTAGAGCACATAGAAAAAACAGACAGTAGATTATTCTTAACATTATTGTAAAAAGTTTTGTGCTTTTTTCTCTTCTTCTTTTAAATATCCAAATGCTCAGCCTATAACCTATCAGTTTTGCATTTCATTTTACGTATTGCTTTTTACTCTTATTGGAATGACAACTCTTCCTCTACATGTTCACAGAAACAATTAATTTTAAAATAAAGAAGGCAGTTTAAATCAAGCCTAAATGATTCACTCCCTATAAGATCACTAAACGTAGTTAACCTTTGTAAGAACACTCATAAGGCCAATGCTACTAAGATGAAAAAACAAGGAGCGTGAACCATCTCATTATTAAACGAAGAACAAAATTTTAGTTCAAAATTGAGAAATACAAATAAAAATCAGCCAAACCTAAGAGCAGCAACAAGGTCCCTTGGGGATAGTCCATCAGGTTCATCTTTGGTCCTAGGAAACAAAACAACAGGGATTTCCTTATTTCTTGCGTACTCTGCACCTCCACAACCTGTGAGACACACAAAAGAAACCTACATGAAACCTTATACAATCCCCCCAAAACGAAGAATTGACTAAATAAAATGCAGAGTTGAAGCACTTGCATAGATGAAGAAAAAATTTGACGGCAGAATATACCTTTCCTATTAGTGACCACAGCGACAACATCACCATGGACTGATCCTTGAATGCAAGCTTCATGAACTGACTTAAAATTTGAACCTCCACCAGAGACAAAAACTGCGAGCTTTTTCCTTTTAATCCCAGAGTTTAAATAACCTTCATTGTGAAAACCAGTACTCCCTAATTTCTCCGAACTGTTCGCACACTCTAATCTCTTAAAAGATAATGACTTTACTCTTGGTGGAGAAATTGATTGGTGGGTATTGAAGCTGACATAATTCTGGGACTGACCAGAGGAGTAAGAATAAGAAGAGTAATAAAACGTTAAAGAGAGTGGCTTTTTGTTATTTTGGATTGCTGGAAAAGTGGAGTTTGAGCACAAACCAGAGAGCAAGGCTTTTGATTCCATTGAAGCGATACGAGAGTCGAGGAAGGAAAGCTTACGGCTGGGACAGGGATGGGCACACACAGAGTCACAGTCGATCTTGTACTCACTGTCTCCGTTAAAAAAGGACGGTATTGGTCTCTGTATCACAACAGACAACAGTACACACTAAAATGACACGAAAAAATAAAATAAAATAAATAAACAACAGAAATTAGAATTAGGGTTCTGAATAAAAAATGATTCAAAGCGGCCCCACAATTTAAACAAAAAGCTCACTTAGCAATGAAAACGACGCCACTTTTGCCTGGAGGAAAAATCCCTCATCTTCCTCCCTCGGCTCGCATTGCTCTCTGTCTCTCTCGTATGCCATGTTTACTTGTTCTATCTCGTTTCCATCCCTGATTGAAGCCCCTTACGGTGCCACGAAAACACCAAGATAACCACAACCCACAATCTCTTACCCCCTCAAATAGCCATAGCAGCAACCGAGAACCCATAGCAATCAACCACTCACTTGCCTCAATTTCCCAGCCCTCATTCTGAGTCGGATTACGCCCTTAATATCCGATCCGTTTGACCCATTTGGAACAGCAAATTACACTAATTTTTACAAGGAATTCCAACAATATTCACAATAATAATAGGGCCGCTGGTTTTTTGTGCTCCAATTCCCTCAAATCGAAGCTGATTCTAGGTAATATTCTTAGGGTTTTAATGTTTCTTGCTTGATTTGATGAAGTGACGCTGTGATTGAGGATTTGTCAAGAATGCCTGTTATATGTTTGATAAATTGCCGCGGATACATTTGTTTCTCTACTCGTGCAAATTCTGCGAAAACAATTGAGGAATCTTTGATCAACTACTGAACTGCTGGGTTTGTGCTTTCTAGTTAAAGAAGAATGGTGTTATGTTACCCATCAACACCGAAGAAATTGGCAATGACGGTGGGATGCTTCATTGCTGGAGCAACCCTCTTTGCAGTTGGCTCACATTTCTCCTATGTCCACGTTGCACCCCAACAAGCTCGCATCAAAGCTCGAAATGATTTTGTTAAGGAACGATTGCGAAAGAAACATGGCAAAGGATAGATAAGCGTAGGTCTTCTTTATTTATTTTATTACCCCTTTTTGTCAAATGAAAATTGCATTTTTAATGGTGGAAGTTCAATAAAATAAGTGTTTCATTCACGGATTACTCATATCGATTTAAATTACAATTTTCTCATATCCTAACATTAGGAGAAAAAGGAATCACCAGTTATATTTAGTTTATAAATCTGAAATTGATCGTTAACCAAGTGATTAGTAGAGAATAACTTGTTTGGGGGAACCTCATACAAAGTTAATCTAAGCCTCAATCAGTACTTTTGATAATTTCGGAAGTTGGTTATATTTTATCCTTGGAAGGTTTTGAGGAAATTTTCGAGTTACATTTTCTTATCATTTCAAGTTACTTCAAGTTACGTTTTAAAGATTATAATAAATTTATAAATATAAATAATCAAATTCTTTTACACTCATTTAACAAAAGAACCAAATTTAAATCAAGTAATTAAATAACCAACTCATGTATAATTTAATACTTTTTCCATCCTATAATGATAGTTCAAGATATTTTTATTTATATAACTTTTTTATTATGCTCGTTTAAATAACACGAGCATCTATTATATTGAAATAATAAATAAAAATTATTAAAAATAAAATAAAATTTAATAAAAGTATAATAGAGAATTTAAAAATTAACTATAATACATAAAAAAAAAATTAACTAATAATGACATAAAAAAAATAGACTATAATTTTAAAAACAAACCAAAAAGATAAAATATATTATTTTTTTTAGATAAGAGAGAGTACTATAAACAAGATTACATAATGTAGTTTTGTTTTATAATTTTTATACATAAATGTAACCTTATTAAAAATAAAATAAAATTTAATAAAAGTATAATAGAGAATTTAAAAATTAACTATAATACATAAAAAATAAATAGACTATATTTTAAAACAAACCAAAAAGATAAAATATATTATTTTTTTAGATAAGAGAGAGTACTATAAACAAGATACATAATGTAGTTTTGTTTATAATTTTTATACATAAATGTACCTTTTAAAAAGTATTCGCAAAAAAATTTCGAAGATATATTAATTGAAGATTACATTTGTTATAAACTTATAAAGTTTTTTAAAAGATACTTTAGTGTTCGAATAAATCTATAAATAAGAATTTATAATAAAAATTGATTTAAGCTTGTTAGTTTTACATGGAAAACTAATAATACTCTATCAGGATCCGCTCGCTTAATGAAGTACAAGAAATACTTGGCTCCTGCAGATAGGAATGACCGAGGCACTTAACCTCGTCCACCTCTCCCAAAAATCAACAAAAAACAACGGGAAGAAAAAAAACACAACTCTCATCATATGACAGCAATATTACCATCAACAGGCCATACAAAATCAAAAGATCATCTTATGCTGCTGTTAAATAAAAGACAATATTAGGTTTCTAATTGGGAATTCAACGATAATAATAGTTGCTGCTACAAGTTTAATCTCTCATCTCATAAAAAATACAATCTCCAGACACAAGGAAAAGAAAGAGGGGGGAGACAAGTCTGATCTGAATAGAAAGTTTGGATTGCAAAATTTTAGGCAGCCCCAGCTCCCTTGCCCTTCTTCCTCTGGATCTTCTTCATGTAGAACTCCAGCTCCTTACCCTCCAGAATATACCTAACAGCAAAAAATAAAAAAATTTTAAATTGTAATTAGCAATGCATTGATTAGCATAGTTCAAAATCAAAGGAATGGTGATTAAGTTGATCAAATCAGATTTATATATCGCAACTTGTATCTACGAAGGTGGATAAAAACTGAGATAGAAAGGTTTAACTTCTAATAAATTCTATGATTTGGTTCAAACATGTTTTCACCCTCAAAAACTTCACATTAGTACTTACATAACTTGAACCACAACCAAAATTCAAATCCTCAAGCCAAACACTACTTGGGGAGAAGAAAATATTCTTTAACTACAAATGCAAGCAAAGATGATCACTGATTAGGCTTTTCAAGTATTAAAAAGCAAAAAAATTGAGGGCTTGGCAATGCAAACAATTACATATGGCAAAATACCAATCTGGCTCGGTCATTCATGAATATTGACAAACAAAACCATGCTTGGACAAATATATATAGCAACTAAATGAAATAGTACATGAGAAAATACATACCCATCAGCACGGCCACACTGACCAGGGCGTGATGAGATACAAGCCATTAGACGACCACCAGCAAATTGTTCTTCAATATGAGGATCAAGCTTGCGAGTCTGCTGTCTCTTCTCCAGCTTTCTCAAAACATGATTACTCTTCTTCACTTCCTCAGTAGCACCTTCACCTTCCTATCCAACAATAGAGTGAAAAAGTACAAGATAGTTAATGGGACCTTAAATGAATATAATGCAAAGATATTTGCGCTCAATTAAAATGCATTTAATATAAGACAAATAAATAAATAAGGGTCCATTCCCAGGCAATGGCAGATTACAGTAAAATTTTTGAAATGTGCAAACAACATATACACATGTATTAAACAACTAAAGTTAATAACAGCTAATACGAGATTTGACTAGCCTTCCATAAGGCCCATATCCATGCATTGATAATTAAAATATAAAAAAAAATGAATCATACAAAAGGATAATTCAAAAAGCATCAGAAACTTCCCAAAAAGGCAGAACGAAGGAAGTGGCCATAACACTTGAACAAATATAATTTAATTATTCATTTGCTTGAACGTATGAAAAAGGGTTCTACCTCTCCTTCCTTCTTGGTAGCCGCAACTTTCTTCTTGCGGCCAATATCAACTCCATAGTGCTGAAGATACCACTGTTTAAATGGTGCAGCATCAACCTGGACAATGGCACTCTTCACCAAGGTTTGAGTACGAACCAGCTCATTGTTAGATGCATTGTACACCACATCAAGAATTCTGGTCTTTCTAGTAACAGCCTCACTTCCCCAGGAGTAGTTTCCAGTATCAAGCCTCAAAGCACGCCACTTCACATTTCCACCTCTAACCCTAATTCTCCTGACTGTCTTGTTACTAGACAGTTTTGTGTTTGCAGGCTGCCTTCCGAGCTCATACCTTTAGAGTAGGGGGGACAAGGGAAGTATAAATTAATTTTGGCAAATGAAAAAATTCTAAACCAATGAGAATACTCCTTTCGTGTATAAATTCACTATTTGCAAAAGCTAATATAAAGATCAATATACACCGATTATCCATAGTTTGGCTAGAATAAGTAGGGATAATTGTGAACTATAAAATAAATTTATCAAGAAATACAGATTTATCAGATATTTAGAACAAAAAAATTTAAACCAATCAATAACAATAAAAAATGGAATCTCTTCCATTTCCTGCTTCAGAAAGGATCAACAAGCAAGAACAACACAACAAAACCAATTGATTCAATTTGTCAAGCCACGGCCATAACAGCTTTATTTATTCATAAAATGTTAGCAGCAAGAGAATATACAGGATCACTTTTCACTATTCAATTTCCAAATTTCTAGCTTCTCAGCAACCAAATAGAAAACAAAACAACACCAGCAGATCAAAATTACAACAGAACTTCCTCACAAAAGAAAAAGAAAATGCGTGGTTTGAAAGCTTACTTTCTCTTCTTCCTCCATGCCTTCTTCTTGCCTCCAGTGGCACGCCTCTTGTGCATCGAATCACGAGAAATACCTATCAATCCATAGAGAATTTGGCCATTAACATCACTAAAATACAATTCTATTCGCGACAAGCTAAAAGGGCATCAGATTAAGAAAAGAATAACAATCAAAGACATTACCCATTTTTGCAGAGAGAGTGAATTAAGCTTTTCACTGCCTCACAAGTGCAAATCTCCAGAGGGACGCTAGGGTTTCAGAGACAGGAAAGTGAGAGTGAGGCGGGGCTTTATGCTTATATGAAAAACCCTAGTTGTGGGAAATTACTAACCTGTCCTCTGCTGCTTCCCCTATAAAACTCGGGCGGAAAGGTTAACACAAATTTAGAACGACAGCGGTTTGTTTTACATCCATCTGCAGTTTCAACGGTTGTGATTATCAACCCAGGAATAAAAATCTACGGTTGTGATTCAGAATGTTGCAAATAGATTGACCTTGCTGAAAGACTAATATACCCCTAATTACATTAAAATTTTCGCCCCACCCGTCTTTCTCCTTGCTATCAACGAGGCACGACTTGGTTTTACAATGGCACTACACTGGTTGGAAGTTGGAAGTCCCAGATGCTTTCCACAAAATTCAATCAAGCAACTTGCAACTGCTATACTAAGCTTCCCTTTTTTTCTCTTCCTCTCCTTTCTTTCGTTTTATTTTTTGGTGTACAGTTCCTTTCACCTCAAAATATATATCAGGCAATTAATACTGAAAAAACACAATAACTTACCCATTTTGTGGGTCCAATATGGGTTTTCCCCTTGTGCTTTCATGGGGTTCTCATATTATGGCCAGGAGTTTTTGTGACTATAGTATAAAGCTCCGATCTTTTAATGAAAATGAAAGGTTTGGTGGTGTTAAAGTTAGATCTTCAAACTTTAAGCCTTCCACAAGAAGAATTTCGCTTTGTAAGAATAAATTGGTTGACTTTGATGAGAGAACAAGCCCAAATGAGGTAGCTTCAGTTTCGCTGTCTTCTGTTTTCATTATTCTTCTTATTATTTTTATCTGTGCAACGGTTTCTTCAGATATTTGATTTGCTTCACGTTCCATTTTCTGGTTTCCGTTTATGTTTTTAGTGTCTTCGGCTTTTTGTAATTTCTTTTTTATATTGATAATGTTGAGTTCATTGATTCTAAAAGATAGCATACCCAAATTAGATTATAACTGACTAAGCAGAAACTTTTGTGACATTGTATGACAGTTTATAGCGGTTGAGAGAATAGGACAAGACTGGTAACTAATTTAAGATAGAGGAAATGATATAGAGAATATTTGGATCAGTTTCATGCTACAACACTGTGAACTCGCCTGTTTTTTGAGGCATGTTCTGGTTCTGGAAGTTGAACAATTACACTGAGTCTTGGTGGCATTTTAGAGTGCTTACTGAAATGGCTGTGTCTAGAGAAGAAAGGATTATGATTGTAAGGCCGTACTGGTGTTTTGTGGCAATAGGAGCCTTGGTTTGTAGGATTAAGCCAAGGATTATGCCAACGTCAGCTGTTGTTTCTTGTATCTGGTTTTCTAAAATAGTCCAAGAAATGTATTTTGTAGTAGGTATTTCGGCTGGGCCATTATCTGCAACCTAATATAACATGCTTGCTTAAAATCTATCATGGAATTGCACAGAGGGAGGGATAATATGCAATTAATTAAGAGATGAAAATCGTTTTCAATTTTTTTCCAAAAATAATTCAACTTAGCTGATATTTTAATTTCTGCATGCTGCAATTTTAAGAGTATATTTTCATCATTTTTCATGAGAGCGTATAGTTGCTCTATCTTTGATTTCCTCTTGAACAAACGGATGCTTCATTCATCATATGAGGTTAATTGAAATGCAATGACAACTTTAAAACTTTCTTGTTGAGGGTTGTCCTAGTGAGATTTTGAAAGAGCAACTGCGAGGGGCTCAAGTAGCATCAAATAGCAGGGTTACTGCTTATCTTTGCTAACTCTGTCAGCTAGGGCTCGTTTAAAGAAATCTTGGCCTAACTGTTAGAGAAGTACATATAAGATATGTCATTCTATCCTGTTTCCTTGTTGGTTGGCAGGAAATATAACAGTTTGATTATTTCACTTTTTCTCTTTTCTTTTTCTCATTCACTCAAGTTTATGAAATTCCTTAACAGTTCTGAAGAGCTTATTTTTCAATTGGATTTTCATGCTTCAAGGTCAGAAGAGAGATAGAACGATGCTATAATCTCATACAAAGGCTTGGAAGGGGAGTTGTCTATCTGGGTTCTTCAAGAATGGGACCAGATCATCCACATTACTTGCAAGTGCTGGAGTTGGGTAGAGAGGCAAGTAATATTCATCTCAGTTCTTACCTTAATATTTTGTAACCGTTTAATTTTCAGTTCATGCACTGGACAAAAAGTATTTCCAAGTTCATGTAATAAGATTCTGTGGCACTTGGCATCATATTCATGGGTCTCGTGAGTTTTAAATTCCTAGATTGCAGGTTGCAAAGCTTTTGGACTGCACCTCATGGACAGGGGCTGGTCCAGGCCTAATGGATGCTGCTATTAAAGGTGCACTAGAAGCAGGAAAGCCTGTTGGTGGATTTAAGATAGCAAAAGAAGCTGGCGAATGGACAGCCTCAAATTTTCATGCTTACCTGCCATCAGAAACTTATCTTACATGCAGGTGATACTTTACCAGTATTTTCATGATTGTTGGATATTTTACTGATACAGCTTTGGAGACATTGCATGAATCATTTTGAATAAAATTTTAGGTTTTTCTCTGCAAGAAAGCATGGGCTGGTGGATGCTGCAGTTAGGAATAATAGTTCTGATAAGACTGCTGTAGTTGCTCTCCCTGGTGGAATTGGTACTCTCGATGAGATGTTTGAGATTTTAGCACTGATTCAACTAGAAAGGATAGGATCAGAGCTTCCAGTCCCCTTTATTGTGATGAACTATGACTCATTCTACCAGAAGCTTTTAGACTTCATTCAAAATTGTGAGGATTGGGGTACTGTCTCGAGAGGAGAAGTTGCATCATTATGGAAGGTATGCAATAATAACTCAGATGCTTTGGCCTATTTGACAGATTTCTACAATATTCATTCTTCTAGTGATGAAGACAGGCATGATAAAAAGCTCACAACTGCTCCCTGAAAATAGTTTCTTAATAAGTTAAGAGAGTAATTTTTATGCCATTGAATGTATAAAACAGTGAAATTGAACGGATAAATGTTGTACGCGATGATTTATTATCATGGAATTCAGAAATTAATGCACATCTTACCAGAATTGAAGGTTTGGATTTATATTTTTCAATACAAAGGATTTGTTAAGCCCATTGATTCCTAGCTTCAAAGTACTATAACTTTTCAATGACTGAATAATTTAACGCATTGACTTCAAAATTTGGAAGGGTTGTATTGAGTTGGAATCTATCTTAGTGTGCAAATCTGCAAATCTCTAAATTAGTTGCTTGACAACATAAAAGAAAGGAAAGGTAAAAAGAAATAAAATAGGACCTTAATGCCTTTTGCTTACACAGTGAAATGCAAAGCTTATGAAAATAGGAAAAGAGTGAAAAATAGACAATAATATGACCACGAGATTTTAGACCATCCATAAGAGTTAAAAGTTGCGAAACAATTCTTCTCTCTATCTCCCCACCAGTTTTGTCACGTTTAGGAGCAATTGAATCAATTTCATCGATGAAAATAATGGAAGGAGCATTCTTTTCAGCCTCTTCAAATGCATTCCTTATTTTGCTCACTTTCTCCAGCCATCTTTGACATAATTTCAGGTCCATTGATACATAAACAGAAAGTTCCAGTTTCATTAGCAACTGCCCTGGCCATCATAGTTTTACCAGTACCAGGAGGACCATACAGCAAAATCCCTCTCGGTGGTTTAACACCAATAGCTTTAAACAGTTGGGGATGTCTCAATGGCAATTCAATCAACTCCCTAATTTGAGCTAATTGTTTCTTAAGACCACCAATATCATCATAACCAACACCATCAAGCCTTTCTTCGTCTTCCCTTTTCACAGAATCCCCATCTTAGAAAATCTCAGTTTCAGGAGCAACCTCGCAGTATTCATTAGGATCAGTTTCAATGACCTTAAACTCAGCACTCCTCATACCTCCTCTCACAAGAAAAAGATCTCCTTTTCTAACTGGTCTATAATTATCACTAAAATAAGGTTTCAAATAAGCTTCAAAAAGATTGCTGTAATGCCTTCAAGTGTATCATCCAAAGGCAGCACATGAACTGTCTTCCCGTGCCCAACTTCAAAACCATGAACAGAAATCATATCGCCAAGCCTAACCTTCAAGTTTGATCTAATCACTCTGTTCATCCTGATTTTATGCACCTCGCAAGTTTCATCTGCCCATGCAATGCAAATTTTATCTTTCCTTCTTTTCCCTTTAATTAAAAGGGTGTCGCCTTGAAAAAGATTAAGCTTTTCAAAGGCATGTGGATGGAGTTGAATCGAAGAATTGTCATCGTTAATGGCTTCATCAACGATGAAACGAATGGCTGATGTTTTGCGATCAAGAATTGCAGTACTATAATCTCTCTTTTTTCCCCTAGAGCCGAAGGAACTTGCTTGCTCACTCATGTTTACAATTCTAAAACTCGTAAAACAACATTCAGCACAAGGAAATAGAACAAACAATGATAAAAGATTTAGTGAATATTCAAGTATACATATAGCATGTGCAAGGCCTAAAATCCAGTTATTTCAGGAATCCAAATCCAAAGGAATCTATTTTTCATTCTAATATACTTTATACAATTATAGTGAGGGCATTTGTTGAAAAATTATAGAGAATAATTATATTTACTGTCTTAATTTTTTAGTTTTTGTTCATTGTATTGTCTAAACGAAAAGAGTTGCAATTGAGTATGTGAAACTATTAAAAAAAGTTGCAATTAAGTGAATTTAGTCATCGCCGGATAATTAAAATGAACTATTTTACTCGAGAAATGATATTAAATATAAATATTTATTCAATTTAGCTCTCTTTTTTAAAATTTTTTTTATTGTCTTGTCTTTCAACTCCAAAACAACATAAAACAAATAAAAAAGAAAGGTAAAATCTTGAAAAATAAATAAAGTAAAAATAAAGCAATTGAGTAAAACAATTCATTTTGATTTTCCAATGTGAAATTTCAATTAAATCCATTTAATTGTACTAAAATTACTAAGTCATACGCTAAAATAGAAAAACTAAAAAGGTAAAACACCACTATTATAATTAATACATAATCATGTATGACAATTAACATTAAAAGAAGTAACTTTTTATAACACGTTCACTCAAATTCTAAATACTAATATAAATACTATATCACTAAATAATATAAATAATAGAAATAGTATTTTGACTTTAGTTATGTGAAAAACTATTTCCGAAGAGGCTCTACAAAAAATAGAGAAAGGGGGCTTTCGATTGAATGAAAGAGGAGAGAGAGATTATCAATTTCATTTTTAGGGTTTAACCAAAAATAATTTTGATTGTTTTTGCTATGGTGGGTTAAATTAACAACAAAGGTAGGTCATATAATTAATGTTTTTTTTTTTTTGTTCATTTCAGTTCAAAATAAATAAAGTACAATTAAAATAAAATATAAAATTTGGGATGTCTAAGAAATAAAAATCATTTCGAGTGAAGTTGAAATAATTCGAAAATTTAGGATGAAAAATATTATTTAGCCTATATAATAATTACTCCTTCCTCATGATTTAGAGGCTTATGATTATTTCAGGAGTTCCTAAGTTTAATAGGCCAGCCAATAATAGAAAAGCCCAATCTCAAATTTCGTTGTGCTTTGGCGTTAGGCTAAAAATAACAAGGCCCAGCCCAAATGACAATAAACTTTAACCTCTACTTGTAGTAACTAACGCATTTATCATGTAATTAATCTTTGCTTTCCCAAAAAAAAAAAAAAAAAAAAAAGTTCCTAAGTTTAATAGGCCAGCCAATAAAGAAAAGCCCAATCTCAAATTTCGTTGTGCTTTGGCGTTAGGCTAAAAAATAACAGGCCCCAGCCCAAATGACAATAAAAACTTTAAAACCTCTACTTGTTAGTAACTAACGCAATTATCATGTAAATTAATCTTTGCATTTCCCAAAAAAAAAAAAAAAAAAAAAAAAAAAAGTAATTAATCAATACAATCAATGCACAGGATTTGGATATCAGAAAATCTATGTTGAATTCAAGTAATTTATGAAATGGAGACACCTTTTTCAGTTACTTCTTTATTGCATTCTTGATTATGTACTTATCAAAAATCTTTTTTTTTTTTTTTCTTTTTCTTGCTATTTTCTTTCTAATAATGGTTAATTTTTGCACCCACTATTTTTTTTTTTTTTTAAATAAGAAGTCATCTTTGCGGTTATGGAGTTGTTGTGAGTTTTCTTTTTGATTTTTTTTTTTTTTTTTTTTTTTTTTTTTTTTTTTTTTTTTTTTTTGAAGAAAGAGTTACCTTGAGGATAATTTCAAAGCAGAATTATTAAGTATTATATAATAATTAGAACTTAAAACCTACAATTTTTCAATAGAGGCTTTTGATTTAAATTTTTTGAATGAGGATTTGAGGAATCTATGGAATAAGAAAATTAAATGGTGGAGGATTTGAATTTAAATTTTAAATTTTAAAATTCATTTGGAGTTTGCTGTCATGAGATAATGAGATTATTTTCAAAACCTTTCATGGATTAAGATCTTTCATTTTGAGTATTTAAAATTCCATTATAAGATTCTAAATCACTCATTTTAATGAATGAATGAATTTAAAAATTAGATAAATTTATTCATAAATACAATTGAAATCCATGTACCTACTGAAATTTTAACCAAATAAAGTGAGAAATTTCGAATTTAGTGAGGTCAACCTTTACTGTGTAACTCATTAAAATAAATTCAAATATTATAATAGGGGCTAAGATGATATTATTATTATTTTTATTCATTGTAAGCTAAACGAGCCGAAATAATATTTTGGACTATACAATAAAAGAATAGTCCTACGTTTTGGATAATTGAAACTTGAAACTTTTTATTCTCCATATTTATATATAGTGTGAAAAAATTAACCAGACTACACATTGGAGAAAGAAAAAATAAATAAAATCGTTGGCCATAAAATATATTAAATACTAGAATTCAAGCTTATCATTTTCACCATGTTTGTTTTTAATTAATTTTTTTGAAAAACTAACAATAATATTATCAAAAAGTTTATACAAGGCCCAAAAGTAAGAAGAATATCAGGCCCATGATCTTGGCCCAAAAACAATTTGGCAAGGCAAGGGCACAAATACAAAATCAAAAGACTCAATCTTCATCGGTATATCGGTTCCTTAACACCTTGTAAAACATACACAGATAAACAAGAACAGCCATATAGACAAGGCTCGATCTGCTTCATCACCGCCGATAATCTCCGGCAACAAGAGGTACTTTCTAAATATTTACAGAAAAAGTCATTTTTGATTAAGCTTATTCCAACTCTTAATTGCTTATTTGCTCGTCACTGTAATCCTAATTTCGTTGCTCTACGTGTTTCCCATTATCTAAATTTCCACCTTTGGACCGAGCTCAAAATTTTTCTTCGATTTTGACTCGTTCTCAGCTCACTGATTTCCTTGTGCTCAATTAGCAATGCATGGAATTGTTTTGTGTTAGCTTTAGAGCTACCTAACCTGAACCAGACCCTTTTCATCGAACTGGCTCAAAATTATAGCCCTAATCTGGACTTCTCTCTTGGTGCATCTGTAATAGGGTGTTGGGAAGCTGAATTGGTTCAATCTGGAAGTTACTTTATTTATCTATTTGTTTGTAGATGGCTGGGCTGGATTGCTTTCCTTTTGGATTTAGTTTAATTTTGAATTTGCATGCTAATTAGCAAATTCTCTTTTTGTTAACCAAAGGTTTTAGTTTCTCGGCTTATTTCTGGTTGAATTCGTTTCCATCAACATGCCTGCTTAATGTATTGATCTAAATTGACTTTGTTTTTTGGTCTTATAATTTGTACTTCTAATTTTGTAATTGGTTTCTTTTGACTTGGATATTATTTTACATTACTTGAATGACTCATAATTTTATCAGATATTCCTACATGCCAACACAGAGCTTAATTGGATGATAATGGCTGCTCCGGCATCTGCAAAAACAACTGCTTTTGATTTTGATGATGATGATGATGATACACCCCTAGTTTTTAGAAGGGGAAGTAACTCAACTTCTAAGCAGAATCAGTTGAAGCAAGAAGTCAAGAAGCCTTTGTTGTCATCACAGAGCTCTAATGGTCAAAGTTCAAATTTCCAAAAAGGTAAGAACACTGTTCCATCTTCCAAGGCATCGCCAGTGAAATCTCCAATAGGAAGCCCTAAAGCATCTACTTCTACTGCCAAGCCATCTCAAGTGAAGTCACCTGTTGCAAATTTAAAAGCATCAAGTTTTTCGGGTGAACAGTTGAAACAGACATCAAAACAAAATGTAGCTAATGTTGTTAAGCAGGAGGTCAGCACTGTTAAGCATAAAACTGAACCAAATAGTGAGGATTCTGAGGATGATTTACCATTGAGTTCTAAACTCAAGGGGAACTCCAACAATGTCAAAGAAGTCAAAAATGAAGATTCAGATGATGATGATGACAATATCCCTTTGTCCTCAAGGTTTCCAGCAAAGTCAAATGCAGGAACTTCGGGTAGTAAGCCTAATAATTTTAGTGAAAAGAAACCTTTGGCTTCAAAAATTCAACAAAATGGTTCAATTACAAAGGACAAGCAACAGAAAATGTCCATGGTGCCATCTAAGAGGCCTATGGATAAGGCTAATTCATCAGATCAGTCTTCTGCTAAAAAGCCTAAGATTTCTGATGCTTCCACAGCAATGAAAATTAAGCAAGTAACTGTCAAAGCAGAAGAGGATGGCAATGACAATGTTCCAATTTCTCTGAGATTAAAGAAGTCAGGCTCCTTAGATAGTAAATTATTATCTGCTAAGCAAAAAACAACTAAAGTTGTTTCTTCTTCATTCAAGAAGACGAATAAGAAGAACAAGAAACAAATGAAAAATACAAAATATTCTAAGTCGACAAAAGTGCAACCTAACTCCACTGATGGACAGAAAAAATGGACTACATTGGTTCATAATGGTGTTATTTTCCCGCCTCCATACAAGCCTCATGGCATTAAGATTCGCTACAAGGGGCAACCAGTTGATTTAACTCCTGAACAAGAGGAGGTCTCTCTCTCTCTCTCTCTCTCTCTCTCTCTCTCTCTCTCTCTCTCTCTCCCTCTCTATTTTTCCCGCTCCATACCAAGCCATCCATGGCATTAAGATTCGCTACAAGGGGCAACCAGTTATTTAACTCATGAACTAAGGAGGGTCTCCTCTCTTCTCCTCTCTCATCCTCTTCTCTCTCTACTATACTCTCTTCTCTCTCTTCCCTCTCTGTATTGGGAGAATGATATTTTGCATGTCTTGAATACTTCATTCCTTTATCTCCTGTTTTGGCAGCCACTGTAGCTGTCAGGTTCTTCCTTCATATTTGATGAGAACTAATTTGTTTTCTTTGATTTTCATCAATCTCAGGTTGCGACAATGTCTCTCTCTCTCTCTCTCTCTCTCTCTCTCTCTCTCTCTCTCTCTCTCTCCCTCTCTGTATTGGAGAATGATATTTGCATGTCTGAATATCTTCATTCCTTTATCTCTGTGGCAGCCACTGTAAGCTGTCAGGTCTTTCCTTCATATTTGATGAGAACTATTTGTCTTTCTTTGATTTCATCAATCTGCAGGTTGCGACAATGTTTGCAGTGATGAAAGATACAGACTACATGCAAAAGCCAAAATTTCTCGAAAACTTCTGGAATGATTGGCGAAAATTATTGGGGAAGAACCATATAATACAGAAGTTGGAGGACTGTGATTTCACCCCTATATACCAGTGGCATCAGCAGGAGAAGGAGAAAAAGAAACAGATGAGTACAGAAGTATGTCAGCACACAAATAACATTCTGTGTTGAATTGAAACCAATATCTCTATTTCTTTCTTGTTCTTTTAGTGCATCTTTTAGATAAAATATATCTATTTGACAATCAGTAATATCAAAAGTTGATGTTCATGTAGGAGAAGAAGGCCTTGAAAGAAGATAAATTGAAGCAGGAGGAAAAGTACATGTGGGCTGTTGTTGATGGTGTAAAAGAGAAGGTGATCTTCTGCTTTTACTTTATTTTTTTCTCGTGAAGAAACTTTTGTTTGGTCAGCTATATGCATGTATGTCTTTCTGTGTGTTTGCATGCCTTGGTAAGATAATTCTAGCTAATGGTGGTATTTATGATGCACATCTTTTTTTCTGGCTGCATTTCTACTACTTAAATGGTTTCCATATAATTTGAAAATATTATCTCAATCACAGGTCGGAAATTTCAGAGTTGAACCACCTGGACTGTTTAGAGGCCGGGGAGAGCATCCAAAGGTTCTAGTGACATCCTTTTCTCCAAAAATATTTTATTTAAAAGATCTGTAGCATGTTTCATTTTGATATGTAGCGGCTGTAACTGTTTGTAGTTATCCTGAGTTGCTTTTAATGATTGATACTTATCAGATGGGAAAGCTGAAAAATCGCATTCGGCCAAGTGATATTACCATAAATATTGGAAAGGATGCCCCAATTCCTGAATGTCCTATTCCTGGTGAAAGGTTTGTTTCACTTGATCCCTTCCAAATATGGGAAGGAAGCACTACTTTTAACATACATTTAAGAGTTTTGATTTCTTATTTGAACTGAACTTCTGAAATTTTTATCTTGCAGCTGGAAAGAAATAAAGCACGATAATACTGTCACTTGGTTGGCTTTCTGGAATGATCCAATCAATCCAAAGGAATTCAAATATGTTTTCTTGGCAGCCAGCAGTTCCTTGAAGGGCCAAAGTGACAGGGAGAAATATGAAAAAGCAAGAATGCTGAAGGTAGTGAGCTACAAGCTTCTAGCACTTGTCACTTTCGTATCTAAATCAGTAAATTGTCCTTAAAGAATTGGCCGTGTTTTGAGTGCAGAACTTCATAGACAACATAAGAGCAGCCTACCAAAAGGATTTTAAGAGTAAAGATGTTACGAAGAAGCAAATAGCAGTTGCTACCTATCTAATTGATAAGTTAGCTCTTAGGGCCGGTAATGAGAAGGTATGATCTGGCCTGATATATGTTTATTTATTTCTTTTTTTAGTTTCTTTTACTTGTTGCTCTCTCTTCCTGTGCTGTTCATTTCTGTATGTTAAGTGAAGTGCTTTAATCCTTGGCTGTTAAATAGGGATATTTTCTTTATATGTGGTATTTACTGCATCGAGAGAATGGTTCTTGCCTTGTCATCATTCTTTTACCTTTCATTTTAAAATCTGATATTACTGTGGACGTAACCATGTTATCTTTCAAATGTTAGGAAGCTTTAGTAATTTACCTCTACTGTTTTTATACAGATTATAAACTTGATGCATCTAACGTTCGATGTTGTAATAGGCGCTTTAGGTGTCAACATGTTCCTGCAAAAAGCGGACCAAAATGCTTTAAGGCCACATTTTTTTTCCCATAGCTGATGACATTTGAAGTGACAGCTGCCACTTGCTAATCCAAGCATTATAAAATAACTTATTTGTTTTTACTATTGCAACCAGACAATATATTTTCCACATTTTTAATTCTGAAGTAAGTACTCAGTGTTTTGGACATGATAAATATGATAAATATGATGGTGCTAAAGAGGGAAGAGGTAGACCTAGAACTACATGGAGGGAAGTGGCAGTGAAAGATCTAGGATCTCTTGGGATTGATGTGATCTAGCCATGGACAAAATAGAATGGAGACAAAAGATTCACACAGCAGATCCCCATTAATCTAGGATTAAAGCTCCTTTACTATTGTCTGTCGATTCTTTTTTTTTTTTTTTTTAAGATTCACACAGCAGATCCCCATTAATCTAGGATTAAAGTCTTTTACTATTGTCTGTCCGATTCTTTTTTTTTTTTTTTCTTACCTATTTATCTTATTTATTTTTATTTATATATATTTTTTATGCGTTTTGCTTTGTTTCTTGCTTATTATTGGAATAGAGCAGATAAATTGGCAAAAGGATTCACACAGCTGACCCCAACTACTTTTTGATAGTTGTTAGTAGTGTTGAAAGAAATAGATCCTAAGTTTTATAAAGTTTCATTTCTCCCCAACCATGTTACTGACTTACATTTTGAATAAATTATATATCTGTGTCCGCGGCTATCATAGTTTTGTTGCTTTCATTCTAATTTATCAATTGATATTTCTACAGGTTTTTTTTTTTTTTTTTTTTTTCTTACCTATTTATCTATTTATTTTTATTTATATATATTTTTATGCGTTGCTTGTTTCTTGCTATTATGGAATAGAGCAGATAAATTGGCAAAAGATTCACACAGCTGACCCCAACTACTTTGATAGTTGTAGTAGTTGTGAAAGAAATAGATCCTAAGTTTATAAAGTGTCATTTCTCCCCAACCATGTTACTGACTTACATTTTGATAAATTATATATCTGTGTCCGCGGCTATCAGTTTTTTGTTCATTTTTTATCATGATATTTCCACAGATGACATAAAGCATGATATTTCTACAGGCTTCTTTTTTAAATAAATTTATAATTATTGTTGGATAAGGAACTTATGAGTGAGGCTGAAAAAAAAAAAGGGAGTTGCTATCAATTTCGAGGCAACTGATCTAGAAATTTGCATCTCTTAAGATAATCAAAACCTGTTGGTGGTAACTTTTACTTAATGTATTGGTGTTCTACAAGTTTTCATAAAGGATGTTTCCCTTGGTTAACCTTTTGTGCTGTATAAAATATTTTCATTAGCAATTAGATTTACAGCTCCTAATCTCTTTTAGTCAATATGTTATCATATTTTGCTTACGCCATGGTGGGCCTTATGCAGGACGATGATGAAGCAGATACTGTTGGTTGTTGCACATTAAAAGTAGCAAACGTAGAGTGTATTCCTGGAAGTTACAACTTGAAGGTATTATGGTTTTATGTCCCTGGAAGTACTTGCTTTTTAGTTGATTAACTGTGTAAGTGGGCGGGCCTATTTTCATTTTCTAAAGGTTCTTTAAGGCAATTATGGCATATATTTATTCAATTAAACTTAAAATGTATTATTGTTGTTGATTTGGTCACTTTGCAGTGGCTATTAATGCTTGGAAATTTGACACTTGTGTTACTGTGTAAAACCTTTCCGTCCTATCATCAGTCTTAACACCTGTGCTTTTGTTTATCATTTAGTTTGACTTCCTTGGTAAAGATTCAATTCGATATGAAAACACAGTTGAGGTTAAGCCTGAGGTGTATGATGCAATCGGAACATTTCAAAAAGGTGAGCATATGGCCTATTCATGTTAGTTATTGTATATTCAATGCTTTGGACCCATAGATAACATGTTTTCATTTTGTTCCAGGAAAGAAGCAAACTGACGATCTTTTTGATAAGCTGGATACAACTAAATTGAATGCTCACCTGAAGGAACTCATGCCTGGCCTTACAGCAAAAGTTTTTCGTACATATAATGCATCAATCACATTGGATGGAAAGGTGAATCACAAAATGGGGCCTGCTATCATGTTTCATAATGTATATTAAATTTAATGAACCTTGGAAAAGTATTTGAGAGAGCTTATTCCAGCTAAATTGTTTCTTTGGGCATGCCATTAGTTATGACTCTTGATAAAATGGACCAGATTCTTTACCAAGTCTATATGGTGGTCATATCATCTACAGAAGTAGTTAGCATTTTAAGATTTTTAGTTTCTGGCCTTGCATTGTTTGGCATGACAAAATGAGATTTGCTTGAGATAGGTATATGACCTCAATACTCCTGGCTTTGACAACCCTGATAAAAAGAATTTTTACTTAATAATATGGATTTCCTGCTTTATGAATTTCTTTCTGTCATCTTTGTGGAGTGCTTTTGTTGGTTATTGTCCATCTGAATATATTTTTGTTATGACAGTTATACGAGGAAACTGAAGATGGTGGTGACCTTGCAGAAAAAGTTATCATTTATAACCGAGCAAACAAGGAGGTAAAGCTGGCTTGGCAAGAAACATTCTTGATTGGTGGTGGTTCTTCTTGAACTTACCCGTGCATATGTAATTTTTGCTTCCCTCGCTGCAGGTGGCAATCATTTGTAATCATCAACGTACTATCTCAAAATCTCATGATGCACAAATGTCTAAGTTAACTGAGAAAATCGAGGAACTCAAGGTAATGAAAATTTCTTGCACGTTGTCAAGCTTTTGGCATTCCCGAAGTTCATGCTTTGAGTTGACTTTTCTTCTTTTTCTTTGCTTGCAGAGCACTATAAAAGAGCTGAAAACTGATTTGGACAGGGCCAAGAAGGGGAAGCCCCCATTAAAGGGTCCAGATGGAAAGCAAAAGCGGAATCTGAGCCCTGACGCGTAATATAACTTGGCCTTTTGTTCTAGTGCTTTTATATACACATGTTATCTGTATATTTGCTGTTTCACCGTAGTGCATTGATTGCTACAGCATTGAGAAAAAGATAGCTTCAACTAATCAAAAGATTGAGAAAATGGAACTGGCTATGAAGACCAAAGAGGATTTGAAAACTGTGGCATTAGGCACATCCAAGATCAATTACCTTGATCCTAGGATTACAGTAGCATGGTGCAAGCGACATGAAGTTCCCATAGAAAAGGTGTGAACAAATTATTTATGCAACCTTTTTATGGGTGACATTACTTAACCAACAATTATGCTTCGATTGCATGTTGGACTTGGCCAAGAATTTTGCTTTCCTTGCATGTGCGTTCTAACTGTGTGTATAATGCAAGTGCATGTTGATGTTTTTGCAGATATTCAACAAATCTCTCCTGGCAAAGTTCACTTGGGCAATGGACGTGGATCCTCAATTCAGATTCTGATTGCGGCTTGTCGAAAGAGTAATTGAGTAAACATTTGCCCCCACCTGCAAAATCAAAATCTTTAAAAGAAAGAAAGAAATTAAGAAATAGTACAATTCCTCTTCTTTTCTCTCCCCCATTACAGTTCATTTAACATTTTTTTCTTCTGTTCAAGCGGAAAATTAATGTTGTATGTTCAATCTAATCTAATCATGGAGCAATTTGCCCCATTCTTTATACTGTTTCTCTTTTTTTAGACTATGTCTCAGTGATTGCGGCTAGAATTTGTTTGCTTAGAGGCTTGGAGACATCTCATTCTAACAATATAAATGTCAAAAACATATTTAAATGAGTCAGACACAAAGTAACTTATGTTAATTTTCATTTTGTTCATCTTGAGTCTGGGTTTTTCGTGAACTTCTCCTGCTGCCTGGAGATACAGGGCTGGAAGTTAAAGGTTGGTGAGGAGTGATGGTGTAGCAGCATCTTGTTGAATACTTATGTACAAGGTTTAATAGTTTTGAGGGGGAATCTGGAATTGGATTTGTAGTTCACAGTTTTTTGCAATAAATTTTATATGAAATCATTTCATTTGTAAATAAATTGACCAACTTTTCACTCCACTTAAATCATTTCTTTCAAAGCTATGTTCCCTCGTTATAGTGTGCAGTGTGCACTTCTCTCTAAAATATCTTATATTCAACAAATATGAAAAAGAGTTTAACGTCTCATATGATGATCGGATTTCACTAACCACTGCACCCGTTACCTTATAATCTTGGATTCAATTTAATGTTTTCACAGTTGCTGATTTGCAGTCTTTGAACCAAATTCCAGGATTAGATCTCATCTAGAAATTAGAAGTATTGTAAAATATATATTCTGTTATTTTCATATTCATTAATTTTCTTCTACAATCCAATAAGGGAAAGACGGTGCCTTAAGAATCTAATTAACTAACTCATGTTTCAATTAAGTATAAGTGGACGAATTTTCCTTCTATATATCTTTTGTAATTAATTTCTTAATTATCTTCCGTATTTTATTTGTGCACTTAATACTTTTTTGAACAACAAATCATCAAAAAGAGGAAATATAATAGTTCCAAAATGTTTATTTAAACACGATACAAATCAATACTTATAGCTAATTACACTTTGACTTTTAGCGTTTTAAATTCACAATGTATTTATTTTAGTTTTTTTTTTTTTTTTTATTTAAAAGCTTTGCAAAAGATGGTTTTAGCAAATTCGACCAATACTTTTAATTTTATCAATTATTACCTCATACTTTTTTTCCTTGTCAATTACCTCCTCTGTTCAGAATATATTAATTTGTTGTTTATTTGATCATTAGTTAGCTGCACAGGACAGTAGTTGACATCCATGTGGCTGTTCTTTTGCGATTTATTCTTATTTTTAGAATCTTTAAGTTGAAAGAATATGTTGTTGAGATAATCTCTTTCGTGTCCCACCACAAGCTTGAAAGAATCTAATATGGTTTTACAATTATCAGATTTTTTATGGATCTTTGACAGCAACTCGTAACTTCAGCAACTCCAAAGTTTGTTCAGGTAGATTTTTTTGCTCCTATAGCTGCATCATTCGGCCATATCTAATCGAATTCTAGAAGGCGGCCAAAATTGAAAATAAAAAATAAATAGGAGGGTATTGATTGATAAAATTAAAAGCATTGGCCAAATTTGAAAAAAATTCAAAAGTTGATAATTTTTTAGTGATTAATCCTTCAAAAAATTGTATTTTTTGTTACCTTCTAATTTTATGCTATAAAGAAGTTCAATTATATAAATTTTTTTGTATTTTCACTATGAGCGAGTAATATAAATAATTTTAAATTTTGAAACTGGTCCAACTCCTATATATTAATTTAGAAGATAAAAATCTTAAATTATATTTAAGGGGAAAAAATTTTTATGTATTTTTTTGAATGAAAATTATAGTTTTATTAATTAATTAAATCATGAGTATATATATATATAGAGGACACGAATTCCATTCAGTCTCATTAAATATAAAATCAGTTACGTTTTTAGCAAATAAACTACTTGATTTGATGACCTTTTTTTTTTTATTTTAATCATCCGATATCCGAAGTCCACTGACCTGATTAATCTGGATTCGCGCTCGACAAACCCAAAAAGGGGGCAAACTGCTCCCTCCCGAATATTTAACAAGACTCCATACACAAAGACTTGATTTGATGACCTTTAACAAAAGACAACAGAACGTTATATTCAACTAAATCATCGAAACGTTACATAAGAATCATCAATGAACTAAACTACTAAAAGAAGAAAATATGTTTCTAACAAAAGTTGTTTGGAAAATATATTTTACATATTTCTATCAATATATATATTATTACAACTATTTTATCAATATGACAAGCAACTGTAAACTAATTCATATATATTTATATTTTAGAAATTCTAAATGTTTTTTGTTTCAATTGTAATTTTGAATTAGTTGAAGTTAGAAACAATATCCCAAAAAGTTATATGTTTATCAAATTAATACTGTAAACCATTTGCTGAAAGCTCAAATGTGTAGTATTGTTTATTTTATTCTTAGTATTTGGATAATGGATACAGACATGTAGGGTGCAATGAAGATACCTATCTAAACACCCTTATTGACATATAAACTTTTATTCATAAGCTCCATTTAAAGTTCAAATGGTTTAGTTTTCTTCTAATGTCCATGTCCGTGTCCATGTCCATGTCCGTGTCCGTGTCCATGTCCATGTCTGTGTCCGTGTCCGTGTCCGTATCCTCCATGTTTCCCATATTTGTGTCCATGCCCGTGTCCTCCATGTCCCTTGTGTTTGTGTCCATGTCCGTATCCGCTTACATGGGCTTGGCTTAAATCTACATTTGCAGTTTCCTCTGCAACAAAAAGTTGATCAAGAAATGTTAAGTACTGCATACTAATTAATCGTATGTTTGCATTTGATGTTAAAGTACTTCCCAAATAAAGAGAGAAAAAAAAAAAATGCAAGCTAAGATAATATCAGAAACAAAAACTCACGAGTTTGATCTGTCTGAGCAGAGACCTCAGATGAGATGAGAAGAACAATGGCAAATGCAACGCTAAGAAGAAGGAAAATCTTTGAGCAAGCCATATTAATTAAGGACAAGGAAAATAGATTTTTGCTCAAGTATTGAATGTGGCTAGTGGAGCTAAAATCTCCTCTATTTATAAACTTTTCGCAGGACAACAAGCAGTCTTCTTCATTTTTTTTTTTTTTTTTTTTTTTTTTTCTGTAAATTTTTTCTAGTCTGATTTTTTTTTTTTTTAAAAAAAAAAAATTGGGGGGGCTTTTTTTTTTTTTTTTTTTAAAAAAAAAAAAAAATTGTGATTGCATTTGACTAATGGAGTCGAAAAAGTCAAGATTTGGACTAAAGAAGTAAAATGAGATGTGGAGGTGGGAAGTGGGAAGTGGATGATTCGCATTTTACAATTTTTGGTTTCTTGAAAATTCTCAAGATTCTAGAATAAGTTGCAGATTATGTGGTGTTTGGCTACTTGCACATTTTCAAAGAAATGAGACTAATTATCTAAAGCAGAAAAGAAAAGTACGTGCGTAATGGAATTTGCTTAGTTAATTTCTTTGTTTTGATTTTATTTATACTGACTATTAAGTAGTTGGCTGGCCTTGCAATCCCATTTTAGTTTTATTATTCATGTTTATATGTTATATATATTAGCATGCTTTTATAAACTTATTATAATTTTGTGAAGAAATGTGTAATATTTCTAATTCCTATATACTTAATATATAAGAAAAATATGAATCTAGAAAACAAAATTTTACCTCATAAAATTATGATAGAATAGAAGTAATTATGATAGAATAAGCCGATGACATTTTTTATAAAATCTTTGATTTTTGTATATAAAATATTATTTTAATGTGTAGTTAATATAATTTTTGAAAATAAATTTTTATATTTTTCAACTATTCAATTAAGGACGAAGCTACATTATTCTAATCACATCTATATGAGGCCCTTGCTAATGAATAAACTCTCATATTAAATTTTGTAATACTTTACATATTGTAATTAAATGAATAAAATTATATAATTCAATTATATATTTTCTTCAATTCCCATTAAATTTTTATTTTAAAAAAAAAATAACCGCATAGATAGAATTGTAATAAAGTCATAGTAAAACTAATAAGAAATAAAATCGACCATATCCAAACTGGTCTTCCTTTTTTGATCTGAGAATCAAAATCAATGGTTTCAATTAAAAATTAAAACAAAATCGGTTCTAAAGACAAAGTTAAATCTATGTCAAATGTTATCAGCATGTTTTTTTTTTTTTTTAAGAGATGTTTATATGAAAGTTTTAGATTGTAGTTGAACACTGAAACAACATATAAATAGAAATAATATTTGATCAATGTCATTATAAATAAACATAAAATTTCGTTTTGAAAAAATAAAAATCTTCTAATTTACAGTTATTTTTGGAGTAGTATTTTTTTTTTCTTCTTTGTTTATACATGATATATGCAGTTGGTCGATATAATAATAATAATATATGAGAAAAAAAAAATGAAATTTCACTTCACAAAAATATGATATCTTATATAAAAGTAGTTTGAGTGAAAAATTTTGTTCAGGACATTTTATTTCAGTAAATAATTATTCAATGTAATAATATACTTAAGTATTCCAAAAATTGAAAATAATGGCAATGACGATAGTTTTATTAAGGGTCCAGCAACAGACACTCTTATTCACTTGCAAACGTTCATATATGGCTTTTTAAGTAATACAATTTCATATGCTAACGAGTAGCAATATGCTAAAGGAAATTCGTCATCTACTTTCCAACATTAGTCTCCTTTTGTGCAACCAAGTCTTGGGTGCTCACTGTGACTTGCTTCGCAACATGTTTGTGGCTATGTCCATATCCGTATCCATGTTTATGCTCATTCTCATGCCCATATTTGTGCTCGTGATCATAACTATGTTTTGTATTCATGTCCGTGTCCGTACCCGTATCTGTATTTATGCTCGTTCTCATGTCCATGCTTGTGCTCGTGATCGTCGCCATGTTTGTCTTCGTGTTTATGTTCATGTTCATGATTATGGTTGTGCTCATGTTTGTGCTTGTGCTTATGCTCATGTTTATGTTCATGCTTGTGTTCATGGTGATGCTCGTGCTCGTGCCCGTGCCCATGCTTGTGCTCGTGCTTGCGCCCATATCCTTGCTCGTGACCATGAAAATGGTTCAAGTCTACTTGTTTATTTCCTTCTACAAATTGAACAAATTAATTAGGGTTAGTAGTCATATATATTACATGTAAATACTTTATGCTTTGCAAGCAAAAAATGCTATAAATTTAACATGAATCAAACTATTTACAGCATGATCATATCACATATATACCTTCAATGTAACGATTCAGTAATTTTACTTAGCTATATATTTAACCTAATATGTCTAATTTCAGTGAAGCTTAAAACTTGAATCTATCTTAAATTTTTTTTTTTTTAAATAGCAAATAAAAACCTAATTCTAACTAAGATAATATATAAGAGGAAGTTAAAACTTACAAGCTTGAACTCGTTCAATAAGCTCACGAGCTAAGACCTCTGATGATGTAAGAAGAACAATAGCCAAGAGAATGCCAATAAGAAGAATAAAAGTTTTTGATGAGTCCATTTTCCTTTGGGCAACCCACAGAGTATAAAGAGAATATTAATATTTCCAGTTATAGCTACAAACAAAAGATGATATTTATTTGAGTTTTTCGCAAGGAAGAGAAGCTTGGAGCTTCTCAATTTATACAAGCTATTTTTGCAGGCAGTTCTTTTTTGATTTTTTTTTTTAAAAAAAGAAAAATAATATTAAAGTTCAATAGTCAAGGTTTGGATTAGTGGAACTCGTATTTTCTTTGTATGCAGAAAAAAATTTTCAAATTGATAGGATGACTAATAATAATTAAATGGGTGTGATTGTGGTAATTAAGATCAAAGAATTTTTCTTGACTAACTAATTACCATGAATTGGTTTTTTCTTTTTTTGATAATAATTACCATGTTTCAATTAAGTATAAGTGGACAAATTTCCCCTTGTAACTTTTGTTTTTTATTCATGTAATTGTAATTAATGCCTTAATTATCTTCCGTAATTTATTTGTGCACTTTACATTTTTTGAACAACAAATCATCAAATTGGGGAAATGTTCTAGTTGCTAAAATGTTTATTTGAACACGATTAAATAAATTAAAGTAATAAATTAATACTTTTAGCTAATTACGGCTGTGAAAGATTAATAGTTTTAAGTTATGATATTTGCTTATTGAAAGTAATTTTTCTGTGCAATTTGATTTAGGGTCTTAATTGTTTTATGATTGTCTCTAGGGTTAAGAGTTAAATTTATAAAAAGGAAAAATGTAGTTTTATTTTCTAAAAAAATTAAAATTTACATAATGTTATTTTCAAAAAAAAAAAAAATTCAAAATTTTAAATTATTACGCTATAGAGAAGTTCAATTATATAACATTTTTATATTTTTCACTATTGATAATAAAAATAATTTTATTTATTAAACTACTACAGCTCAATGGTCCAACGCTCATAGATGAGTTCAGAAGGTAAAAATCTTAAATTTTGTAACCTTGATTTCATCAAATATAAATCTATTCCATTTTGCTTGCTTAACCTCTTAATAGAAGACACTCAAACATTATTCAATTCAATCATCAAAGCCAACTAAATTATGAAAATAAAAAAATTATGATAATTATCAAATACTAAATGTATATACTTCCTCCGTCCTATTTTGCGTACATGGTATGACAAAATACGCATATTAAGAATTTAGTCAACAAAAGTTATTTTGCCATTTTTTACCCTTAATTCATTAAAATATTAATAAAAGCCATTCATTTAATGAGCAACCATAAAAATTATCATGGAAAAAATAATTGTTTATATATATAAATTTAGAAACCATGCAAAAGTAATAACAAGAAAACAAAATGAGACAGAGTGAATAGTAATTTATATCTACCACATTATATATTATTACTACTGGCTTATCGATATGACAAACGATTATAAGCTAATCCATATATCATGGTAGTGGATTAAGTTGATTTAAAGATTTCTTTTATAATTTGAGAGTTATATACGATTTTAAAAATTTTAATTTTTTTTGTTTCAATTATAATTTTGAATTACTTGAAGTTTGAGATACTACCAGAAGCTATGCTTATCAAAATAACACTTGAAGCCATTCGATGGGAGTTCAAAAGCTTAGAACTACTTGTCTGATTAAGTATAAAAAATCATGAGTTTAAAACCCTAACCATCGTATTTCAAAAATTAGGTTTGATTATAACTATCCAGGTAAAATATTTGGATAGGCAAGTTGTTTTATTATATATTCTTTCAATTAGTATTTCCATAGACATGTAAGGTGCAGTGAAGATGCCTATCTAAACACCCTTATTACATTCATAAGCGCCATTCCCACACTTTTAAAGTTTAAATGATTTAGGGTTCTTTTAATTTCCAGCTTCAGGTTTCACTTGTGTCTTGCTAGCAGAAACATGTCCGTGTCCGTGTCCGTGTCCGTGTCTGTGTCCATGTCCTCCATGTCCCTTGTGTTTGTGTCCGTGTCCATATCCACTCACATGAGCCTGGCTTAAATCTACGTTCGCAGTTCCCTCTGCAACAACGAGTTTATCAATAAGTGTTAAGTATTACATATTAAATAATCATATATTGGCATTTGATGCTACAGCACTTTTGAAATACGGAGAGAAAGGAAAAAAATAAAGAAATTCAAACAAGATAATGTCAAAAAAAAAAAGAAAAAAAAAAGAGAAAAGAAAACTCACGAGTTTGAACTGTCTGAGCAGAGACAGATGAGATGAGAAGAAGAACAGCAAATGCAACGCTAAGAAGAAGGAAAATCTTTGAGCAAGCCATATTAATTAATGACAAGGAAATGAGATTTTTTGCTCAAGTTTTGGATGGGGCTAGTGGAGTTAAGTTCTCCTCTATTTATAAACTTTTCTTTTTCACTTATTGGGAGCCTAAATGGCTTGAATTGCAAATATTTTTTATTATTATTACATTACGTTTCGTTAGGTGTACTAAATATACCGTAAGAGTTAGCTAGAGGATTCAGTTTTATAATGGGAAAAATTTATTTAAACAAAGTTCGAAATAATTTTTAAAGAATTCTTAATTTTATTGGGTAGTCAGATACGTGAGGCCCTAGACCTAGTCTAGGCAAGTTTTTTCCTTTATAAGGTGGGTCTGTAAAATTATTTTCTAGTTTTGATATATATTTTTTGAAAAAAAATTATTAGCATTTGACAAATAGAGTAAAAAAAGAAGTAATTGACATGTGGAGGTGGGAACTTGGAATTGGAGGATTCACATTTTAATCACAAATTAAAAGATTGATAAAATAATTAACGAAAGTTAGAATTCTTTTAAAACGTGGATGATTAACATTTTGCTATTTTTGATTTCTTGGAAAATTTTCAAGATTCTAGATGTTGCAGATTTATTATTATTATTATTATTATTTGCGTTGAGATATAAAATAAATTCACTGTTGGAATAGCAATTAAGTACTGGGAATTTCAATTGGCTACTTACACATTTTCAAAATGATACGAGAGACTAATCTAAAGCAGAAAAGAAGAGTATGGAATGGATACGAGAGACTAATCTAAAGCAGAAAAGAAGAGTATGGAATGGATTTGCTTAGTTAATTTCTTTGTTGTTCTCTATTCAGTATTATGTGTTAGCAGGCTTTTATAAAATTATACTGACTAATTTTATTATGAAGAAATGTGTCATGTCCTAAATTCTTATATAGTTAATATATGTAAGAAAAATATGAACGTAGAAACAAATTTTTCTTAGTAATTTTAATTAATAAAATTAAAAATTTTGCTGATAAAAAAAATTTGAAGTTGCAAAAAATTTCTTTAGGATATTTGATTTGATTTGAGTGAATAACTATATTTAATGTTATATATGCATATATTTCTACAATTCCTATCTATTGGATATATTCTGTATGCCCAATGATTCATTATATCCTGCTTCAATTGTATTTTTGATAAAATGTTTTAGTATCCTTAATAAAATTGAGAATCTAGTGTGCCCTTAAAAGTTACGAATTTTGATATTATTATATTTATCTCCATACCAGTAATAATATTTTTATAATTTTTAACTTTTACATAAAAAATATTAAGTTTTTTGAAAATAAAATCCACATTTTCTTACTCTTCGATTGGGAGTGGAGCTAAGATTTATAAGGGAAGAGTGCATAAACTTGTATAAGCAAATATTAAGAATACAAAATGGGAAATTAGAAAAATATGAATATAAAAAGAAATTTCACTTTGTGAAAATACCATATCTTATATAACAGTAATTTGAGTGAAATAATGACAGTGATGATAGTTTTATTAAGGGCCTAGTAACAGACACTTTTATTTATTCACATACAATCTTTCATACATGGCTTTTTAAGTAATACATATTCATTTGCTAACAAATAGCAATATGCTAAAGGGAATTCGTCATCTAATTTCCAACTTTATTCTCCATTAATTTGTGCAACCATGCCTTGCGTGCTCACTGTGGCTTGCTTCGGAACATGTCAATGGCCATGCCCTTTCCCATATTCATGTCCATGTCCATACACGTATCCGTGTTTATATTCATTTTCATGACCATGCTTGTGCTCGTGATCATGTCCGTGTCTGTGTTTTCATGTTTATGTCCATGTTCATGCTCGTGTCTATGCTTATGTTTATGGTCATTTTTGTGCTCATGTTTATGTTCATGCTGATGCTCGTGCTTGTGCGCATGACCGTGGTCGTGATCATGTCCGTGTTTGTGTTCATGTTTATGTCCATGTTCATGCTCGTGTCTATGCTTATGTTTATGGTCATTTTTGTGCTCATGTTTATGTTCATGCTGATGCTCGTGCTTGTGCGCATGACCGTGGTCGTGATCATGTCCGTGTTTGTGTTCATGTTTATGTCCATGTTCATGCTCGTGGCTATGCTTATGTTTATGGTCATGTTTGTACTCGTGCTTATGCTCATGTTTGTATTCATGCTGATGCTCGTGTTTGTGCCCATGACCGTGCTCGTGTCCGTACTTGTGCTTATGCCCATATCCATATTCATATCTGTGCTCGTGACCATGAAAATGGTTCAAATCTGCCTGTTCATTTCCTTCTGCAAATTGAACAAAGTAATTAGGGTTGGTAGTTGTATATTACATGTAATTACTCTATGCTTTGCAATCAAAAAGTGTCTTAAATTTAAGACGAAGCAAATTATATAAAGCATGATATCACATATGTCATCCTTCAATGAAAAGATTTAATAAGCATTGTTAATCACTTTCACCTACTGTATTTTAACCTAATATGTCTAATTCTAGTGGAGCTTAAAATTTTGGTTTTGACTCAAACTATTTTTAGAAAAAAAATAGCAAATAAAACTTAATTAAAACGTCAACATAATACATATTTAGCGACAAAAATTAAAAACTCACTAGTTTGAACTTGTTCAATAAGTTCACGAGCTAAGATCTCTGACGAGGTGAGAAAAACAATAGCCAAGATACTGCCAATAAGAAGAAAAAAAGTTTTAGAGCAATCCATTTTCCTTTGCCAACCCAACAGAATGCAAAGAGACAATTAATGTTTCCAGCTATTGCTAGAAACAAAATGTGATATTTGTTCAAGTTGTTTGCAAGGAAGCCAAGCTTAGAGCTTCTCTTTTTATACAAGCAATTTTTCATGCAGTTCTTTTTTTCTTTTAAAAAAAAAAATAATAAAGTTCAGTAGTCAAGGTTTAGATTAGTGGAACTCGTATTTTCCTTTTGGATGCAGAAAAATTTTCAAATTGATAGGAGGATTGACAATTAAATAGGTGTGATTATGGTAACTAAGAGTAGAGTGAAATTAATTTTTTTTGACTAACTAATTACTACGAGGGAAAGACTTACTTATACCTAGTATATGAACGTGTTTATATATCAAACTAATCACGAACGATGTTTTGGTTCAAACGATGGTATTTCCAATCATTCATCGGACAAAAATAAATAGTAACATTTAAACAAAAAATTTAATTGATTTGATATATTAAACCACCAATACATTGGGTGTAAGTAAATCTTATCCTTACCACCATGAAATGGTTTTCTATTGATAATAATTACTTATTAGGCTATATATATATATATATATATATTGAAAATAGGCAAAATATAATTTTCTGCCTAATGAAAAACATATATAAATGTATATAATCGTAAAGAGAAAATAAAAGAAAATTTGCAAGACGTAGGCATATTGATTTGCTTCAGTTATTTATCACATCTTAAAGATTTATAAATTAAAATATAATCTAATTATTACTTCTTGCAATTTTTATACTGCAACCATTCTTAATTGTCAAATAATTTATGTGCTAAGAGGGATGATTGCGATGTATTTGAAATTAAATTTTCTTACTATCTTCAATATATATCTATTTATACATGAATTTAATTTTTTGTAATACAAACCAACATAGGAAGTAAATAATGAAGTCAGTAAGAACATCCCGGAATGTCATTTCAATTCGCAACCTCTCAATTGCGTATGTAAATGAAATATCCAAATTAAAAATTTTATTTTTTAATTGTCTGATTTATAAAAGATTGTAATAATTTGAATTAATTAATAAGTTTAAATTACATGAATATCATTCAATATTCTGGCTTGTGTTTGGAACATATATAAAGCTTGCGTCAATATTTAATTTTGTTGATATTAATAAAACTAATGATTCAAGTTCAACAATAGGTGGTGATTACAACTACGAATTCAATTCACTGGCCCACGCTACGAAAATGGGCCAGTTTTTAATATAAAGCCCAGTAACTAGTCCATTATAATCTTCATTGCAATCCTATTATAGGCCCAACTAATTTGGGACCCGAGCTCGTTATCCCGTTCTGATTCAATCGTCGTCAATAATCAAAAAGATGGATCTCGCAACAACAAGGCGACACCTAAACCACAAGAAGCTTCAAATTCTAAGGAAGGTCCCGTGATTTTTCCTTTTCCCTTTTCCTGCATTTTCCCGGTAACCAAACAGATTCTGTCTTTTTTCTTATTCTGTTTTTCCAATCTATTTTTCTTTCTTCGCGATCCCAAATCTTGTCTTCATCTGTTTATTTTTTAACAATCAATAAATTAACCCCCGTCTTTTTGTGATTCGTTGCAGAAATCTGAGATCGAATTAGGAAATCGAGATGGGGTTTCTCGTAACCACTCTAATTTTTGTAGTGATCGGAATAATCGCGTCGCTCTGTACCAGAATCTGTTGCAATAGAGGCCCCTCCACTAATTTGTAGGTTTCAATTATGTTTCTTTCTATTAGTTTAGTTATTAAATTGTTGCGCGATTAGTGTGAAGACTGCTGCATTTGTGATTTGAAACAATATTCAACAGTGTTGCTTCAATACAATCTTTTCTTGGTTAACTTTTTTGATAAGTATAACTGTAGGTAAAATGCAATCCTTTGAATTATTTTTTATGATGTCTTTCTCTTTAGTATAGCGATTTGAGTAACAAGAAATGCAATTTTTGTGCATGAATTCGTATAATAGGCGGATAGGGCAGATCGGGGCAATTTCATTTGACTAGGGACCTATTGCGTCTGCTGTAAATGCAATATAAGTACCGAACTTTTGTGTAATAGCTGAATTGATCGAATCATTGCATTCTGAGAGGCAGTTGTTATGGCTATATGGTTTCTCCGTTGTTGACATACTGATGGTACTTGCTGTTCAATTATGTCTTATTTGATTTGGGATGGTCTGTATTTTCACTAGAAGGGAAGCATGCGTCGCTGGTTGTTGAATGAGTTCATCCATCATGTAGAACAAAAAAGTATTGTCTCAATGAAATCTAGACCATCTAATATTTCTTATTGACTAAATGATAATCCTTTTACTTGTATGCTGCTCCTCATGGCATCATAACATCGTGTGCCATATGATCTCCGACCAAGTGACAAAAATTTATTTTTGACTGCTAATTCATGCTGCCACCAATACACACAGTATATCTGCCTGGTTATCAGATTTATGTGATGCATATGCGTTTATGAGATGCTTATGGTAATCTTGTTTTGTTTAATTATTAAATACTGAATATAATGCATTTGTTTTCCTTTCATGTTTGCAACTGACAGCTTCATGGTTACCTTGTTTCAACTTGCATTATGCAATATCTCTTATATTGGCATTTTGGTGCAGGTTCCATTTGACATTGGTTATAACAGCGACCGTCTGTTGTTGGATGATGTAAGTTTGCATTACATAAATCTTCCTTTTCCCATAGTTTTGTGCGTGATCCTCTATGATCTTTCATCAATATGTGATAAGATGTCAGTTACATGATATTTTACATGTAGCAAGCACTAGTTTAGCTGATACTTTGTTGGAAGTTTTTTTACCAATCATACTTTCTTACTTCTCATTAGCTGGTAAAGAACGTTGTTTATTTTTAATTGTTTTTAGAATTAGTTTTTCATATGATAATTGAAACCACTGTTTTCCAGAGTGAGATAAAATTATCCTTTGCTTTCGGTGGTATGAACAAAGATTCCATATTTTGTCTTGTTTTGTGACGTTAGAAAATAGTGAGAGTTTCAGTAGCTAACCTTATTTATTGAATAGCAATTTTGGAGGATAGGTTGATGATACAGATGATAAAGCTTTGGATTGCCTAAATAAACCTAAATTGCAGGTTAAATTTGTAGTTGTTACTACTATTTGTGGGTTGGATCACATTTTGCACATTTAACTTCTATGAATCGCCTTATGCTTGTCTTGTGATGTTGGTTTCAACCTAGAATACAGCACTCTTGGAGTATGTGTTTATTCTGGAGCTCGTCTCTTATAATGGGTTACAAATTTATATTTTCTTTTTGTCTTGATAGTGGAAAATACGTAGAAGGGCAAAAATTTGTTTCCCCATTCTCACAACTATTGCAATTCCTCAATTTATTTGTCAGGTGGGCTATTGTATATCTTGCACAGATGAAACCTCTCATTGTTCCAATTCTAAGTGAAGGAGAGTAAAGATGTCCCTGGATAAGCATAATTGGACCTCATTGGTAAACCAGCAATGTGGCTTGTGCGTCGATCTCCATAGAATATCTGATTAGGACTCATGGATCATTCAGTATCTTCTCATTTTGGGCCTGTGTGTAAAATTTATCGATGTGAACTTTGAATTGATTTAGGTTGTGGTTCACTTTATCTGTTTTATTGCTCTCTCATTCAATTTGAATACATTGAGCAGTCATTCTATCAGATACTGAGAGTACAAATTATGTAATTTGAATAAAATAATCACTGCAAAAAGAGCATATTTTGATTTGTTGTCAACTTGTTATGAAGAATACAGATGATTAGGTTCAGGTAATTTTTGAAAATGAGGAGCTCAGTTAAAATTTGTTGTCTGTTGATGCCTTGTAACTTCTCAAATTTTTTGCATGTGAATGAAGTGATAATTATAAAGGGTAATTTGACTATTTAATCCTTGAGGTTTGATCAAAATTATTATCACTTCCTTAATGTTCGATAAAATCATTGATATTTAGCTATTTAGTTTTCACATTATTTAGTTAATTAATCATAAAAGTGATAGTATTTTTTTTATGGAAGGGCCAAATAGAAATGGAGTTATTCATATATGAATTGGTAGGCAAAATAAAAAATATAGGGACTAAATAGTTGATTACCCAATTGTAAATTTCTATCAAGGGACCCTTAACGAAACGGCATCGTGTACCCAATCGTTATGTAACACATGGATAATTGGCAACATATCAAATTACAACGAAGCAGCTCGTAGAAAATGACGCGAAACGAAATTGGAATTGAGATTGAAATGCTTCTAAAGCCCTAACCTTTTCGTCCTTCTCAGTTTCTTACTCGAAGAAACAAAGCAATTGCAAGTAGAGATTGATAATACAAGAAAATGGCGATACTTCAACTTCAACTGTCGAACCCAAATGTATCGTCTCCTTCATTGTCCACTTCACTTCACCAAAAGTTATATAAATCCCAGAGGACTGGGCGAGGTAGTATGTGGAAACGACACCGTTGTGGTTCTGGAAACGTAAGCTGTTCATTTGCCCCAATGGAGTCTGCCAAGATAAAGGTGGTGGGTGTTGGTGGGGGTGGCAACAATGCCGTTAATCGTATGATTGGCAGCGGTTTGCAGGTATTCACTTTCCAATTTCGGATTTTTCCTCAGTAGTTTTTTAAGTTGATGAAAAATATGGGATTAAACATTATTAAGTCTTTAGTTTATTGGGTGGGGTGAATTGTTGTTTCTGCGGTGTAAAGCTTATTCCTTTTCTTTTTTTTAATTTTTTTATTACATGCCAGCATTTGTATTTCTGTGACTTTTCACTCAATTTCTTATTCCAATTGGAACCAGATTTTTTAATCTGGAAGTTGTCATTGATTTATATGTGAAAGCTGTGAATGCTAAATGGGCTAAATACCATGAAATGAAAATAGGTTGAAACTTGAAAACAGTTTTGAGTTCATGAATTTATGCACTTGTTGGCTTGGTCCTTACTTGGAAGAAGTTATTGTTGATGATAATTTTTACTTTTACTCGGTTTTGAAACTAGGGTGTTGATTTCTATGCCATAAACACTGATGCTCAAGCGCTAGTACAGTCTGCTGCTCAGAACCCACTTCAAATTGGAGAGCTTTTGACTCGTGGACTAGGTCTGGCAATCTCCCTTTTGTCTACTTAGAAATCTAATTCGAAAATGTTTTGATAAGTCTTGCATTGTATGGTTCTGCTTGCCTTCAATGCTGGGGGGTTGTCCCTGTTCTTTTCTTTTCTTTTTTTTTTTTCCATTTCTGCTTGTGTCATTTCTACATTATCTTCGTTACTTGGTACAGGTACCGGTGGTAATCCTCTTTTGGGAGAGCAGGCTGCAGAGGAATCAAAAGAAGCAATTGCAAATGCTCTCAAGGGGTCTGATCTTGTTTTTATAACAGCTGGTATGGGTGGTGGCACAGGATCTGGTGCTGCCCCAGTTGTAGCTCAGATATCAAAGGAGGCAGGGTATTTGACTGTTGGTGTAGTTACCTATCCTTTCAGTTTTGAGGGACGTAAGAGATCCCTGCAGGTTGGTTGTCAGTTTTTATCATGCAAAACTGGCTTAACTGTAACATGATCTGAACAATAGTGGCTTGCTGTTGAATCAGTGCAGTCTCAGACACAGTTCTATCAGTCTTATTGATTGAAATTATTGGAATTTTCAGATTGAAATTGATGAGAGTGTACATGTCTTCAATTCATAGTTCCATCTAATTCAATTCCTTTAGAGACTGTAATGTATTATATTGAAATGTATAATGTATTTTCAGACAATTGGTTGAACTGCGGATTAGTTGCCATATTTTATGCGAGATATGCTTATCAACAAATTGTCTTCTTATGTGTGGATTTATATAAAATTTTGAGCTTTATAACTTGTAATTTGGTAGTTTATGGTAGACGTTAAGATTTTTATATTTTGATTAAACGGTTGTGCTTACTTTTATCTTTGCAGGCTCTAGAGGCTATTGAAAAGTTACAAAAAAATGTTGATACTCTAATAGTAATACCCAATGACCGCCTGCTTGATATTGCTGATGAGCAGACACCCCTTCAGGATGCTTTCCTTCTTGCTGATGATGTACTACGCCAAGGGGTGCAAGGAATTTCAGATATCATTACGGTGTGTTATTTTATTGAAGCAGTAAAAGATCTTGAGATATTTGAAATAGTACCTCCTTCCTTTCTCTTTTTCTTGAGAAAAGCAGCCCCTTCTTCATTGTTGGAGATATTTGAAATATTTTCACATGGGTGGGGCTATTTCTTGCTGTTTAAGTTGACAATTACCTTCTTAATAATTTGTGGGTGAAAATTTGACTGCGTGAATTCTCCCTAATCAATTCCTGTACCCCTATCCCCATGTTTTGCAGATACCTGGATTGGTTAATGTGGATTTTGCAGATGTAAAAGCTGTGATGAAAGATTCTGGGACGGCGATGCTTGGAGTTGGAGTTTCCTCCAGCAAAAATCGTGCTGAAGAAGCAGCTGAACAAGCAACCTTGGCACCATTGATCGGATCATCAATTCAGTCAGCTACCGGAGTTGTTTATAATATTACTGGAGGAAAAGACATAACATTGCAAGAAGTGAACAGAGTATCACAGGTACTTCGATACCAAGGACTTTGAGATTGTTGACAAATAAATGGTGGTAGGCAGAAAGTCCATGGATGTACCATATAGCTAGTATTAATCTATGTGCTTGCTTGCAGGTTGTAACAAGTTTAGCTGATCCATCTGCCAATATAATTTTTGGGGCTGTTGTTGATGATCGCTACAATGGAGAGATTCACGTGACCATTATTGCAACTGGCTTCTCACAGTCATTTCAGAAGACACTCCTGACAGATCCCAAAGCTGCAACATTGCTAGACAAAATGGCAGGGAACCAAGAAGGCAAGGGACTTCCACTCCCTCTGAAATCCTCAACCATGCCTTCCACTGTTCCTTCTAGACCAGCCACAAGAAGGCTTTTCTTCTGATTTATAGGTTTCCCCATTTTTTTTATAGTTCTATTTTTTGTTTCTATTTTGGTAGCGAAAGAGAAGGGGAGAATTGGTTTCTCCTATGCAATTCACCCTCGTATTTGATTTTGAAGCTCAATTATATCCCTGGTTGTTTCTGGAAACTTACGCATTTCATTTTGCCCACTATCATTAGTTCATTAGTAATACCATGACTGAAAAATAATAATCCTGGTGATTTAACGGTAAGATATTGTAAATGGATCTTGATTTGGGTTGGAATTTTCTCATTTTGATCAGACTGATTTAAAGAATTTTGAAGATGGCAAGTAAAAGTGTATTTTTACCATCAGTGACGTATTTATAGAAAAATAATTCGGCTGTCAATCGACTCAGTTGACTTCAAGGGTGTACTAAATTTGTAGCTAACATCAACTTACACAACTTGATGCCACTGTTAACTGTTGCCACATTCACAATGGTCAAACAAGTTGTACAAAGAAAAAGTTACTCAATTTTCTTCTACATTATTGCATTTGTTAGCGGTATATGATATCTATGAATGTAACAGATACTTTACAAACTGAATACAATTATTTGTATCTCTGATTCATTTACAAAAAAAGGGACAACTCGGTTTTGGGGGTAAAGCAGAACATACTTTCACCAAAAAGTTCATATGGCAACGACAATAAATGTCCTGCATCCATGTCCTTCCAAGCCTGAGCAAGCACTGTTGATGTCTTCAATGCCCGACCTCCAACATCCCTTCCTGACATGTTTTCATTAGGCAACTGTTGAGACATTAACGACGCAGTAGTGCTAGAAGCTCCAACAGCTGTGGCGTATCCACTTGTTGCCCCTTGCATGTCGACTTGCATGGAGTTCATTACACCGATTGCACCATCTGTTGCTAGTTTCTTGAGTGGTGGTTGCTGCATCAAGTTGTCTGTGTTTGCTTTTCGTTTATCTTGATTATCCATGAAATGGAAGAAGTTAAAGGATCAGGAATGCATAAGTGAATTTTTGTAATACGCTCAGAAAAAGCCAGGCATGGACCAACATAGTCACCTAGTTAATAAAATGAGGGTTAATAGAAGAAGAATATTTGCATGCACTGCGGACGAAAGGCCGAGTATATCTCAAAACTCTCCATTATGTATTCCAATAACTTATATGTATAACTATCATATGACTTCCCAACTCCATCATAGTTCAAGCAACCACCCACCACCACCCCATGCAGGTGTGCACAAAATGGCTATCCTGATATGAATTAACATATTCAAAATATAAGTGATTTAAGCAAATATTTTTCTCCCAGAACATCATCTGGCACTGGTCATAAAGGGAGCAATATGTACTATCATTCATGACTTTTGCCAAGCTATCCCCTAACAAGTTGTTTCTAAGCAAATTGCCAGACTATCTCAACACTCTTAGGCATGTCAAGTGTCCAGCAATTAGATAATGAATAAGCACAAAAATACATGCACATGCAATGAATGTAGGAAGAGACGCTGCCCCCACAGAAAAGCATTCACGTGAATTATCAGAAAGTGGATTCTGAAAAATGCCAGAGTACCAAGTATTTTTAATAATGTTACAGCAAGGCAAGTAAAGGAAGTCATACTTGGCATTGTAGTCATAACTCTTCCATTGCTCTTCCAGACAGAACGTGTTGAAGGCCTTAGTAAACCAGGTAATGTTTTAAGCCGATCATACATACATAGGCCAGCAGCACGCTGAAGGTTTTATGTTATGTTAGCAAATAGCACAGATATATGCAATGCAAATCCAAATCACACAAACGAAATTTCAGAATCAAATTGAAAATATACTCACCATCAAGGCCCCATAAACACGCCAAGCTTCAAGCCTCTTTATCTCATTCTTTTGCTTCTCAAGAAGCATTTCTGGTTCAAGAAGTAGCAAATACGGTTCTAGATTTGGCAGTATTAGAAGACGAACCTGTTGATGTCAAAAGGCATCACAGATAGCTGAAATTCAGATTATTATAAAAGAAAAGAACAAAAATTGGAAACAAAGTTCTAAGCCAAACAAGCACAAAGCAGATTTTAATGCATTTGTTCATAATACAGGAACCAGAAACAAATCAAAAAGCTAGTATTTGAACCCTTGACCTCCTACACTGAATCTGACATTCAACCACCAGACTACTAGTTCAATGGCATGAACTATCTATCTTTAAGAAATAAATTTATAATAGCCAGCATAACATGTTCAGTACCAAATTACCAATACTGTCATCATCCCTTCACCCACCCAAGACACTGAAAAAAAAATAATTAATTAATTAATTTTCAGGATTTTCTGGTTAGATGAGAACAGAGGAATACCACATGTGGTCCCAAAGCTGCTAATCCTTGAACTGCACCATAATGTTGAGTCAATGATTTCGTTGGGTCCAAGAATGCATGAAGTAGAGTCCTTGTGACACGTAGCTGTAAATTGTGGTAAACATGGCCAAACCTGCAAAAATCACCTGATAAATATGGTATTTATGGATAAAAAGATATATTAAAGAGTTTAACATATTATCCTCTAAAACATAATAGCATCAGAATTGAGATAATCCACACTATCTAGCATCATAACCATTCATTATAATGTCAATAAAAAAAAGTCTATCTATTGTGTTGTGAGTGCAGAAATAGGGAAATTGCAGTAACACGGTGCTAATATAAATGCAGGGAAAATGTCAGCAAACTTTCAAACACTTGAATTTCACATTTGCAGTATCAGATTTCAATATTTATCTAATTTGATACATGGAACTATTTCATATCAATGCCTAGGTTCGAGAATTCTATCTCTAATGTATATTTTAATCCAAGTTTAAACCCACCCATCCCCCGGACTCTATATTTATGCATTTCAGCAAAACAGCAAAAAAAAAATCTTGCCTTTTGCATATTGAAGCAACCAGGTCTGCAGTGAAGTTCCTAAGCTCCCAATGATTGTCAGAAAATCTGTTCCCCAACCTTTTAGCAACTAGGCAGGTAATTATAGATGGCATCAATTGGTGTAGCTGAAGAAAATGAGTAAAAAAAATATGTATTAGGGAGAAAAACAAGCCCATTAACTGTAGTGTCCAGTTCAAGAACTTCTCAACCAACCACCTAAAGTGTAAAACAGCATTGGCGGTTAGGGAAGGCCATAGGAATTGCGAATAAGGAAAAAAAGTACAACAAATAAAATATAACATTCACTCTGACACCTTGGAAGACATTTAAATCTATTCAAAGAGCTGAAAATAAACTTACATAAGGTTCTACATGTATATGTGGATTATGAAGAAGGCTTCGAGTAACGCGCATCAAGGCAAACAGAACAGAAAAATTATTCAAATTTCGTGAGACCTGGGACAATTATGAAAGAAATAAACTCAAAAGAGGGTGGGAGAAAAATTACTCAATATAGACAATATAACAATCCTTAAGACTACCTCATCAGAAATCAAGTATGTGAAATAAGGAAGTAAAGGATGGAGGCCAGAGTCTGTTGCCAAGCTAACCAAAGCTTGTTTGAAGATGATGGAATCTGACTTCCTCATGATGAGCTCTGTGATTTTGTCAAAATACAGCTGTACAGAGACCAACGAAAGGTTACTGAAATTCAAATGACCTTAAAAGCATTGGAGTAAGGGGGAGAAAACATATAAAAGGGCTGCATAGTATTTACCTGAAGTTCCCTTGATAATACATGCCTGACAGGTAATTTTACATCGACCGGAAGGCCATCTTCCTTATATTCAGACTTTTTACTGTCAGAAGATGCTGCAACTGCTGTAAAACAAAGCACAATCAACTGCAAAAAATTTTCACCTGAATTTTATATAGGAAAAAACGTAACCACATTATGAAATTTCTCTTTCCATTCCTCATAGTATTTGTGGAATGTTCTTTAAAAATGATGGCGCTCAAGGACTACAGCCTCTAAGGGAAGAATCTTTAGGGCGGTAACCACTTCTAGCCGAAATTCTCACATGCTTTTAGGCATCAGGGATGCATCGTCCAGATAGAGTTTTCTTCTCATTAATTTTCAAATATTTGAAATAAATCCAATTAAAATTTGCAAAATCTAAGTCGTAGTAACTTTTTTCAGCAATCTCTGCAATCACTAATCTTGAATATTTGAATTCAGGAGCATTATATCAATCTTTAAATTCATTAGCAAAATATGCACTTTGCATGGTACCTTCAACAGGAGCATTCTCCGGAATTGCAGGTTGGACTCCTTCAATTGCCAGCCAGTGAACTGTGAGGGACGTATCAAGAGGTGCTTTTGGTAAAGGAGCTTCAATCACCTACAAACATCAAAACCAACACAAGCTATAACAAAATTAGAAGGTAAAGTTAGTCAATCCCCAAAATTAAAAAATGCTACTTCGTTACATCTTTAAATTCGACATCCTTGTCATCAATGTAGTACAGATCCTTATGTCCCGCTGCTTTCTTGAACCGCAATGGATCTCCAGAAGCAAACCCATATACTGGCTGCAACAGCACAAAAAAAAAATCATAAAACCAAAAAAAAAAAAAAAAGAGAGAGATTAAAATAGAAAGAACTGACCTCAACATTTCTTAAGCTAAGAGCACTATCAACATCTTCTGCTGTCAAAGTAGTTCTTCTCGAATGCCGCATGCATTTAATAGCTTCCTTCAAAACCAAAACCCCCCATATTTTTTTTTGAAGACTCTGGACTCAAAAACTGATCCATTACAGAGAACTAAGAGTTTGAAGTAATAGAAAACGAGAGAAATAATACCTGCATAATCTCGCGAACTCGGTATTCGACATCAGGAGCGAGAGCAAGGGCAACATCAGGGGACAAATTGGTGATTCCAATGCTCTGTGCAATTACCTCGATTGCTTCCTTTGGCACTATACTCATTGTCTTCGTTTTCAATTTCGCTTCAATTCTGGTTCGTGTAGAATTAGAACTCAAAAGAACAAGAAGAAACGATCGAACACACGAAAAAAAAGTGGAAGCCCGGGTTCAGATTCTGGCATTAGTTTTCTACAAACTAATTGTTGGACTAGAAAATGCTGAGGTTAAGAAATTTTAAAAAATGGAGCTAATTTTGAAATTAGAGGGTAAAATCTGAGTCTTGAATTTAGGGCTAACCGTAAGATGCTGTATGCTTAGTACTGGAGAAGACGACAGAACAGAAACCGCCCCAACTCTACCAGTTAACCGTTCTTGTTAGTACTTAATGATCCGTAAATGCTTACTTTCCTGTTTTTTTCTAAATTTTTTTTCTCAAATATAATTAATTATTTAATTTTTAATCGTTTAACATATTTATAATTTAATACGTTTTATTATCAACTATTTTTCAAAAATGTAGGTAATATTTATTATGCATTACTTTTTTTATTCTATATAAAAATAGAAATAAGTCTATATGAATTGAACATTAAGAATATTTTATACTATCTTCCCTCCTTTATAAGGTACTTGCACGTAAAAAAAAATTAGTGGTAATATAAATTACTTTTTATTGAGATATTAAGAAACAATAGTAAAATTTAAAAAATATATTATCTTTTAATTATCTAAAATCACAAATAAACTAGGGAAAAAATTTTCTAAATCGACACTAGAAATGACTAACACTACTTATATTTTTAAATGTTTTGGTTTGTCAAGTTTTACCTCTCCAAGTTTTCTGATTCCCTATTGGCTATTGCATATATTTTTTTTAAATGCTACATGTTTAACCCTTCTTCGGTAGCTATCGACACAAATTTAGATGCATTAACATGTGTAAATGTGAACTGAAGTTTGACAGGACAATACTCATTTAGGAAAAAAGTAGGCAGAAACCATATATAATTTAAAATGCGTTAATCCACAAAATTGCCTGATGTTTATAATTTACACAGTTGCTCAACTCCTTGGCAATTTTGCTTCGCTCACAAAGCATCAAAAGAGAAGATAAAAGCCAAACGCAATGTTCCAACATGAACCAAAAATTAGGGGCAATTGCACAACATGGCACACAAGAATGACAAGCGAAAAAGGGTGTGTTTGCTATTGGCCGTGTTACAAATATTTGATCAGGAGATAAATGACGACAACCAGACCAACAACACCAACAAAGGACAAAAGCATGCACAAGCAGGAGCAGCCACCCTTGGTGCGCTTATTCAAAATCGCCAGATTCTTCTGCACTCGCTGTAGTAGAAAGACCATAACACAATGTTTAACCTTAAATCCTTTATTATATAAGATTAGAAAGGCATATTTGCTATAAAAAAAATGGAGCTCATGCTACTCATGTCTATAGATTAATTATTAATACGGGTTTAGACGTCAAAATTTATACAGTTTTAAGTAAAAACTCGCGATATATTCTTGAATTTCAAAGCCTTGTGTCCGAATGGATCCTCAAGTCACACTTACAACACATATAGTTCAAATTACCATATCAATGACTACTAATCTCAAAATTGTTTCACAAATCTTCACTATAACAGTTACCAAAAAGAACAGATCTTTTCCTGAATGTTCTCCTAAATTTGCATGCGCAAAGAGCATTCATGAAGACTGGACTTATCCACTGAGATCTAAAAGACCAATAACCTTTGTTTTCCCTACATTTTTCTCGGTTTCTGAGTCAGAGTTCCAGCAATTTTCCCTTTTCTCCCAATGTATTTTAACAAATTCCCTATCAATGTAAAATTAAAACGCCAAAAGCACTATGCAGATGAAGATCTCAATGGATCCTCAAGTTGCACTTAAAATAGATAGAGATTCAAAATTACCATATTAATGATTATTAATTTAACTACCCGGATATAGATCTCAGGGAAAGAGTATTACCCGTAAGCGGGAGTCAGTAACATCCACATGTTGGTCCAAGTCATCCTGCATAGAGAGGGAGCAAAAATCATAATGCTTACAGAGCCAGAATGCAATTTGATTTGTCACGTACACATTCTAGGTAGTCATATTCAAAGATGTAAAAATGTGTACATAAGAAAATGAGCAAAAAAGCAAAACCGTACAATAAGTCTAGAATGAAGATCAAGTTCCTCATTGACTGCCAATGCAATATGTTTTGTACTTATTACCGTCTCCTCCAACTTCTCAAGGCCCTCATCTTGCTCTGTGAAAACATAGCAAATAAGAATCCAGTACTGAAAGCAGTTTGGCAATCTGAAAACGTGTACAGAGCTTCATGGACAAGTAATAGTGGCTTGCCTTTCATAATTTGTCGTTGAAGACCAACAACGCCGTGGTTGTCCAAACCTTCAGTTCTGCGCATGGCATCAGCTGGCTTTATTTCAGGACCAAACAAGCTATCCCTGTGGGCAAAGTTTGACATATTCAATGAGGAAGCCATCTGGTTTACTTTTGTTCTCAAATTTGCAACCATGTCCTTCCGACGATTCATCTCTTTCTCTGATCTGTGCATTACACAAGGCAGCACTTAAAAATTTCAGATATTAGTACAATAACTGAGCATCACCTTTGCCACATTGACAATTGTTTGTACGGTCATCAATGTTGATCAACATAAGAGTTAAGGTGATGAATCCCCAAACAGTACAGGGACCAGCAAAAAGACTAGCAACATTTCGAAAGAAAATATCCTTTACGCTGCCAAATATTGGAATTTTCAATGCCCATAATTACAAGATTCAAGATCACACAGCCATTGACCCTCATTTTTCACATATTTATTCATCAGCTCATTTTCCTTTATAACATAACCAAATAACATTAAGTAGGACACGACACCTTAATCAGATCACGATTTTCCCCTAACAATATTCAGGACTAGACTTGAGATAGGACTTCGTTAAACAGCTCACATACTTGCCATTCTCTCTCTTTATTCATCTATATTTTGCAGGAGATTTACAGAAGGTTTAGCCAAAACTATTAATAACTATGGATGGACCAGCATAAAAAAGGATGAGTTCAACTAGAAATAGTGAAACAAAATTGAGAGGCACACATGAACAGCCAAAAACGTAGATAGAGATAATAGACTTAAATGAATCCCTGTTTCCGACATATCGGCGAAGCCTAGCTTGAGGTAAAAGTCTCAAGCACAATAACAGTAGAATTGAAACATATGCATATCTGCGAGAGAAGACCAGCACAAATGCATGAAAATTGGAATAAATAAATAAGTTTATAGGCATCATAGCATGTCAAGCAGACAAAATCACAAATTGAGCAGAAGATAGAAATAACTAACACTTGCTGCTTCCCAGGAAGTTTTGTCAAAAGGGATTGCAAGCTATCAAGCCTGGTCCCTAAAATTGTAATCTTCCTTCTTATAGCAGATCCATGACGCTGCGTTTCAGGTCCTGATGCAGGAAAAGAACTCCGTTCTGAAATCATGCCACTGATATCATCTGCAAGCTTTACTGCTTCATTATATTCCTTCATCCATGGATCCGCAGAAGACGCCATTTTACCTAAATGATAAGGCGATCAACAGCTAATCTTACTGCAATTAATGCATAACAACAATTAAAAAGTTAAAAAATTGATGTCTACATTTAGAGTCTTTTAAAAGCTGATGAGAAAAGAATATCATCAATAACGAAAAAAGGAGAAGAATCTTGAAACCAAATTCAATCTGATACAAAATAAAATGAGCTCAATTAATACAGCGCCTTAGCGTACAGTACTTAAAAATATCTCTCTCTCTCCTGTCTCTTTTTCATCCTCGTCCGATCCTAATAAATAAAGCTTAAGAACTCTTTCAACAGACAAACAACAGTAGAAACTCGTTGACCCAAAAATCGCATTGCACGGGATTATCACAGATAGCAAAATTCACATCAATTAACCAAATAACAAGGAATATAACAACTCATCCATAAAATCTAAAATTGAAACCAATTCTCCCTCTTGATTAGTTAATAATAAAAACACAAAAAACAAAGAACAGAACAAGTAATTTTTATCCCAACAAAGCCTAAAGAAATTTGTCAAATTGAGCACAAAAAAAAAATCGAATCACGGGTTTTAAGAATGCTCTCAATCAAATTTACATGAATTATTAACTAACCAGAACGAAAAATCAACTGATCGCAGCGACGACAAAATGAATTGAGATCGATGGCAACCGGAGAAAGAGGAAAGCAAGAAGAATAAAGAAAAAGAACGGAAATTACCTTGCTTGTTTCTATTTGTTGTGATTGGTGAATAATTTAAATTCTGGTGGAGAGATTGAGAGAGAAAAATGGCAATTTGATCAGTGTCCAAAACGGAGTCGTTTTCCTAGTGGAAAACGGATTCAAGACGCAGCGTCGCAATCAACCGGTAATGTCTTTCCGGCCCACACGTCGTTTATAATGCGCTGAGCTAACTAAAATCGTAATAAATAAACAAATCTTGAAAAGGTCCCTTCACTTTTTAGACAGCGTCGCGGAGCAATTCTTGGTGAACTTGACCAATTTGTCGTCTCCGTAAAACGCACCGTTTACGTTACACAATAATACTTTAATGATTGAACGATATCATGACACGTCATATGAGAAGAACGAGATGAATATAAAAATAAGAAGAATTACTATTATGCTTCTGGAATTTGTTTAAATTACGATAAATAATACTCATCGTATTTCATATCCGTTAAAAAAACCATTCAATTTATCTTTATCTAAATTAAATTATTAAATAAATTAATTATATTATTTTTAATTTAATTAAAAAACTAGAATTACATCAACGGGATATGTTCACTTATCCAAATCACATCCATTTTTTTATTGTAAATATTCTAAATTCTTCCCAATTCTTGTGCTAGCTAAGTAGATTGTGGTTCACAGTCAAATTTAATGCTAATGGCTTGAATTTCTTGCATGAATTTTCAATTTTAAACAATAGTTCTAACTTTTTAAGAAAAAACTGAAATTAAAACAAATGGAAAGGGAAATACTTACATGGCTCGGGCAAGGTATCATCAAAGTCCTCTCGAACAGGTTTCTGTAAAGTAAAAGGTGCAAAAGGGGCTGCTCTTTCGGGTGAATCCTCCATTTCAGTAGCCATCTCTTTCTTCTTTTTCGTTTCTCCACTGGTTACTTATAATGCTGTTTTATTTTCTCTTTGTAATTTTCATTGTAAAGAGCTCAAGAAAGATTAGATAGCGTGGCACCCATGCAGAAAAAGATGGGTGCTTGGCATAATATGGTTTGCTCGTGCCTTGTGCTGTGGCGATTCCTTACTAAACCATCAGTTTGCATACTTTGAAACTGCTGTATATAATTTTTATTGAAAACTTAATAATGAATCGAACCGCCTTAAAAAAAAAACAAAACGAATCAAACCAGGTTTTAAATTAAAAGATTATGCGCAGGTGAGTTATATACTAAGAGCTCATTTAATTTAAGCTATTTATATTGATAGCTGACAGCTGTTACTACTAGGTGATAATTGATAACTGATATGATATTGATTAGCTCGAATGAATGATGGTATTTGGCAATATATATTCTAATTTTTAAGTTGAAGATATTGATTTTATCAGAAAATTTATTTTTATTTTTTAAAAAACTTAATAATTTATTAATAACGAATATAAGTTGAGTACATTATAATATTTTTATAAGAATAAAAAATACAAAAATAGAAAATTAAAATCCTTTGTTTTGAGATGTTCTTAATTTTAGCAAAAGAGATTAATCTTTCGGGTAAAAATTGATCTGTTTTCAAATAGGACGATAAAAGAAATATTCCACAATATTATCTCAAATATTATTTTTTCGAGAATTTATTATAGAATAGTTTAATATAACAAACTTTAATAGGAGAACAGACCATATTATTAGGCTCCATTGATAAAATAAATTTACCTGAACTTAAAGATAAAAAATTTAGGGAAAATAATTATTTTGTCCATGATGTTTGCTATAATTACTAAATAATCCTTAACTTTTATATAAATATTTAAAATATTCCTAAGGGTAGCCTTCGTCTCATTAAATAGTCCATCGTCTATTTTCTTTTTTTATTTTTCCGTTAAGATAGGAGTAAAAAGAATTAAATACCCTTAAACACCATTACTCCTTCCATTTAGAACTCAACTAAAGAGTTCGCGTGCAATAAAAGTGAATCTTCGTCCCAGGTGAAGCACCAGTTAGCAGTTGTATCCTTCTTAGCATGTGCCATTATAATTTTCTGACTCATAACAAATAGATGAACTAAATTTCTAAATCGCCATCATTACAGTCATAACAAATATTCAATTTAAATTTGTTTTCTCACTCTAATCTTGGAAATTCTTCATCTTCTTCACCAGAGGACACCAAGTGCAACCATCAAAACGAACCCGGTGAAAGGTAACAACACCATAGCAATTACAGGAAATTTTTGATTTTCATCACTGTTAATATTGTCTTATTAACTTTTGTTTTGTAATAAATTTGCAACACTCTAAGAACACTCGACAACAATTGCCAAAGCCAAGTCTTCTTCTTTAAAAAAAAAAAAAAAACACAGAATAAATCCCTCCATCTCTCTCCTTTTTTCTCTGCAAAGTCAAATATTTCTTCTTCATTTCTTATACCCTTTACCCACTTAACCAGAAAACTATGGGGAATTCCCATTTCTGCTCTTTTTTATGTGGCAAGGATTTAGTACTGCAAAACCCAAATGCTTTCTTCAATAAATTTACGTTCCTGCACTTGACCAATCCCCAAATTTACCATCAAACACCACTCTTTTTTTTTACAACTAGAGCTACAAAATACCAACATAGTTGAGAAAGCCATCAAATCTGGTCAAATTAATGATAACAGACTTGATATAGAAGCGGGTTTGCGGGCTGTTTCTAATGGGTCGGCGGTTTTCCAAGTAGATATGGCGATTTTGCGGGCTGTCTTATGACATCGGTGGCGGCGCACGTCGTTCTTGAGGCAGAGAGAAGAAGGTAAAAGAAATTGTCCACTTTTTGGTTGCCTTTATTTAACTTCATTAAGGGCATGTTCATATTTCAAAATATCTCTCGCCCGAATTTCCTAATTTCTATCCAATTTTAGCGGCAAAAACACAAGAAAATAAATTGAAGGACTATTTAAAATCTCATGCACGTTTTTAATTTTAAATATTTATATAAAAATTGAGGATTACTTAAATAATTATGGCATAAGTTGAAAAATAATATTTTCTCAAAAATTTATTATTTTAAAATAATTATAAAATAAAAAAATATTAACTTTTTAAAATAATTTTATTAATAATTATTTTTATGATATTAATAAAGTTTAAATACAAATCAAATAGCAATTGATACAAAAAAATTTCAAAATATAGCGGATGGAATATGGAGTTGATTAACTTCGATTAGTTAGAAGCGGTCAATTAAAAGCAACTAACCAAAATGCTCTCTAAATCCTTCATTTTAAATTAACAGTTAATTAAAGATGATGATTTGTTTTAATTGTAAGATTCAAAAATGATGATTTCTCATGTTTGGAACAAATGAATTTCGTAAAATTTTGTAGAATTTATTAAGAAATTCATATTTTTATGTTTGAAATGGAAAAAAAAAATGTAGATTTCAATTTTAGGAATGCAATTCCATGAAATTAGATATGATTATACCAAATTCCATAAAAATAGGTGAAATTTCCAAATGAATTCTATAAAATTAAGGAATTTAATTTTTTATGACAAAACTATCCTTCTATATCTATAAAGTCAATTTTACAATTTTTTTACTTATTTAAATTATTTACTTTATCAAACTTGACCAAAATTTATTTTTTTAGAAACATTTTTTCTTATTTTTGTGTTTTTATTTTAATATTTTTTCATTTTTTATTTTAATAGTTTTTAGCATTTTTTACTATTGAGATTCAAGTTAAATATCAATTTATAATGCAACAATTTTATTAATATTGTTTTTTATTTTATATATTTATTTTAATAAAAATATAAAAAATAATATAGCATAGCATAAATATAATTGGTACTTATTATTTATTTTGTGAAATTACTATTTTAAGAATATTTTAGGAAACAAAAATAACTGAATTTCAAATTATAAAATAGTTTCATATATGTTTATATGGAATTCAATTGAATTACATATTTTAAATTAATCATACAAAATATAAAAATTTATTCACAAATGAATTCTACTATAATTCATTTACAAATGAATTTCATATTTTAAATTCATTTATATTAAACGGAGCATTAATTTGAGGTTGTGCTGGATTTGCAAAATAAGATCAGAGGGAACTGTGAAATTAGCATACCATAAAACATTCTTGATGAGAAAAAAAAAAAAAAAAATCAATGTCTTTTCTTTCTAGTTGTTTTCTTTTGTTCTTTTTCTCTTGCTTATATTTTTCAAGAGAAAACTGAAGTGTTAATTGTATCAATGAATTTCTTCTTAAAAAAAAAAAAAGTATCAATGAATTAGCATAACCATAAAACATTTATTGGTCAATAATGAAATGCAATCTAAATTAATTAAAACCATTAATAGAATTACACTATAAATATTTTTTATTATGATACGATTATATTATGACTTATTAAATATAACACCACGTACTTTGCTAATTTTATAATTAGGCTATAGTATATAAATTTTTTATTTTTTTATTTGCAAACGATTAATTTAATATTCAGATAATTTCAATAATTTATTTAAAGATATAGGGTTCGTTCGATCCAGGCTGATAGTAATTTATCAAATTGTGTCTGAATGCTTAAATTGCACAGTCGAACACTACATTAAATAGAAATAAAAATTGATATACGGGCCAAATACTGAAATTTCTGAAATTAGGGGTACAATAGCAAAAATCACGAGGGCCATTTTTAATTAAATGCATAAACAGTGAAGGCTAAGTGAACAAAGTGGAGAAAATGCGCAAGCAAAAGATGCAGCGCTACTGAGATTCAAAGAGAGAGAGATTGCAAATCGGCAATCCTGTTATTTTTAGGGTTTTACAGTAGGCGAGGCGGAGAAATCAGAGAGTAGACAGAGATGTCTGACCTAGATAGGCAAATAGAGCAGCTAAAGAAATGCGAGCCATTGAAGGAATCGGAAGTGAAAGCTCTGTGCCTCAAAGCCATGGAAATCCTCGTCGAAGAGAGCAACGTTCAACGCGTCGATGCCCCTGTCACTGTTAGTATCATTTATGCAAAATTTTTAAATCTATTTATTGTTTTTTGGCGTATTTATGTGGTTTGGTTGGTTTGGTTTTCGATAGGTAACTTTTACTTTTTGGCTGTGGTGCTAATTGGTCGAAAATCTTAACCTTTGTTGGAGCAATTAATGGGGGGTTTTGGGATAAAATTAGGATTTTAGGGTTTTTGAACCTAGTACTGGTTTTGACATTGCATTTTTGGTTCCTGTTATGCATTTGAAGATTCAAAGGGAAGACGTGAATTGGAAGGGCTTGGCTGCCCATTTTTTTGATAATCTCTCTCTAAAACAAGCATTGGATATGCTCCGCCTGCTCACTACTTTCGTATGAAGATTGTTGTTATATATGAACGAATCTTTACAAAATTTTGAGGTCTGACTGTCTTACTATGTGGATATGCGTTTAGATTTGTTGTGCGTTATGTGCCTTTTATGTGATACACAACTAGACTCAATGAGCTTCAGTTCTTCATTGTGTAACACCTTCCTTTTTTTTTTATTCCATATAAATTAGGGGATTTTTGGGGTATTAGACATTTCCTATTGAGGATTCTGTTCTAGCTGGAGCTGTATACTATAGTTCAAAAGTTGTTTGAATTCAATTAACGCCAACCTCAGGCCAGAACCCAGACCATTTACATGATCCTTATGCTGATAAATGGATTTATCAATGAAGATGCACCTATTATGAGAACTTGAACTGTCTAGGTCACTCGTATCAGATTTTAAATTTTGGATTCATGTACTATATATACATTAATATAGATTGCTATTTATGTGCACAGATATGTGGAGATATCCATGGGCAGTTTTATGACATGAAAGAGCTTTTCAAAGTGGGAGGGGATTGCCCAAAGACTAATTACTTGTTTCTTGGAGATTTTGTTGACCGAGGATTTTACTCTGTTGAGACATTTCTACTTCTATTAGCCCTTAAGGTACTATTTTTATCAGTGGAAATATCATTTCTTTTATTTATTTTCTGATGTTAAGCAGAATATTGGTCGTCTCTGAAGCAGCTGTTCTGCTGTTTCCTAGTCGATGCACTATTGTGGCTTCTATGTATAGCTCTCTATGGATAGTTTCTTGACAGATTGTTCATAATCAGATTAACCCATTTTTCGCCGATTTTATGAGATTATCTGATGGATTGCATCTATGATTTGATTGATTTGAGAACTCTTAAGCAATATGGTTTCATTCAAGTCATTTGATACATTTTTTGCCACTGTAGAATATCTCAACATAATATGAAGCCAATGACAGTTTAAATGCTTTCTCCTTGCACTCTCTGGGCTTTTGTGAAGTAACTGTTAAGCATCACGCAAACTGATAGGATAGAGAGATGTCTAAACTGATAGCATGAGAAGTTTTCATGAGAATTAAAATTTAATGAATCCTGGTTAGAAGCTACCTTCAGTAGAAAATTATCTGTTTCAGGAAATGACATATAACATAATGATAGGAAGAAGCACTCCATTTTTTATGCACTTTGTTAAGGAAACTCAAATGCATGAATGTAGAACATATGATGCCTAGTATGTAAAAAATCTGTCAAAAATGTTCTGGAATCTTTGGTCTTTTGAAACAACCGTTGTACTTAACCTCAAAGCCTTAACAACCTAAATAATTGAACTTCTAACGACTTGAAATGCACCAAATAAGAAAGACCGAAAGGAAATCAACTGTGGGTTTCCTTGAGATTTGCCATGCTTTTATGTTCTCATTTCATGCTGACCTCAAATTTTTTTACCTTTTTTGATTGTTGAAATTAATTTCTATAACTGTGACTTGCCTGACTTGACCTTCCAATGTTCAGCCACCGGCATCTACAAATATTATTTATATATAATGCTATTCACCAAGCTATTGATGTTGTCTTCATTTAGTTTTCTATCTCATTTCATCACCATCTTCTTCTTAATACAACTACTGCTCATGTTGACACCAATAAGTTGCATTCATCAGGTGAGGTATCCAGATCGGATTACTCTCATTCGAGGGAACCATGAGAGCCGTCAGATAACTCAGGTTATATTTTTTGACCTGGTATTCTTTGTAACTTTCTGTTTCTTAAAGGTGTTGATTGATTGTCCTTTCTTTGCAGGTTTATGGATTCTATGATGAGTGCCTTCGTAAATATGGTTCTGTGAATGTTTGGAGATATTGCACTGATATTTTCGATTACTTGAGGTATGCATTTATGTTACCTAAGTTTAATGTTGTGAAGACTATAGATCCACAATTGAATTTGTGACATATGTCCTATCAACAAACCATGATTAATATACTCATCCTGTATTTTGTGGATGATCAAATAAATTTCATACATTTTGATCATAGTGAAGTATGGTATTTACACTCAGCAGAGCAACAAGTGGGGAGTAAATGTATTGTTTTTCCTGCGTTGGCTAATTGATTTCTAGCCTTCTACTTTTATCTGCTTATAAGATACCTTTTGTCATTCTATGAGGCTGGTTGCTTCTGTCCGGTGCACAAAATTGATTTTTTGAGCTTGACAAGTTAGATCCCCAGACAATGTTTATTTTTCCAAATAGTGACATCCTTTTAGCATACTGTTCACTTCTGTGTTATAACTGCTGTTTCATTACAGTTTATCAGCTCTTATTGAGAATCGAATTTTTAGTGTTCATGGTGGTCTCTCTCCTCCCATATCAACATTGGATCAGGTTAAATAATCCATCCCAATAACTTGCTTACTTTTCTGAAGTTATATATAGTGAATTACTATTGAGGTCTTTCTGGCCAGATCCGAACAATTGATAGGAAGCAAGAAGTACCTCATGATGGTCCCATGTGTGACCTTCTCTGGTCAGATCCTGAAGATATTGTGGATGGTTGGGGTTTGAGTCCACGTGGTGCTGGTTTTCTATTTGGTGGCAGTGTGGTGACTTCTTTCAACCATTCAAACAATATTGATTATATATGCCGTGCTCATCAGTTGGTAATGGAAGGATACAAATGGATGTTCAATGACCAAATAGTTACTGTCTGGTCGGCTCCAAACTACTGCTACAGGTAAATTATTATATGAAACCTTGCCCATGCACTTATTCCAGCTAATGGTTTTTGTCTTGATTTGCTGCAGATGTGGTAATGTAGCTGCAATCTTGGAGTTGGATGAGAACCTGAACAAGCGGTTTCGTGTTTTTGATGCAGCCCCACAGGTTAGTACTTATTGGAAAATGATTCAAAACAACAACTAAGCCTTAATCCCAAAGTAGTCGCAGTCGGCTGCATGAATCTTTTGTTTCCCTTTCAGTCTGTTAAAGATAAGTCCGTACTAATGTTAGGAAATAATAGATCTTTTGAGATAACTTCCCGCCATGTGGTTCTACCTCCATGTGGAAATTGATTCAAAATTGGGGAAAAAAAAAAGGTTTCAGCATTGATCATCCTAAGCAGCAGCAAGGGCAGCATGATGGTTTATTCACATTGATTGTGATATTCCATTATTCTTGTTTATTTCCATGCATATAGTGCCTGAAAAGTTCATTTAACAAACAAATACCTTTATGCTATTTAGTATTCTAACAGGCGTAGGCTTGTAGCACTATGATTTTAACCATATTCTCTGTCTACCCTTTGTGCTTCACATTAACTGTTTACAACTTGCAAAAGTAATGAAATGCTTCATTGACAGACTAATGAATGCATATGGGAACACGTGATTTTTCTTTCTCATAGTACTTATCCCTCAATGTGATGCCCATCATATGCATTTATACAGCACTAACATATCAAAAATTAAATGCAGGAATCAAGAGGCACACCTGCCAAAAAACCTGCACCTGATTATTTCTTATGATAATTGGCAAAGCCTTTTATCATTTGATGCAATTGAATTGATTACAAAGAACATCTACATTTGCATGGTGAAGAAATCTACTGCAATACCAAAAGAAAGATCTAATGGATAGACTCCCCAGTGATCAACTCTTGAAATGACGAGGAAGAGCCATATTAATGGTTTTTACACATTTGGATTGTTGGGGTTTGCTTTCTTATGTTCTTAGTTCCACCACCATTGTTTTCTGATTTGTGTAATACTATTGTATATCATGCTATGTGCTAGTGAATCATGGAAATATGGGACACTTATCCTTCCTCGACTTGGGTGAAGATTATAGGTCTTGTTCAAAGGGATTGATTTTGCTTTATTTTCCAGTTATCATGGAAAAGATTAGATTAGGGACAATGAAGGGGTAACAAAAGTAAATGGAACTCTCAAAATTTGTTGTGTTTGCTCTTTTGGACAATAAGAGCTGCGATTGTCTTCTTTCATGTGTTTTCTGAGTGAGATTGCTATCTTCGAGCTTGGAAAAAAAGAAAGAAAATGAGAAAAATAAATATTTATTTCCCTTTCAGAATTTTCTCTTCAATTTGGTAAACTAATAGAAGAAAAAAAAGAAAAATAACATTTCGTTTGGAAATTTTTATTTGTCATTATTTTTCTCATTTAGTTTCTTTTCTTTCATATTTTCTTTGCTCCTCTAATCCAATCAGAGTGCCAATATTGTAGTTGATTTTGAAATTGGAACAGAACGTGGAAAATATAGATTAAGAAATTAAAAAAATGATACTAAAATTAGAACAAAATGGGGGAAATATAGATAAAAGCATTAAAATTTATTTTGCTGGTGAAATTATAATTCCTCATTAGATTTTATGGCTTGATATTTCCAATAAAACATATAAAATTGCCATCTCTGAAGACTGCTGCTGAATAACGAATATGAATCTTGCCAGTGGATGCTTTGTCCCAGACTAAACATGAATCACGCGCCTTCTCGAGAAAAGTCTCTTTTTAACCGATGGTGTCTGTAACGCTATTTAGGCACGCGTGGTTCTTGTTTCCCGCCCCAAGTCAAATATCCAAGCCAACTAACTGTCCAAAAATGAATCGAAGTAATGGATAAAGTCCAAAAGCTTTAAAAACTGCCTTGCACATAACATCCTCCCTCCTCTGGCTCCGGTTGCTTTCACTCAAAAATATTTCGTCAATCTGTTTCTCTATTGGATTTATACTGTCTGCTCAATGATTTAATCATATTTCTTACCTGGGTTTTATTGTCTTGAAATTCATGGCACACCCTATTTTCTTCTTAGTTTTGTCTCTCCTATTGATTCCTGCAATTACCCATCTCCAATCCAATGAAGAAGGCTACATCTCTGTGTTATTATCTGATAAAGGTATTGATTTTACTAAGGATGTGCTGATAAATAAGGCAGTGTCCTCCATGATTCCACTTCAATTGCCTGATATAGAGAAGCATGTGAAAATCCCACTTCTTGGCAAAGTCCTGGTGGTTCTTTCAAATATTACCATTTATGATGTTAATTTTGCTTCTTCATCTGTTGAAACTGGAGATACGGGTATTATTCTTGTTGCTTCTGGTGGTACTGCGGATTTGACCATGAATTGGATGTACTCTTATAAGAATTGGATAGTGGTGATTTCGGATAGTGGAGATGCCTCGGTTCAGGTATATACATGACAGGGAGGTATTGCTTTAGTTTTGTACTTTGTTTGCCTAGAGTTTGGTAAATGCTTCTGGTTGTTGGATGGGATTGATTTGCTTTGTTCTTCTTTTAACATAGCTTTTGAATTTTGATCGAGCTTGAGAAGAAGTGTAAGTATATGAAGATTTTCACTTTGAGGGTTCTGCAAAGGGGAATTCAGTGTAGCTAGGGAAGGGAGTAAATGTAGGAAGCAAAAGTTTCCATAATTCTATGAGCTAAGGTCTACTTACGTAGTGATTATAACATAGTAATTGCATAATTTTGATTCTGTCAAAACTCACAAGAGAAGTACATAAGCTGAACAGAGTTAAATATCTAGTTTGTCATACCCTTGATGGGGTTTTCGACAAAATGATCATTCCTGAAGTAGAAACACATAAAATAGAAGCTTCCTTATGTAATTCCTATGATATTCTTTATTCTTGATATGTACAAGTGTCTTTTCATCCCTTTTACTAGGCCGTACATACCCACGTTAACCCTTTCTAGTGCATTATATGGGTAGCAATTTCAGTGAATTTGATTAATGTATCTAATGTTTTCTTGATGTGGAGAACAAAGTATGTCTACTGTTGAGAACCGATAATTCGGGAATCAGAAATGAAGGGCGTAAGCAAGATGGTTATATATTTTAGTGAAGGTTTTGTTCCAATGAAATTGTGTCAGTAATTTGCAATTCCATGCATTTAGTGATCTTTATTCATCATAAGCGTAGTGAAGACAATAAGTTTGAAAAAACAATAGAAGATAGAAGATAGTTGAACTGAATTAAACCGTTACATAGCATAGTGACAACACTAGTAATGACATTGTACTCTTACAAAGCTTGTTTGAAAGAGTTTCCCCTCTGTTTTTTTCACTTAGGCATCACTTGATTGTAAATGATAAAAGAAATTTGTTTCTGGTATTTTACTTCAAGGGGAAAGTGAAATGATCTGTCATTTATTTTCTGTGGTGCTTGTTTTTCATATCTGGCATAATACAATTCTCTGATATTTTAATTCAAAAACCAATAACTGATGAGTGCTGCTTCTGCAAAGGTTAAAGGTATGGAAGTTGGGGTTACTGTTGCTTTAAAAGAACAGGGCGGGGCTCTTAAGCTGTCTCTCCTGGACTGTGGATGTCATGTGAAAGATATCGATATTAAGTTGGAAGGTGGAGCATCTTGGCTTTATCAAGTGTAAGAAATCTCATAGGCTTATTTTTCTCTTCATTTTAGTTGTGGATTGTATGTAACATTTTCTGTGGTTGGATTTCTTTTCTAATTTAAGCTCCAGATATTAAACAAATCCAGTATAAGGCTTTGTCACTTTCATAAAATATAAAATATACTAATGTCTGAAGTGAAGGTCAGACTGGGAACTTATCCTCCTTTCTTACTGGATGACTTTTTAAAGAAATTTCCAGTTCTTGTTTTATTCCAATGATGGAATTTCACATAGGCTTTTTTGAAATGAAACACAAATTTCAGTTCTAACTGTATATCTCTTATTTTTTAATAAATTGCAAGTTATGGTCATTATAGCTTTCTCTAAATTTTCATTATAGAAAGATTACTGGCTGCATAAACTCGTGACTTGAAACTTGGAAGTTATTCAATTGCTTGTAAATGTTTACTCTTGATGTGCCTTGTATGGGATCAAGACCATTTTGATCTTCGTATATTTGTACTTCAATTCCATTCTTTGAGCTTTCATTTGTGATCAAGTGCTTTCTTCTTATTTGTCAATAAATTTCCAACCAGTTATTGGATAGTTATTCCCATGTTTCATCTTAAACTTGCCTTTGCGTCCTCTGATAGATGCACTTCATGCATCATATTTGTTTAAAGAAATTATATTCTAATGATAATGTTATCCTTTTATCTTCCAGGGTGGTTGATGCTTTTGCAGGGCCAATAGGGTCTGCAGTAGAAAATGCTATTTCGAAGAAAATCAAAGAAGGGATATTAAAACTTGACTCCAGATTGCAGTCACTTCCAAAACAAGTCTCTGTAGATCATGTTTCTGTGATGAATGTTACTTTTGTGGATGACCCTGTGTTGAGCAATTCTACTATTGAATTGGATATTAATGGTCTATTCATGGCAATGGATAATGTTTTAATTCCCAGCCATTACTATAAAGGAATACACGATTCTGATTCCTCAAATTGTCAAACTAAGATGATTGAAATTTCATTACATGAAAACGTTTTTAATACTGCTGCAGTAGTGTACTTCAATGTAAGTTATTGCATAGCTAAATCATGAACTTTGACCTGATAGCACTAGTACATTTTATTATCTTTTTCCTCTTTGAGAAGTTTCTGATAAATATAATAAAAATGTCTGTTAAAATAATCGGCTAAAAAGAGGCAATACCGTAACTGTTTCATCTTTTCTATTTTCAGCTGATATACTGCATGTACATATTCATTGATCTCTATGAAATAATAGTTATTTTGGTTAAGCAGCTAAGCTAATTTCTTGGAAAATTTCTGTGGTCAGGCAGGTTACATGCACTGGACAGTAGATCGATTTCCAAATCAGTCCCTCTTAAACACTGCAACATGGAGATTCATTTATCCTCAACTGTACAAGAAGTACCCAAACGATGACATGAGTCTTAATATATCACTAACTTCTCCACCAGTGATAATAATTTTAAAGAATGACATTGATGCTGCCATTTACTTAGATGTGACAGTTAATGTTTTGGATGGTGGCCAAGTTATACCAGTTGCATGTGTCTCGTTGGTATGTTTGATTAAAAATATATATCTATTTTCACTTTAACTTTCACAGGCTACTTTTGTTGCCTATTACCTATCCATTTTCATCTTCTTCCCTTTCTGCATTACTTTTTAGCCACATGTTATCTTAGCTCTTTTAAGTATTCTCCAAAGTAGCAGTTTCTATTTAGAAATTGAATGTTCAGAACTTTTTTCTGGTGATCTTGTTTCGTAATTGCTGTGATGCTTTATTTCTTGTACTTTCTGAAAGCTGGAAGTGATGCTATCAGTATCATTTTCCTCATACTCTTCGAGTGCTATCTGTCATTGCAGGTAATTAGAGCTTCATGTTCTCCAAAAATTTTAAGGAACAAGATTGCTGGTATCCTCAAGTTGAAAAACTTTAATGTGTCTTACAAGTGGAGCAGTATTGGGGATCTGCATATGCGTCTAATTCGGGTAAGTTAAAACTGCACTATCAATATTTTGCTGTCATCAGGAGTTTGCAGTTATTCTGTCTATATAGGTGATTTATGTTTCTCCATATTGGTTATAACAGATTTATCCATCTAGATAAATTTATAAATATTAGGCTACAGATGAGTTAAGACTTTAAGACTGTCGAACATATTCTCATCCAAAGACGGTTGATGTGATATGAACCGCTTTGAACTTGAAATAGTTACCATGGGAATACATCACCCGGTGGATGAATATTTGTTTCTTCACGACTGTTGTGCGACAGAAACAGCCTGATATATTTTCTTCTTGGATTTCTGTTAAGTACCAACTTACCAGTCTGTTTAATCTCAAAAAGTGCTGTTGTGAACTCTTTGCAGTCAATAGCTTTCGCTGTTCTCAAAACTGTTTTCATTCCATACGTGAACTTGCGCCTCATGAAGGGATTACCTTTGCCACTTCATGGATTTATGCTTCAAAATGCTGAAGTCCATTGCGCGACTTCCAAGATGATGATATGCAGCAACCTTGCTCTCACATAACAGTAACCCTTAGTAGAAGTCAGTCAGTCAGTCTACTTCAACCAGATGCTTGTGATACTAATCACATGTACAGAAACTGAATAGATTCATTTGCTGGTTTTGGTGAATATACATAATGGTGTAAATTTAGCACAAACGATACAAACCAGAATTATTGTATTTGTGTGCAATGTAATAAATTTTTGGGGACTTGTTGAGTGAAAACAATTTGTATTTGGGCTAGAAAGAATGTTTTTTCTTTTACCAGTTATTTTTAAGTTAAGACATTGAGCAAATTGACACAATTAACATATCAAAATCAATGGGTAGGTGTAAGCATTGGAGTGGCTTGTTTTGAATTGAACGAATCAATACAAATCAAATGGACTGAAATCTTTTTTTTTTTTTTTTTTTTAACTTAATAATTCATTAACAATTAATATAAATTGAGTATATCATAATATTCTTATAGGACTAAGAAATACAAATATAGAAAATTGAAATCTTCTGTTTGGAGATGTTTTTGGCAATAGAAATTAATTTTCCGGTAAAAACTGGTTCATTTTCAAATAGGATGATAAAAGAAACATTTCACAATATTATCTTGAATATTGTTTTTTCGGAACCTTGTTACAACTGACACTTTTAATATAACAACCTTTAATAGATGAACGGACCGTACTACTATGCTCCATTGATAAAAGAAAATTACGAGAATTTGAAGATTTGAAGTCTCCAACTACAAGTAACTAATAATCCATCTTGTATTTTGAACTACCAGAGAAATAAAAGATTCAAATAGAAACTCCTCAATAACGAGGAACAACTCCATGAAAGGAAAGAAATTAATAATCCAATAAGAAGATAGCAAAAATATTTAATTTGAGAAATTAAATCTAAATTTTATTTCAAACGATTATATATTTGAAAATTAATAGATAGAAAGCTAAATAAAATAAAGAAAAATGACGACGAGGGACGACGAAAAGAAACCGCCCCAGCTAAAAAAAGAGTGGTTCGGAAATAAAATTTAAAAAAACACAAAACAGATAGAACCAATGGACTGAAATCTTTTAAATGAGAATGCACTCCAATCAAAAAAATATAAAAAATTAAATTAAATTAAACCAGCTCAATTCGGTTTGACTTAGTTAAGATTAATATTTTTTGTGGTAATCTGAGCTATTTGTTCAGTTGAATAAAAATCCAACCAAATTAAATGATAAAAATTTCAATTTCCATAGAAAATAAAAAAAAAAAACCTATAATATCTATCGAGTATCAAATTAGACCGAATTAGATCAGTTGGATTTGGTAGTTTGGTTATTCGGATCTGGGCTCTCCATTTGTCATTGGGCTTTGGGGCCTTGGCTATGCAAAAGATTGAGATTCATGTCAAATTAAAAAAAAAAAAAAAAAGTTATCCATTTTTCTTGATCAAGCAACTAGGATATTCCAGAAATTATTTGGAAGGTTCCTGACCGTAGATGAAACGCCCAACAAATGCAACCTAACATTCCATCGATCAATGTTGACCGCTAAAATAATTTCTCGTTTTTGACCTTTCCTTTGCCAGGAAGGTTTTCAATTCCTTCCTTCCACACAATTCCATTTAGTCGGAGTCGGTTCGGTCCTCTATATAAACTCGGCGCCTTGCTTTTTTTTCTTCATACTTGTTATTTCAGTTAATTCTCAGAATCTTCATCTTAGAGAATTCTCAAGCATTCTAGATTTCTCCCTTCCATACAGTATGCAGATCTTCGTGAAAACCCTGACCGGCAAGACTATTACTCTCGAGGTCGAGAGCTCCGATACAATTGATAACGTCAAGGCCAAGATCCAAGATAAGGAAGGAATTCCACCGGATCAACAGAGGTTGATCTTCGCCGGCAAGCAGCTTGAAGATGGCCGCACATTAGCCGATTACAACATCCAGAAGGAGTCAACACTCCACCTCGTCCTCCGTCTCCGTGGCGGCATGCAGATCTTCGTTAAGACTTTGACAGGCAAAACCATTACTCTTGAAGTCGAGAGCTCTGATACCATCGATAATGTCAAGGCCAAGATCCAAGACAAGGAAGGAATTCCACCGGACCAGCAGAGATTGATCTTCGCTGGAAAACAACTCGAAGACGGAAGAACCCTTGCCGATTATAATATTCAGAAGGAATCCACACTGCATTTGGTTCTCCGTTTGCGAGGAGGTATGCAGATCTTCGTGAAAACCCTGACCGGCAAGACTATTACTCTCGAGGTCGAGAGCTCCGATACAATTGATAACGTCAAGGCCAAGATCCAAGATAAGGAAGGAATTCCACCGGATCAACAGAGGTTGATCTTCGCCGGCAAGCAGCTTGAAGATGGCCGCACATTAGCCGATTACAACATCCAGAAGGAGTCAACACTCCACCTCGTCCTCCGTCTCCGTGGCGGCATGCAGATCTTCGTTAAGACTTTGACAGGCAAAACCATTACTCTTGAAGTCGAGAGCTCTGATACCATCGATAATGTCAAGGCCAAGATCCAAGACTCCAAGACAAGGAAGGAATTCCACCGGACCAGCAGAGATTGATCTTCGCTGGAAAACAACTCGAAGACGGAAGAACCCTTGCCGATTATAATATTCAGAAGGAATCCACACTGCATTTGGTTCTCCGTTTGCGAGGAGGTATGCAGATCTTCGTGAAAACCCTGACCGGAAAGACGATAACGCTAGAGGTGGAGAGCTCCGATACTATCGACAACGTCAAGGCCAAGATCCAGGACAAGGAAGGAATTCCACCAGACCAGCAGCGGTTGATCTTCGCTGGAAAGCAACTCGAAGACGGAAGAACACTCGCCGATTATAATATCCAGAAGGAATCGACTCTGCATCTGGTCCTCCGTTTAAGAGGAGGTATGCAGATATTCGTGAAAACCCTAACTGGAAAGACTATAACGCTGGAGGTGGAAAGCTCCGATACAATTGACAACGTCAAGGCTAAGATTCAAGACAAGGAAGGTATTCCCCCAGATCAGCAGCGGTTAATCTTCGCTGGAAAGCAGTTGGAGGATGGAAGGACTCTTGCTGATTACAATATCCAAAAGGAATCTACTCTTCACCTTGTTCTCAGGCTTCGCGGTGGAATGCAGATTCTCGGTGCTCAAAAGATCTTGATCTGTTCATAAACAATATTGAACCTTAGTTCTTAACAAAACAATTTAAATCTTCCATTATCTAAATGATAAATACTCTCAAAAAAAATAAAGTAAAAAAAAAAAAACACGATTGTTTCAAATGCTGCTGGTAAATGAATTTCTTTCTGCAATAGGGAAATTGCAAATTACAAAAGAGCGGAGGACAAATTTAGATTAGTTTCCTGGAATATGAGGCCCATCTTTTTGAAAGCAGACGATTAAACTATAGCAATCGATCTAACACTGATGTTTGATTGAGCAATTCAAGTGCATGATGATATATTAAAGGGCTGCCCGTGCTCTACGGCAAATGATTAGTAAACCATCGGATGCAGCTATGTGTCGTTTTGATAAAATGGGCTGTGTCGTTTTTTTTAATAACATACACAGTCGGAGTGGATGGTTATGGACGATATGGAACTTAAAAGTTAAATTTAATTGTTATTTGATTTAATGATATGGTGGTTATTTCCTAATGCAAATTACTAACAAGTGCGGATCCCTTCATTGTCATGTCGGGCTAACATTAATTTTTCCCACTAAACTTTTGCAAAAGCGTCCCATTATCCCAACCCATTCAATTAAAATTATTGTTGACCCTCACTAAAATTGCATAATTATGCTCTTATTTGTTAGCTGATAGAAAAAGATAACAGTAATAAGAAGTGATATCACCTGCAAATTAAAATACAATATATAAGAAATACACTTTTGTTAATACTGAGATGCTTTTCACTATTTTTCTATTCACTATATTTTAGATATTCTTTTTTCGAATGAGAATACATATTTAGATAATAGCATTTTAATCTTTATTTAATTGACAATATTTTAGTCCGTTTGTCAATTAATTTGATTGTGGAGCTTTTGTTTTTAGAGGAAAATGCGATAATATTGTAAGGATATCCCTCAAAATACCTAGTTAAGACAAATCTATTACGATGTAGTCCATAGCTTCAACCATCAAAAGAGAGTCAAATTTAAATTCTACATTTTGCCATCTTTTTCAAAATCGCATAAAATAAACTTTGCTTATTTGTTCGATAAAATTAATTGCTTTTGTAGTTATTAGCTATTTTTGTAGCGTTTAGTTATTTAAGTAACTAGCTGTTTAAATAGTTTTTGTAGAAAAATAAAAACTAAATGTTACATGTTAATCTTTTACAAAATCCACATTAATCTATAAAAACACTATATTAGCGAACACTATAAAAAATTAATATTTAATATTTCTATTTAAAACGCGGTTCCTGCTGAATACAACGTATAAAATTAAGAGATGATGGGTTAGATATGGAGCAGGTTTATAATTGTCTTATGAAGTTTAATATATATTTATTTTGTCACTTATTTCGTGGCATGTGAATCAAATTAAGTTTTATTCAAAAAAATAAAAAAAATGAAAAACATAAATTTAACTTGAACAAAATAAACAAATGAAGTGATTCTCAAAACAAAAAGAAAAAAAGAAAAAAAAAAGAAAAGAGTGGACTATGAGTAGTAGATAGATCCATGGCAAATAAAATTGCCATTTTGTTCAAAAGACTCGTTATTTTTAATATAATTATAAATTTAGTAATAAATAGAATGAAAACAAAAGATTGATAAATTAATTTCAAATTAATTAAAACTTGGTTTCTGTTTGTTGTTATTTTGTTTTTTAGTTTTGAAATCCATTACATAACTTAAAATTTAAGATTATTATTATTTTGATTCAGTCGGTTGTAATAAGTTTTAAAAAATATTTTTGCCAATTTTCTCCATTGTATAACCGCAGCACTATACATGCTCAAAGAAAAAACTAGCGGATTGTTCACTAAGCTGACATGGAGGGCACGTAATGGATACCGGACAGCAACGTAAATTACGCACTGCAGTAAAGTCAAAATCCCTAGAAAAGCAAGCCGTCAACCCCCAATTTCCTTACCGTTCTATGGTAAACCGGCTTTAAGAACCGGAATTTAAAAACCCAAGCCGCCCGGTTCACATAACTCGAATAATAAGAACGTAATTAACCCATTCTCTCTCTAGAAACAAACGCTCACTCTCTCTATAATCGCTCTCTGCTAAATTCGCACCTCTTTCTCTCTCTCACTCTCACATATCTCACCTCAGGCCCCCTCCTATTATCATTTACAATATCACTCAAAAATTACAAATCTCTCTCTCCAATTTACCCGCCAAAAAGGTTCTTTAATTTAACGTCTCAAAATTTTCAAATTTCTCCTAAACCTCTCTATTTCTCTCTCTAGGGTTTCCTTCATTTGCTCCCTGTCTCTCCATCTCATCTCACATGTCTCTTTTCTCTTTCTCTTGCAGGTCTCCCTTCGTGGAACGGTGTCGTACATGGGATTTGCTCTTTAAGAGATGGATTCGGCGGTTAATGATGAGTCTCGAGATGGTGATAATGTTCAATCGGAATGTGTGGTTGAGGTTGCTTCTATTGGTGAGAAGAGGCCGGTGGAGAATGGGGAGACCGATGAATTAGATGCTAGGTCAACTAAAAAGGCAAATTGTGGGGCCGGAGAATTGCGGAGAGTGGCGGAGATAGTGCTGGTTTTGTCTACGATGGCTGGGATGAGAGGAGGGAGGAGTCCGACCGAAGCTGAGGTAAATATGATGGCGGAGGCTAGGGCAAAATTGGTAGAGATTTGTCAGGATTTGGCGCCCAAGGATTTAGTAGCGAGGGACGCAATTGGGACTGTTATTGAGGATCTTGGGCTCAATTGGAAGATTAAAGATCAACGATTAGGATTTCGAGGATCAAGGTTGTCAATTAAAGAGAAGCTCTCGCTTACAAAGAGGAAGGTAAAATTTTTTAAAATCCTGTGCGTTTGTATCTGTAACGTTGTTTGAGTAGGCATTGGTTATTTTATTTGTTTTATTGCTTTTATGAGTTAAGGATTTTATTTTTTGCCTTTTCATATCAGTTCAGTCCAATTAGCAAAAATTTGTTGGATTTATTCATCTTTTTTCTCTCTTTCTTTCTGGGTGTAGATTCATGCTGTTGTTGGTGGTTAAAATGTAAAAAGCTGAGTTGTAGTTCATACTGATATTGGTTGTAATGCATGAACGAAAAATGAGGTCAAGAGCCCTAATCTTTGATAGATCTTCTGATGTCATTGAAGTGAAGATGGTGCGTCTAGGATCCTTTTGGTTTCTAGTAAGAAGTAGAATAGGGAAAGAGCTGAGCTGTAGAAATTAATAAGTGGGATATAATGAAAGTTTCAAATCCTTATGGACGTTACTATTCAAAAAATTGGTCTTCGCAAAGATATAAAATGCGCTGTAGGTTATAAAATGTGGCTGAGAAAAAGTTTATCAGATAAAAGATATTAGGCACATTGTGATACATATTTCCAAAGTCAGGTCCAAGACATGTCTTATGTCGTTGGGGAATGATCCACTGTAATTCTTATCCCTGCTTGAGCTATTTAACTATCTTGCTGGATTTGGTTGGATCGTGTCAAACTGTTAATATTGTGTCATTACTAAAAAGTGCATGTTTCTTCATGCTTCTCTAGATGGAAGAATCCAAAAAATTTACTGCACCTTCTGCTCCATATTCATCACAAGTGTCACAGCCAGGTTTTGTTGCAATGGGTGATACCCGTGGGCCATCCCATTCTATTCGCATGTTTTCATCAGATAAACCAAGTAATGCACCTTTACATTCGGGAAACCTTCCAACTTCTTCAACTCTAGGACATGTGTCAGCAGCAACTTCTACATCTGGAGGACATCAGCTGCTCGCCACAGAAGCAAGACCATCTACAGTGTCTGCTGGATTACCCAACAGTCATCCAGGAAGGGGTTCGTCTATATTGGCCGGTCCTAGGGTTGAAAAGGTACAATTTAAATCGGAAGGTTCAAATGGGACTTCTTATGCACCACAATCGCAAGGTAATCCTCCACTTCCCTTCTTCTTTAGTCCTTTTTTCCCTAGATCCACGAATGATGTTATTCCTTCATTCTTCTTTCTTTCTTTAATGGATATAGTATATGGATTGTTGAGCCTATTATCGTTGATTTATATGAAACAAATTGGATAATCAAGCAAGTCTAAAGAATAACCTGCCCAGGGAATCGTAGAATGCATGCTTAATTTTGATATGGTATATTTCCGAGGACTTATATTTCCATCTCTCAAAATTCAACTAATGATGCTTATTACATATTAGGTTTTTCTTAATTGTGGATGAATAAGTAAAATTGTGAAATTGTTTAAGATTCATGTTACTTGTCTTTCCTATCACACCCATGTTCATCCTGTGATGCATGCCTGTGTTTTTTTAAGAGAGTAGGCTGTGTAGGGAGGAGGGGACTGGGTTAGGTATAAGTTCCTTGATGCCCCCCATAACATTATTTTTTCAGGTTCTTATTCACTATCATCTTCTACATTAATCTATTTTGTTTAATTTTATGCACTTGTTATGCTTTTTAAATTATAAATGCAGCAAATGCTTCAGCAAATGTTTCTGCAAACCAGCCATTGTTAAATGCTTCAACTTGGTCTTTGCAATCTCATTCTATGTCCTCTGCCAAGAGTACACCAGAAAACAAGGTATTAAATCATAATGCTACTAAGGCTGATGGAACTACTGAGTTGGGATCATCACATGCTGCTTCTCAATCTGCAAGAGATCAAGCATTCAGACCATTTATTGCTCAAAACACACCAGCAAATTTGCCAAGTGTACATCAACCTATGCAAGGCATGAAGTATGTTCAACCCACACCGTTTTTCAACAACCACAATGATATTGCTAAAATTGTTCAGAAGTTATTGCATCCAAAACTTCCTGAACATCCCACATGGACTCCACCTTCAAGGGAATATATGAATAAGCCTTTAACTTGCCAAATGTGCAAGGTTACTGTCAATGAGGTGGAAACTGTCGTCCTTTGTGATGCTTGTGAGAAAGGATTTCATTTGAAATGTCTAGAAGCAATGAATCAGAAAGGAATACCAAGAGGTGGTGAATGGCACTGCTTGAGGTGCACAGCACTAAGCAATGGGAAGCCTTTGCCACCTAAGTATGGTCGTGTCATGAGGAGCATAACTCCACCAAAAGGGCCTTCTAATCCAGCTGGAGCTCAGCCATCATCAGACAAGAAAAATGGGACTGTAGATCCAAATGTTAATCAAGAGAAGTTATTGGCAAATGGAAGCTCTGGTTTACAAAATCCTGCAGGATCTAGTACTGCAAGCGACAACTGTGCAGAGTCAGCACCTGATGGAAGGGAAATGACCGGGAATAGTATCATTGCAAGTGTTAAAAATGTGGATCAGGGGACGTGTACTGGAAACCCTAATAACTTAACAAAATCTGTTGGTGTTGTCTCTGATTCTCCTTCTGTTGGCTTGTCAAGTGAAAGATCTATTCACCTAGCTCAAGTTTCGGAATCACACACACAAGAAGAGACATCGGGTTCTGAACCAAAACTGCAGCCTCCTGCTATATTATCTGAGGTGTTTAGCAATAAATTTGAAAATTCCAAACCCTCCAATGACTTGCAACATATTGCCAGAGCAGAACTATCAAATGCTAGTGAAGTTCCTTTCAAAAGTAGTCAGGGAAATTTTGTGGTTGAGGACTTAGAGTTTGTAAAAGGCAATAGTGACTGTACATCAACATTTGATGTGAAACAAAGTGAGCAAGTTGCTATCTGTGCAAATCCTGTTGAAAGCTCTGAACCTAGTGATGAGGCGAGAAAACATGCCGGGATGTCTTCTGATGTCTTTCACAGTGTTGAATGGATTGGTGATGCAGTTAAAGTTTCAGATGGAAAAACATTTTATCAGTCTTGTTTTATTGATGGAGTGACATATAAAGTGCAGGATCATGCCCTTTTTCGTTCTAGTCATGAGAAATTGATGCCCTCAAAGCTGCAGGCAAGTGAATCACCAATTATTTCTTCTTATTATAATTGCTATGGTAATTGTTCAGCTAAAGAAATTAAAAGATTAAAAGCTGGCTTGTCTGACACAAGCACATTACTAAATTTTTGCATAGAATTAGAGTTGAATTACTTTTTAAGTTGGTATTATTAGTTAATTTATTTAAGTTGTCTTCTGTGAAATAATCTGTTAAAGAGTTCCTTATGTGGTTGACCTTTATCTCAGGCAATGTGGGAGGATATTGAAACAGGAACAAAGTGGGTTCTTGTGAATCGATGCTACTTCCCAGGTGACTTGCCAAAGGCTGTTGGCCACCCCTGTGCCTCTGAAAGCAACGAGGTTTACAATCTTCTCATATAATTTTGTCTTTCTCTAGTGTCTGATTGCCATTGAAAACTGTAACTGTTCGCACATGAGTAGTTGGAGAACATACAAAATCACACGCTCGCCCGCGCACACACACAGAGTTATTGCTCAAAGATAATAATCCAAAAAGCTAACTCAGTTGAATTTAATTTTCTGAATTTGCATTTTGATGGATATTGTGTGTTTGTCATGCATGTTATGAATTCCATTTTCCTCTATTTCAGGTATATGAATCTAATCACGAAAGCAGTTTAATGGCTGGGTTGATTCAAGGTCAATGCAAAGTTCTTCCTTCTATCAAGTTTCAGATTAATAGTGAAAGACAGAATCAGTTAGGAACTGAGGCTAATATTGGATCAGATCCAGTTTTTATATGCAAGTATGTATTTTCATGACTTCATCTCTTGCAAACCCTTGCTTACTGCTCACTCTTGGGAAAACTGCATGATGTGTCTATCTCTCTGTTTATGTGCACATGCATTCTTTTATTCTCTTTGCTCTCTCTCTCTCTTTTTTTTTTTTTTTTTTTTTTTTTTTTTCATGTTTATGAATTCCATTTTCCTCTATTTCAGGTATATGAATCCTAATCACGAAGCAGTTTAATGGCTGGGTTCGATTCAACGGTCAATGGCAAAGTTCTTCCTTTTCTATCAAGTTTCAGCAATTATAGTGAAAGACCAGAATCAGTTAGAACTTGAGGCTAATAATTGGATCAAAGATACCAGTTTTTTATACTGCAAAGTATTTATTTTCATGGACTTCATCTCTTGCAAACCCTTTGCTTACTAGCTCACTCTTGGGAAAAACTGCATTGATGTGCTCTATCTCTCTGTTTATGTTGCACATGCATTCTTTTATTCTCTTTGCTCTCTCTCTCTCTTTTTTTTTTTTTTTTGTTTTTTTTTTTTTTTTTTTTTTTTTTTGTTTTTTTAAAGTTTATTAACAATAGGATTCTACAAAGAATTATTACATTCATATTTTCTTTGTTTCCCTTTTGCTTCTACTGTGGTGATGAGGACATGTATCTTAATTGTTTGTTTTATTGTTTCAAGTTGAGAAGTGAGAGTGAATTGACTTCTTTTGATCTTACTTGACGAGGGAAAAATTGCGTTGCAGATGGTTTTATGATGAGTCAAAAGGAACATTTCAACCTGTTTTTAGTTAGTCATTCATGCACATAATACGGGAATGTTAAAGGCTTCAATTAATGGTGTCTTTGTGGTCTTCCCTTTGATCAGGTACCCATCTATCTTATATATTTGATAATTGTTGGCTTATCAATTTAAATTTTATGTGAAATGTGCTGATTCTATGGTGGTCATTTGAAGAAGTAAATATCTAGATTAGAATATAAAGTGGTAGCTTTTATATGCTGTCATGTGCTTGCATTCATCTTTATGCTTTCCTTCTTATGGGGACATTTTTTTATATGTTGATCTTTCATTTCTCAAAAGTCATTAGAGTATAGGCATAGTTATCTGAATTTACAAGGGAATATATGAAAACTATTTTTGATTGATCTGTCACTGCTTACTTGATAGACTTTCTGTTCTGACAAGGATTGATTTTAAAAACCACATAAAGTAGTGCGTTTTCATTTTCTTGCAATTATATCACAATGTTCAGATGAGAAACATTCTGTTTGTCCTTTTAGGTTGAGCCACAAGTTGACTGTCATGTTTTAGGGTTCTCTTTCCTTTTTGCTTCCCTTCACCGTATTGCATTTTTTTTTTTTCCTTTTTGCTGTTTTGCGTCCTTCAAAGGGTAATTTTATTTATTTCCTTTTGTTTAAAAACAGGTAGTCTATTTCAAGTGGGACATGCAGAATTCGACGAGTGTTTTTTAATACTCATGTCTTGTATAATATGTAACTCTAGTTCCAGTTTGTATGATTTTGTCAACCCCAGTTCACAAAATTTCTCGTGTTTACAAGTTAATCCCCCAGAAAATTGTAGAATTAGCATTGTAGAATTAGCATTATACTCTATTCTCTAATCTTTTTTTTTTTTTTTTTTCCCTTTTGGATTAGTTTTAGATATGAAAATAGTTCATATATTACATATTTTTTTCCTGTAACTATGATGGTGATAAAAGCCTACTCGGTTTCTTTGTGATGGTTACTTTGAAGAGCTCCACCTGATTAATGATGTCACGACATAGTCTTCAAAATCAAATACCAGTTAAATTTTTTTAGTGTCTCGTAAGTTGGAGGACTCGAACTGTCTGATTCTTGCAGGGTATTTTAAATGTTGAAATGGAGATTAAAGACCCTGCGATGACCACCAGTTGCTTGACAAACACTCTACATTTGATCATTCAATTATTATCATTTACAAGACTTAATTGCGCACCATTTGTATTAGTGAGTACCAGTCTTGTCTAGTATTTCTTAGAAAGCTTTGGGAAGTAGCATCTCTTGAAATCTTACTGTAAAAGGACAATAATAATATTTGTGTGCGTCTTAAGTGTGATTCAATTCTGGAAGACATCTTCCTTCTTGGTGGTTCGTGTTTGGGATGAATGACCTAAAAATATTTAATTATCTATGAATAGCCCATATTAGTATTTTATTTTATTTATGTTACTCCTGTTGCTTCTGATGGTTACCCATTGACATTAATACCCGAGTTTTTAGGTTTGCCTGTTTTTGACAATCTCAATATGGGAAAGATCAAATTGTTTCCTCCAGCCACTCAGAATTGAAGCTTTCTTCTTACTTTTATCTCGTAAATTAAAAGATTCATTTTTTTTTTTTTTAAATTTTCTTCTTGTCTATTCTTTCTTTGTCGTCGCTAAACCCAACCCTTTTGGCAACTTGCCTTATAAATCCAAAACCAAGCTATTACTGTGTTTGACTAATTATTGGAAGGCTGTTCCTTGTAATTGTTACAAATGCCATGCTTTGGATAAGTTGTCTAATACATTATATATTGGCAGGCTAGGGTTTATAAGGGGTCACAATTCGATGCATTTCAATTGTCATTAGTAGTCACAAATCACATGCTCACATGTTGCTTGCTTGAAGTAATATTGCTCTTAAATAGCCCATTAGGCTACCAATATATTTTAAGTTCAATGGCACAAAATAACAAGAGAGATCTTGGATTTATTGAATTGAAATTCCTGTTCTTTATTTTTTATACTTTTTAAGAATAGAATTTTGAAAAACATAAATAAGAATATTAAAGTTGATTGTGAAATTTGTAGTAGCCGGCAGGTTCAATCTTTTTCTACAAACTAGAAAATTAGAAAGAAAAGAAGTGGTGCGTCAGACTGAGGTTTTGAGGGGCTTGACCTCTACCAAATCCACGATCTAAATGGGGCCGCAAATAGGAAATAACAGACAAGAACACATGACACAAGCTTAATTACAATCTTTTTTGACCGTTCTACGACCTTTTTTTAGGCTTTTCACCGTGAACTTTCCGACCTTCAAATTTCTTCCTTTTGTTTGAAAACTTACAAATAATAAACAAAATCAACATCATACCCAGCCGTCCTGTCAAGATAATTAATTAAACTACATTCAATATCAACGGTCCATGGCACTTAAAAATTCCAAATCTTTACTAAATTAATCCATAACATTATTCTATTTATCATCTTTGCAGAGCTAATGTGGCTGAGAATTAGATTTGATTTTGTAGGATATAATGGAATGTACTTTAACATAATTAAAAATATTTTATTTTTATATATTATCAAGTGTGTCCTCTTATCTCCTGATTAATAGTTAGATAATTTTTTGTACCCGGAGCGATTACATTTGCTTAAATTTTATTACACTCACCAAATGAAATCTGAAAAACATAAAAAAGCAAGACCTACAGTTATATATATATTAATGTAGGGTTAGTTGGAAGTTAAAGGGAGAAGGCTAACTAAAGACGAAGAAGAAGAAGAAGAGAATGGCCCGATTCCGGCTTAGTTTCATGGGAACCGGCGATTATCACGGTGGTGTAGACTTTGTAATGTAGGGTAGTAAAAAGGAGGGGTAAGAAAAAACAAGATTCCGGGTCTTTAGATTATTTTTACAAACTTTTTGGATTAAAGAAAAGTTAATGATGATCTTTTGTCAAAAATGAAATTGACCTAATATAAGGTCCTAGTTTCTAAGGAGATAGCCAATGACAATTAAATTATTGAGATCTTCATTAATAGATCTTATCTAGGTATTAATCATGTTTAGTGAGGTCAAATTATGAGTAATCAAACCAAGTTTCCTATACGACATTTAAGTTATAAATGCTTAAATTTTTGTTAAAAAATGTTTAATTTATGAACTTAATGATCAATTGAAAATCTTCGCAAATTTCTTTAAAAAAAAAATAATTCAACCAGAGCTCCTCCTATATAACGAGCGATGTATTATAATCTAGCCGAGAACCTCAGAGGGCATCATATTCTAGAAGCCCAAACTATACGATGAAATAAATTTTCCTCTATTTAGTGTGAATTAAGGATTCATTCCCTTCAAAAAATTTTTTGCAAATTAGGTTCGTGACTGTCCTATCCGTAAGTATTTTTTTTATAAACTGAACCTTCGATTTTTTTTTTTTTTTTTTTAAGTAATTTAAATATGAATATTTGCTTGCATTACGACTTGCACTTACCGCTAGCTAGACAAAAACCTACAAAAATTTCTTTTTCCCCTCTATAGCATAGCACTATTAGTGTGCTAGCTTAAGCACCAGCATCATTCCAACAAATTAATTAATTAAGACTAAGTATTAGTATTAGCCTAGTTAGTAGTTAATTAGATAGTTTAAAAAAGGGATTAGGTACACAAACTGAACCTTGATTTCTGGGATGATGGTTTAATAAAATCAAACACTAATATAAATCATTATTATTAATTATAATTAATTGGCTTTTTAACAGATCTGATTTCTCTCTTTAATCCCACATTATCCCATGAAATTGCTCTCTCACAGAATCGACAAATTTAACTTTAATTATCTCATAAAGTAATATAATGATAATTACTAATTACTACTAATTAATATTAATATAAAAAAATTAAAAGAAAAAGGGTTTTATGGAGTGCTTATCTTGCCCAACTACTGTTATCACAACACCTCCTAATCATTCACTCCAAACTATAATTAATTGGATAAAAAAACATAATTGGTTTCTCATCTTTTCTTCCTCAACTTGTTGCTTTGTGTTTGTGATTATACCGTATAATTAATTGCTATATGTGTAGGATTATTAGGCAATAATTTGTTTTTTATTTTAATAATTCCATTCTTTTTCTTTTCATTCACGTATGTATTGAGTTGATTATTTTATTTAAGAAAGCTTATTCTTTATAATAATTGAATTATATAAAATTATTGATATTTTTAAAAAAAGAAAAAAGAAAAAGAGTAAGGTAAGGTTGAAAATAGTTTTGTTTTACATGTTTAATGGAAACGTAACGTATTATAAACAATCCAAAGAGAAAAGACGAATTAGCCACTGAAGTCCAACTGGTCAATTACAAGTTAAAACGTCACATATAATATATAGAAATGGTTAGCCATGCACTGTCTTTGGTCAACAACGCCTCTGCCATTGTTTGTTTCTGATTTAAGCTAATTCATTATTGTTTTGCACGGTTTTGAGTTTCTGTTTGCCCATTTAAGGATACGATGGACCCATGCATTTCAACCACTTTCCAATTTTTTTTTTTTTTTAAATAGAAAAACAAATAAAATTAAAATTAAAATTGAGAAATGATCGGTTAATATATTTTAGTTGAGTTTAAATTAAGCAATCCAGATATTACCATGTATAACTAAATTTGTTAAACTTCACCAACCTTTTTAATTTCTTTTTAATCCAAAAAAAAACCTAGTTTTAATAATTTGAACAATCAGTTTATTAAAACACATACTAACAGAGTCGGCAAATTAGAATTGTGGCGATAATGGAGGGCCAATAATACTTTTGTTGTGCATGTGAGCCCCATCAGTATGGAGTTTATACCATATTTATTTATTGTAACTGAAAAAACGCCATTTAGCTATTTTTAATTATTTTCTTAATTACAAATTACATATTATTTTTAATTTTTAGTTAATTATTGACAGCCCAGCCAGACCGCTCTTATCTATATATGTTCACCTCTTGCTCTTCTCTTTTCTTCACTGTGTTTCTCTCAAACTTAATCATATCAAAGCATTTCTCATTTCTTCCTACCAAAACAAAGAAATATGGCTTCTAATGGAGATAATGTTGTTGTTTCTGACATGAAGCTTGAGAAATTGCTTTGTATGAAAGGAGGAAAAGGAGAGGCTAGCTATGCCAATAACTCCCAAGCTCAGGTATGTATATAACTCCTAATTATTTCTCATCATATATATATACAAGTGTGTGTGGGTGTTTTATTTTCTTTGTACAATTTTGCTTTTCTTTCTCCCTTTCTTGTTGTAGATCTAAGATAATCTCCAATTAGTTTGTTTTATCTGTAAACAACTATGGTCTATCTACATATTTACTCTTGCAAGGTTTCTTTTTATCTTTATTTCTTTATATATATAATGAAAATATATGTTCTTGATCCTTGAAGTTCTTGTTCCTTGTGCGTATATATGTGTTCTTTCAGTGCTGCTTTTCTTTTTCTTTTTAAACCCTAATTATATATCCATGCAGGCTATACATGCTCGATCGATGCTTCACCTTCTTGAAGAAACCCTAGATAAGGTGCAACTAAACTCGGCTGAGGTCCCATTTCAGGTGGTGGACTTAGGTTGTTCATCTGGGAATAACACAATCTATATCATTGAAGTGATAATCAAGCACATGATCAAGCGATATGAGTCAGCAGGACTTGAGCCACCGGAGTTCTCTGCTTGTTTCTCCGATCTTCCTAGCAATGACTTCAACACTCTTTTTCAACTCCTTCCTCCCTTAGCCAATTATGGCGGAAGCATGGAAGAGTGTTTGGCTGCCAGTGGCCATCGGAATTATTTCGTGGCCGGAGTTCCCGGTTCTTTTTACGGGAGACTTTTCCCTGAAAGAACCATTGATGTGTTTCACTCTGCATTTTCCTTGCACTGGCTATCTCAGGTAATAATTTATTGGATTACTCTAAATTTTTGCGTATTAAAACTTCTTAACATATACTCTAACATATAGAAGTCATATTTTTCCCCTTGCTTTTTCTTGTTAATATTAATATATAAATATTGGACTAATTCTTTTATTCTTTTTTTTTTTTTTTTTTACTCAGGTAATAAATTTAGTTGGATTAATCTAAATTTTTGCGGGTATAAGGAGAGCTTCTTAACATATACTGCTAACATATAGAAGTCAATATTTTTACCGCTTGCTTTTTCTTGTTTATTAGATATATATACTAAATATTAGGAGCTAATTCTTTTATTCTATTTTTTTTTTTTTTTTTTTTGAGTCAATTGAATTTATCTAATTGTCTTACGCTTTGCAGGCTTTGAATTGGTCAAAAAGCCAATCCAACAATATTATTGTGTTGATGAAGGTCGAAAGTATTGTGCATTTGTATGGGAAATTTAGATCATTGGGCAGTGTTTGAGTTGAAATTTTTGTTCTCAAAGTGTCTTTTTATGGTGGTGGGTTAGTGGATGTGTTTGACAGAGACAGACACAATTTAAATTAAGACTATATTAGTAATTTACTTTGAAACTCATGAAATTTTCAAGTTTGACTTGATAGATTCATTATTTCCCAAATAATCATGAAGGTTATAAAACTCTAATGGATAAAGAGAAGTTGGTTTTCCGAGGCAAATTAATTTAGCGGTTGAAATTGTCATAACTATATATATGTTTATATAGGTGCCAGAGGCTGTATTGGACAAGACATCTGAAGCATATAACAAAGAAAGGGTGTTCATCCATGGAGCAAGTGAATCCACATCCAACGCATACAAAAAACAATTCCAAACAGACCTAGCAGGATTCCTAAGAGCAAGATCACAGGAAATGAAGAGAGGTGGGTCCATGTTCCTTGTCTGTTTGGGTAGAACTTCAGTGGACCCCACTGACCAAGGTGGGGCAGGCCTGTTATTTGGGACCCACTTTCAGGATGCATGGGATGATCTTGTCCAAGAGGTAATTTTAATAGACTGCTAGTATTATATTTTTTGTTGCCTTGGCAGACCAAAAAGCAAGAAAACACCATGCAAGAGAGGATATGATTATATGTAGGGCTTATAACAAAGTCCTCATAATGGAATGTAACTGGTCATGATTAACCCTAGTCAAATTTAACCGTTTGATGTTTTACCAAAACTTCAATCTACCCGTCCATTTGTCAATCATCTTTGTCGGCTAAATTATCACTGTTTGGAAGTGGGCAGTAGGGCATTGGTGTAGTGTAGATCCATAAATTTACTGTACCACCAACACAATCATGCCTTATAACTTGTCAAGAAACTCATTTTGGATCCATTCGATCATTGTTTATCAGATAATTATGAAATAAGAGAGTACAATTTTTATGGCAGGGATAAATATGAGGAAGTACAAAACTACGTTAATCGTAATATAGCTTTCATGGTTTTGTGCATGTGACTTTACAATAGCTAGCCAGATAGTTTCTTTTATGCTAATTAAATATTATGATTGTCGAGTTTCAGTATTGCTAAGTTGAAATGCATTTTTATAATTCTTAAGTGATAAATGTTTTTCCAATTTGATTGCTTCGTTAATCAAATTATATTTACTATAGGATTTTTTTTAATGTTACACAAATTTAAAATACTAATGTTACATTAATTGATGAATATAGGGTCTCATTACTAGCGAGGAGCGTGACAATTTCAATATTCCTGTGTATGCACCGAGCCTACAGGACTTCAAGGAAGTAGTAGAAGCTGATGGTTCATTTGTTATAAACAAGCTTGAGGTTTTCAAAGGAGGGAGCCCTCTGGTGGTTGACCGTCCTGACAATGCAGCTGAGGTTGGCCGAGCTTTGGCTAATAGCTGCCGGAGTGTCTCTGGGGTGCTCGTTGATGCCCATATAGGCGAACGGCTAAGCGGGGAGCTGTTTTTACGGGTGGAGTGCCGAGGTGCAAGACATGCTAAAGAGCTATTAGAGAAGCTACAATTCTTCCATATAGTTGCATCTCTTTCTATTGCTTAAGAGAAAAAGAAAAAGAAATAAAGAAAGAGGAAAAAAGGACTTATATCTTACTTGTCTCTTTTCCCATCTTTTTTCCCCTTTCTTGTGTGCTATTTTCAGTGCATATGGTAATTAAATGAAAGTATGAAAACATTACAAAAGAGAGAAGCTTTTCCTCTCTTTTTACTTGATGTGTCGTGTGACTTTGTGTTCCCTTGAATCCAAACTAGGTAAATAATGCTTGTAAACCCTCTCCATCTTACCTCCTTTTTTTTATCTTATTTATTATTAATAAAATTTATATATTCGCTAATCAAGCGTATGTCTCGTAATACCATCAAGACATATTTTTAATTTCTATAATACCATCAAAATATATTTTTAATTTCGGATACCTTTTTTGTGTATTAGAAGCAAAATGTTTGCAAATCTTAACCTCTAATTAATTAAAATCTTTGTCAATGCTAATTGACTTCAATTTCAAAGTTTTCCCTTTCTATTGAAAAATTGAGGATGGTGGTGGGAGGCAAAGGTAGTTACTTCAGTTACAAAATGGGTAATGCTCACCCTCCTTTATTTATAAAAAGTAGTTTGAACTTTGGACCATTATATTATATTTTATATATAAAAAAAAAAACTATTTGCATTCCTATTTTCTTCTTTGACTGATTGTATCTTTTGATCATCCATTACAACTAATTCAATTCTAATGTAATGATGTTTCTTGACAATTACAAAATAATGAAACCATGTAGTTCTCCATTAAATAATTAATTGACTCTCCTTAAATTAATTATAACAATAAAGAATATTACATGCAAAAAGGTGTTGCCACCCAACAAAATTTTTCATTATTTTTCAAACAAATTTGAAAGCCAACTTGTCTTAATCCCACCATAGTTGCACAACTTAACAAAAATTAATGAGAGGAGGATTAATATTTTTACAACAATTCAAAATAATACTTCTATAATAAACACAATTTTATAATGAAATTACAAAATAAAATCGAAATTTAACGTACTTATAAGATAATCACACCGTAATATAATAATTTTTCATGATAAACTACTTGTCAATTTCCTCCTCCTCTACATTATATATGAATATTTCTGCCTCTACAGGGAGTTTAAAGCTAACCCTCTTTTTTATCTTATTCCCAATTTGGCTTCTCCTCGACGAAGAAGAAACATCCATTTTACTAATATTACTATCAATTTCAGCAACCTTTAAAGGTCTTTGTTTAGTGAAACTGCCTCCATTAGAGGCATAATCAGCAATATCATCCTCCGCAAAAGAAGGATAAACCTTGTTTTGCTTAAGAACATGGTGGTGGTGTGCTACTTCACCTCCATTATTACGGTTCAAAGCTGGTGAAGCTAACAGACAATCTTGTAGAGTAGAAAACTCTTTACTAATATGATCTTCCTTTTTCAGCTGTTGCTTCTTTTCCTGCTGTGTGTTCTTGGTAATTTTCTGATTCTTTGATCTCCGAGAACATGTTCGCTTCATCAAATCGATTATCGATGTCGGTAATCCAACTTCTTGATCGTTCGTATACTCTTTAGTCAATCTTTCTCGACCTGACTTCCCAAAACAAGAACAATAAAGGCCTACACCCATTTGTTATCAGAGTTAACCAAGAATTAGCAATACTAATGTTTGATTAGATAAATATGGTTTGGTGCATGTTATATAGGATACTACCTTAACGTTTCCTTCAAGACTGTGTAGATTAGTTTATCGTTACCACCTTGACAGTATAATAATGATTATCCGAGTAGATAGTTATTATCGAATTATTAATTAATCAGAATAATTTGAAAATATATAATTTTTGAGTTTTTGTTAATATATTAGAAATTAAAAAATGGATGAGATTGCAAAAATAGCTTTATTTATTACTACTAATCTTTGAGAATTGAGAATGGAGTTATTAAACCCTTATTGATTATAAAGCTATTTTAAAAATGGAGTTATAAGAATGTTTGTTGAATGAGTATAATGTTAAAAGGGCATAATAATTACATTAATCATCAGCAATTAACTAATTATTATAAATGTCAAAAAAAAAAAAAAAAACTAATTATTATTAAAAAAAACGTTTCTAAGGAAATGAAGATATTGATATCGTTTCTTGGCTTATCCGACAAGTGATAGACGCAATACCAACTAGCTCATGATAGAAATTGTCCAATACAAAGTGGGACAAAAACCTTGAATTAAAAACAATATTTTGTTTTGTTGTAACGAAGTCAAATTGCACATTTTGACAAACAACTTTCATTGACAGTCCTAAAATCTCTCCTTGTTAACATCATCCATTAAAGCAATATGCAAATGGAAGCTCATGAGCTAGAAAACTCAGATTCTTAGTTTCTTGGAACCATCCACCACATACATAGCAAAAAAAGATGGAGAAGATTCTTAATAGGGTGAATCATTTTACAGCTTCCATGATCCCCTAACTAGAATAAGGAAATATAAAATCAGATCAGAGAGTTCGATATTAACATTGTGACTAGAATGAGAAATGATACTTTCCAGAAACTAAGTTGTGTAATGCAGCATAAAAAGAAATGAATACACAAATACGAAATTATAAGTTGATTACCAACAGAAAAACAGAAAGAAGACGCCACAAAGAACTGAGGAATTTAAAATAAGTTATTTCCATTCACATCAATGTGTCAAAATGGTCAATCATAACCCTTTTTTGTGCAAATATCCAACCACTTTACATATCAAAGCATCCAAAAGCCAAAAACCAAATGAGAGAAGCACCATTGGGAATTTGACCTGAGATGAAAAATTAACTTACTGACCACCAGCCGATGGATTTGTCAGCAGTTCAAGTGACTTCTTCAAGTAATCGACTGCAACTGACACATCATCAAATGCCAAGGCTCCAACTGCAAATCTTGCAGCCTTGTGTGCCTCAGCAATTTTCTCAGGTGGAGGCTGGTAATTGCTATCATATTGGTATGTTTGAGAGGAAGCAGGTACAGGATCTGAATCACTCCCATTTCTGCTGCTTGAAGTGTATTGCATAGTTGATGAATAGTTGCTTGGAGAAGCAGACTGAGGAGCATAGGAAGAATCAGAACCTTGATAATACGAAGGATAATGTGACGGGACTGATGGGAGACTGCTCTCTGTGAAACCAGGATAAGACTGGAAGTTGGGGTATGAGTAGGAAGGCAGTTCATGTGATGGATGATTAGGAGGCACCTGCTGTTGAGGGTCTTGTGAGTAGGACTGTTGATGGTATGGCGGAGCATATGCAGCATTCTCTGATCTGCTTGCTGGAGGCGGCGGATGAAAATCATGGGAAGGATAACCGGCAGAAGGGTAAGAAGGAGGTGATGGCATGATGTTTGTAGAATGGTGGTTGTTAGCTGAATCATGGAACTGAGGCTGTGATGCAAGGTGCGAAAAATGCTGGTTGTTAGCCTTCTGTGATGATGGTGGAATGCTTGTAGAGTTCTGGTCATTGACTTGATCATAGAAACGTGATAGCTGATCAGATTCTGGATGAGGACTGGTAACTGCAGTTTCAGAAGGCCCAAGATCCTGCAAGGACAAGCAGAGTCTGAAGATTCTTCAGAGTTGTCTAAGTTTTCATCGATTGTTTGCTAATACAAGAACAAATAAGATACTTTCATCATTGAATTCACCTACCACTGGACTGTTAACTTTACAGAGGTTTCATTGCCTTGTGTATTAGAAATCAGAAATGAGAGAGACCATGTGTTCCCTATTTCTGTATTTCTATGTATGGAAATAAAGGCTAGATGCTTATTTAGTATTCCAAAACCAGTGATCTAAATTTATCAGAAACTTTCAGTGATGCCAATAAAAAAATTGTAATGAAGAACATTCTCAATCACAATAGAAGATTCTAGCCTTACATCTAGCTTTCCGATGACATTTTGCAGATATGAGATATTAAACAACTAACTCTATGGTCAAAGCTTTCTTGCTAAAACAGTAGAATCCCTCGTGAATACTAACATGCTACTAAAGACTCAACTAATTGTGAACTTTCTGAGGATGAGAAAACTAATGCGAGCAGATATAGCCATTACATTTATGACCAGTTCTGCTGGAATTATTACATCAAACTACTAAAGTACTTTACCAACCTCGATCCCCCACTCCTCTCCGTCTTTCTCTCCTCTCCTCCTTCCCCAGTAAAAACCAATGAAATAATAACTTTTACTTTTAAGACTTGCTAGAATTGAGTTATGAAGAAATAACATTTGTTTCATTCACAAATTCAATACTAAGCTACTGTTGATTTTGAAAACATACATAGCCACCACCAGGTGTACTTGATGGAATTGAAAAATCCTCATCATCAGCAGGAGGACCTGGATTGGGCTTCCTTCCTTCTTTCAAAGCTTTCCTTATATCTGCGGCTTTCCAAACTGCATACTTCTGTTTCTGTTCAAGCTGTAAAAATAAGTGGAGAAACGTAAACACAACAGTAAAGCCATTATTGTTTTTTCCTTTTTCCACTGATTTAACAAAATTAAGTGGAGAAAAGTAAACAAAACAGTAAAGCCTATTATTGTTTTTTTCTTTTTCCACTGATTTAACAAAAATTTCGTGAAGAAATATGTGCAACACTAGAAACTCACATCCGACTGGAGGGCACCAAACTGGTTTAAAATCTCAAAGAAAATGCTTGCTGCATAAAACGTCTTTGCAGTATTCCTGCAACCAGGCACACGATTTAATTCCAAAATCTAGAACATGCAATTTTGAGAGTTAGTTACATGAAAATGGACACAAACACCTTCAAATTAAGTTCAAATAGCTGATTCAAGTAGCTGTTATTAGTATCATCACAAACTGATGTTAATATGGTAATGATCACACACTTTCTGACAGCCATCCCTTTCAGATGGGCCCAAAAGAATGAGTGCTATACCTAGACTCAGTATCATAGAATTGAGGATGTATCAGATTTTCACAATCATAAGATGTTGCAGAAAAGATTTTCTTGCATTATGTATTATGAACATCATCTCTCACTATGCATAGCTTATGTTATGTCCTACTAACATACGACTCATAGCTCTCCAACAGAACCATATGAACCTACATACAAAGCTACTTTTCAATCACTAGAATTCCCTTGATATTTTGAGCCGGCTTTCACTCAAGCAAATGAGTCAACCAGGCGACAAACAGAGAGGAAACACAAAAGATAAGTTCCATGGGTGCACCTCACCACGAAAACCCATGTCTCTAAAATATGTTAAACAAAAAGAAATGCAACTATGAGTAATCCATGAAAAAGCATCAATTCCCGATTGATAACAAAGTTAAACATGAGAAAAATGTCATACAAATCAGCTCTTCCTGCTCGATCTTGCTTGTCTGCCTTCGCAAATACACTTAGTGCAAATCCCTCCACATGCAAATTGTCTTCAGGCCCCAACTTCAGCGACTTCTTATCCTTTAAAACACCAAAACCATAGACCATGTTGAGGAGAGGAAAGTAAGGATAAAACAAATTTCAAACATAAAGCACATAATCAATCATAGCAACAAAAGTATGTGTAAAAATTCCTGATGCATGTTGCATTGGTAATGACTAGTTAATTAGGTAAACTGCATATAACTTTTAGAAGCATCCATTATTAAAAATTTCTCTCTTGAGATGTAACAAATAAATAATCCACAAGCATGGTTTTGCATTAGATCTTCAAAAATAAAGGCAGCTATTTTCTCAGACTTGAGAGCAGGTGGCTTCTATGGGTATCTATTTAGGCCTCCAACATGAACAATATCCAAACTTTAGGACACAGGAGCTTAGCCAAAAATGTTTCCAACATTGGACACAGGGGTGTATATAATTAAATAATGGATTGATTAAAAGAAAACAATGAATTTTAACCATGTTTCCAATTCTATCATCAACTGAAACTTGGCAATTCTGATCACATACTTATGAACTTGTTGCAATGATATCATCAGCCCAATCTCAAGATTAAAATTGACATATTTTGCTGACATGTGAGATTAAAGAAGATTCAAAACAGTGTCATTCAAGCAATGAGCTATATAGAAATTACTTATTGACATGTGTTATTTTAATATAATCTGCTTAACAATATTGCATAATTAGAGTGATAACATTGCAATAAATTGGCAAATACTTGTCAGAAATTCCTAAGTTTTAAGCTAATCATAGAATTGCAAAAATGATTGAAGTTCATGAATTTTTTTTGTCATCAAGCCTTAAATAATATACACAAACACTACAGGATGAATATAAAATTTCGACATCAACACCCTAGAAGAGTCAACAAAAGGGCAAACCAGTAGCAGATAATAGTAATTAATCAGATAGACATCACCCTTTTGGTTAAGAGTCTTCAAAAAATGAAGCACCTGAGACTAAAGTAAAACATGTGAAAAATGTGTGGGCATGACAGGCAGCAGAAACACGATCACAGTTTAAGCTACAAAGCGGATCCCAACAACTGATTTTGCACATTGAGATTAGGCAACTGGACAACTTTATCATTAACACCCAGAGCCTCAGTACTAGTGCAAATATTGGTAAAATGGGAATAAAACTTCAAAAAATCCGTTTTTTTAAAAGCAATGGAGTTACAAAACCAAGATAATCGTTTAGTAAACACAGTCTCCCATTTCCAAAATAAAGACAACAGATTAGAAACTCCACACAATTCTCTCTTCTTGACAAAGAGGAGGCCAAAGAAAAACATATAACAGAGATATAAATAAATAAATATAATGAAAAAGAGGAAAACCTTTTCAAGTTGATTCATAAGGGAAATAAGGAGAGAATTGGTTGTCTTGGTTCGTTCAGCCTGTGGAATCTTCAATCCTTTCTCCATCGCATAAAGTCGACCTAATTAAATGATCAAAAAAATTTTAATAAAAAAAAAATGAACTTACGGTTTAAGGAATTAGAAATTAGCAGAGAGCTCTAGGTTTTGCAGTACGAGAGAGAGTATTACAGTAATAAGCGACTAAAGGATCGTGTTTTTGCAGCTCATCGGCTCTTTGAAGGTACGGCAAGAGGAGTTTCGCGGGCTCGTTTTCACTCGCCATTCCTTTGCTTGATTGATTTGGCTTTGCTTCTTTTCGTTTCTTTTTTGACAGAGGGAAGGAGTTGCGTGCTCAGGGAGGCAGAGAGAGCTGTAGTTCGATTTCGGCAGGCGATCATCGAGTGTGCAAAAGGCTTCTTGGTGTTACATAGAAACTACGTCGTTTCTTGCAAGCTTAGTTTGGTGTATAAAATATAAAAATATTCACTTTAAATTAAAAAGGAAATAAAGTACTAATAAATTCCACTTATTGTTAATCAGAGGCAATTCTCGTACTAACTGTAATTTTAATTCAGACCTCTCCATTCTGAAAGCGGCACCTGTAACAATAAACTGAACCATAGTCTCGTTGGTAAATGATCCCATAGTTTGAATTGTACGTTTTCCACCCAAAAACCAGTGAATTTCGTATAAATAAATAAGTCAGGCATGGATGAAATTAACGCATGGGATCTCTAATTTTAAAAACTAATTATAAAGTCTATAAATTATAATTTTATTAACATTTTAGTCATTACATTCAAAACAGATGGATCAAAGAATTTAATAGGAATTATAAATTAAGAACATCATAATTAGTTGGACTATAATTTAAAGACTAATTTCTATCTCCATTGATATTTAAAAGATGTTATTTTAAACGGACAAACCAAAATGTTAATAAAATCATATTTTGATATCAGGTCTTTGTTAATTTAACTATCGTTTAGGGATCAACTTTAATTTTTCCCCATATGATAATCTAAATGTGAATGCTAGAAACAAAAAAACCCAAAGTGGTAAAATTAGTGAATAATCTCTGCACGATAGGGTTGACCAGAATAATCTTGTATCCCAAAAAATGGTTATAAGTTGCTCGTAGAATCAAGTTTGTCTAGCTAGTCTGAATTGAAATTATGCCTGCCAGAGAATCAATCGCATCAATGAAATAGACAATCACATCGGATGTTGGTCTGGAAAAATGAAGAGATTGTAATTCTTTTCAGACATATATATATATATATCCAAGAGGCACGAATAATGTTTGACTCGAAGAGGTAAAAGCACCATGGATTATAACAACAACAAAATGCCAATACAAGGTACAATAGCTAAAAACAGGTTACCCTCCAATCCTTGGTCCTTCACAACTATATCACTACAACAAGCTCCTAATAGTAACAATAGTAATATCAAACGGGTGTACACCTACAGCTCTGTCATGTTTTATTATGGTGAAACTGGAACTGGGTCAGTACCAGAAATGTGAGAAGCCGCATCCTCTTTCGATATGGCAACATAGTTAACAGGGGCAGCTGGTCTGCTAGTACTATCTCTCCTCCCCTCTTTAGTGCTGGACCTGCTGCCATTTTGATGAGCATTCAGGGAAAGCCGTCTGCTTGGAGTACCATTGGCACCTCCATTTGTACGAGGACCGACCACCTTTTTAGTACCAACTGGTCGTGCAGGGCTGGGTCTTGAACCAAAGATAGCTTCTTGTTCTGTGCTTTGTTGCTCGTGGAACTTCTTCTGATCCTGTCATGTTCAATGGTTGTAAGGGAGATGTATCAGATTCTTCAACCTTGAGAAAAAATGAATTACTGGCCATCCCTAAAGCTCAATACAGTAAACTCAAAAGAAATTGGTCCAAATTCAAGAATGTCACAAAGTCATTGCTAAAAATTGAGACTTACTCTTAGTCTTCGCTTCTCTTCTTCCCTTTCCTGCCTGAGCATCGCATATTCATCTAACATGGCCAGGAGAGGAACACCATCATAAGCAAATTGAATGCCACGATCTTCCTCCCAAGTCTGAGTCTTAGCAACCAAGCTTTCCACAAGTGCTACATAACCACAAAAACCAATCAAAATAAATCATAAATGGTTAAAAGTTTCATATCAATTCGAGCTAATTCTCCTGATAGTCCCCTAATTCTACAGATACCTGGAATTTTGTTTACCAAAATCCGGGCTTTCTCTGCACGCTTGAGATTTAAGTGTGCACCTCTGCTCGCATTATACCTGTTTTCATCCTGTTTTAGCAAGAAAAAAAATAATTATCATTCTAACCCAAGTCAAATAAAATACAATTAAGTTTGAAACCCAAATCAGATCTCTCATCTCTGCTCTGCCAAACTATAGCTTTCTCATCTGATTACATCCAATAGCCTAGAAAATACAATGGCTCAGTAGCCTACTATTACTGACAGAAAACTTGAATACATATTGTTCAAGATGTCCTGGAGAAACGGGAAAGTAGAGAATCATAAATACCCGGTTGTAGTCCTCAAGCCAACTCTCCTCCTCACATGCCGACATCCATTTCTCGACCTTGTCCAAAATTTCTTTTCTACTAAGAGCTTCTTCTTTGGCTTTTGATATCTGATTGTCCATGTCGGCCAGCAACTCAGCAGGCTCAACATTTCCAGAATCAATCAGTGCCATAATTTTTTCTCGTGCAGCCTCTGGATCTACTTCTATATGTGCCCGTGTATAGATATCTTCAAGTTCTGCTTGCTTTTTGAAGGCAATTTCTTTCATTCTGCTGGCTTTTAGCTGATCAAGCCTTTCCACTTCAACTTCAGCCTTAAAATCAAACAACACTAAAATAAGTAACATCTCCCACAGTTCATTCAAACCTATATTTCTCTTTGCTTGCAAAACTGAAATACCTGCTCAATTAGATCCATAGCAAGAGCCCCTGGCACAGTCACTTCATCAACTGAAGCTGAAATGTTACAGGTAACATGATTAAACAATTCCCTTTCTTCTTCAGAGGTATCCATCAGATTCCATAGGTCAATCAACTGATTTGCTAACTCTTGAAGCTGTGAGTAAAAACAAACGTCAAAGACTTTTACGTGACTTTCTGAGAATATAGCATGCACAAATTAATTCTTAATTTGACAGGGTGCCTACAAATCATCATGTACAGAAAAATGTGACCAAAATAAAGTATCAGGACAAGTGGAAAAACCTTTTAATGTTCCATCCTATTTCTAAAAACATGCATGAACTGATGACATTTTAATAGGACTTAGCACTTATATACCACTCTCAGAAGATAACAACGACAGATCACATTTTAATAGGACTTAGCATATGTGCTATATATCTTCTGGTCAAAGTGTGAAACAGAAATACCATGTGAAAACCAATTTCTGTTTCACAGCAAGAAATTACAAGTACTCAGTTGTAAGTATGATTTTGAGCCTAAACTTATAATGGACATATAAGGAAAAAAACAAGCACAGGTCTCATCCTCAGGGAAAGAATATCATCATTGAGAATTTGCCTTTCGTTTTCTCCCTCTAAAATTTGTTGAATATTATTCCTTCATAAAAAAAATATGTTTTTACATAGTAAGGTCTTCATTGATCAAGAGGTTCAACCAGTCAAACTTAGTTTTAAAGCCTCCGAGTCATGTGAATGTCTATGCCTAACTGTTCCATTACAAAAGCAACAACGAAGTGAAAAATCTTATTCTTCTTTTGCGATTAACGAAAGCTAATATTAAAAAAAAAAAAAAAAAAAAAAAAAAAAAAAAAAAAAAAAAAAAAAAAAACCTTACCTTATGAAAAAAAAAAAAAAAAAAAAAAAAAAAAAAAAAAAAAAACCTTACCTTATGAAGCCTCTGCTTTTTATCTTCGTTTAGAGTTAACACTGTATTAGCCAGACTAGCTAGAGTATCATTACTAATGCTTTTGGACTGCATACCAGTAGAGTCATTTAAGCTTGGATGAACTTCAGTTACAGTACTGAAGAAGTCGAGTCCAAGGACAGCACAGAGATCATGCACACTGCTCACGAATTCAAGGACCTTCTGCAGCCTATCACTCTACCATATGAAATAAGAAATTAGTAACCATAAGATTCATCACTAATACATCACTATCAAGACGGAACTTTACCTTTTCCTTTTGAAGTTCTTGAAGTCGTGCATGATATTCATCTAACTTCTTCAAGGATAGATCAGTCTCATCAACTGCAGGAGTCTCATTAACATTCAAGTTCCCAGCAATTTCTCCACATATTTTTTGAATTTGAGACTGCACATCAGAGAACTCCTTTACTCTCTCCTCTTTCTGTTTCCACAGCTGTTCAAGTGCTGGTGCTATGGCTGCAAGTTGTTCTTTGATTGTTCCAGAAGTTTTCTCAGGCTGCACGTAGGGCCAAGATAGACCATAAGGAAAATGAACCCACTTTTCTGTGCTGCTCACGCCGCAGTGCATCTAGACCAAATAAAGTAAATTACTCACCATTCCTACAAAACTTTTTTCTCCAAGTGCTGAAAGAAGACTGGCCAATTCAATTTTGGCATCTGACAAGGCCTCAAGAAGCTGTGCCCTTGACTTTGCAGCTTGCTCGACTTTCTTCTTGTACACATCCAAGCACTCTTGTTCTATTTGAAGAAGCATCTTGTCCCGATCCTCATCAGACTCACCAACCTCATCCCAGATTTCCTAACACATAAAGACAGTGAATTAAGCTATTTCTTTATACCAAACGTGTGAATAATGAAAAAAAAATGAAATGAAGTCAAAAATATAATAATAGTAATAATATACCTGCAGTTTTTGCAGTAAAGTACCACAAGTTGTTTCTCCAAGAAGAGGATTATGACCATCCGAGACCGCCATTGACTGTAAATCTACAGCCCAGGAACTGAGAATCAGATGTATATATCTTATTTACCAGCAAAATACAGATCTTTACGAACAAACAAAAGATGTACACCTGCCAAAAATTGTCACAGATAAGAACAAACAGCTAGTGAATAACAGGTTCAAGCCTTGAAGAATCAGGATAGTTGAAAAGCGTAACAATGGATAAGCATCCATACAAGGAAAGACTAAGCAACTAAACAGTTCTAAATTAACTGCAGCACAACATTTAAATACCATTAGATACGTGAAATCAAAAGCAACAAATCAGATACAGTTGCTTACAAATACAATACTTAGCATGTCTATTACCAAAAACAAGCCCTCTAATTCGTGAATAGATTAAGAATCAATGAACTGCCCACTAATCCATGTCTATTAGCATGTCTGTTAAACTCAGCAACATAAATCATCTTGGCTACTTGTGACGCTCCAAGAATTGATCACAGTATCCAGTTTCATTGTAGGCAGAAACTTACATTCCAAATCACTACAAAGTTACTAATTAATGCTATTTGATTTCTTCTCTTGACTTGCACTCAGAACTTTAGACATACCAAATGTACCATAACAAATCACTAACTGGATCACAGCTGGAATCAACCTCTTTCACCTCAACGCGCATTTACTTAGCAGCCAAACGGGGCCTCAGTTTCATTAAATAAAGCCCGCCCAATAAAACAAATCATTACACATCACAAAATATCTCATCAAACTGCTCAACTATGGATCAAAAGAAAAGGCATCAGTGACAGGATCTCATATTGGCCAGTCAAAACACTGATCAAAGCCCATGATTACGATCACGATCACAATGGCATAAAATTCAACTCCTATTTCCATAATAAAACAACTAAAAGAACCCAAGAGCCGAAATCCCAATTTGAACTAAAATGCACCACTATAAACCTCGCATTCACTAAATCAAGCACAAAAACAACTTCAAAACCACGCAGATCTCTCATCTACCCCAAGAACTCAAAGTCAAGTATAACTGAGCCAAAACACTAACGAGAACAAGAGAAAGAAAGGTGCATTATCAGGCAAAAAACATGAAACTGTAAAGAAAGTTGAAGTGTACTAAAAGGGCCAACAAGCAATGCACAATGCTTACCCAGATCGTCCTTGGAGCTAGGGTTTTTGGGTTTTGTTAGTTTCAGATCTAAAGCTTCGACTCCAGTCTTCGGGTTTCTCAGTGTTTGTGTAGACTGACGAAGAGAGAGATAATAGAAGCTAACAAAAGGACAGAGGGGGAAAAGAGGAAGATGGAAGGTGGGGCCCTTTTATCTGGACAGAGAGCAATCAACCTAACGACAACTAAATTGCCCGCGATTTCCAATTATTTACGGGAAATGACACTGTCAGAGTGTGCTACAGCCTATAGAAATTTGATTTTCATTTTTCCAATTCCGTAGACTCATGTTGTTTCTGGTTTTCTGAAAGGTACAAATACGACACAAGCCTACAAGGACGGGGCTGCATTTTGTGGTCCCATTGGCTAATCCTGCCGCTACACTGGAGAGTTACTTTGCGGGGCCAGCTTTGTGTTATTGGGATAAACCAATCTGACGGTGATAAAGTACAGGCTTAATGTGACCCGATGTAGGAAAGTGCCATTAATCCTTACCAGAATACATTTATTAAGGGGGGTCAAAAAGAGTAACAGTGTGTTTGGATAACAATTTATAAAGGAAAGAAAATATGGAAGAAAAATAAAGAGAAAAAATATAGAATAATTTGTTCCCTTGATGTTTGGATATTTGAGGAAAAATAAGGAGGAAAAATGATTTTATTAATAGTAAAATTATGAATTTAACCTTTATATTTTTCAAATAAAGTACAATAAATAAGGGTAAAATTTTAATTTTTTTAATCATTTTCATTCAACTCATGTTGTTTATGATTATCTAAGTAAAATATTATTATTATATATATATAATGTTTAATTAAATAACATTTATATTAGTATGTAGAGTTTAGCGAAGTCCTTTAAACATTTGATAAAATTTAAACAGTTAATTTGTTCATGGAGCCTAGATGAAAAATGTGTATTGTTGGATTTGACTTATAAATTAGTAAAAATTATAATTTAGATTAGGGTTTACTTTGATTCATAAATTAAAAAAAAATTTGCTAAAGTGGCAAATGAGGTACATTTTACTTTTAATTTATCTATTTATTTTAAAATTATTATTTAATTCAATAATATTATCATAATATTTTTAAAAATATATATATATAAATATTATCCTCATTTTATCAAACCACTAGATTGCCTATTTTATATCAATTAAATTACTTCTATGTATTTGCTAATCAAATATTTGAAGTGATTAGAAGCAATCAATTATGAAATAAAAAAATTAAAACCTAATGGAAGTGGCAATTTGGTAGTTAAGATGGAGAAGAAGGCCATATGTTAAAAATGGAAAAACATTAAAAAGAATGGTTGCCAAGATTATAAATGGAAAAGCAAAATGAGATTTGGAGGGCCAAACAAAAAGCAAATGTCATTGCCTGCCAGGTGTCCATCAAGTAGCCAACAGTCTTTTTCTTTAATGCAATCACCATGCAAAGTAATGCTAATATTTAAGGAGAAAGGTCACCAAATTAGTGTTTTAACATATACCTATCAATGGAGAGAGATATTTCCTACTAATTTACTAAAACACCTCTATGTCCAAAAAATATGCCATCATCATTAATTTGACTTTATATTTTATAGAATATTATGATTAATATATCATTTTATTTTTGAAAGTATCTCATTTTTTAAGTTTTTTTATGAAAAATTACTTTCAAAAAAAAAAATTGATTTATCATGTTTAGAGGCCGGTGAAAGTTTTCCATAGTAGTGACAGAACCAGAAATTAAAGTTACAGAAGGCTTAATAAATTTTCAAGAATTAAGGGTGCAAATTTGAAAATATTTGCTATTTTAAAGGATAAAATTGAAAAAAAATCAATAATTTTAATTTTTTAATAGAAGTTTCAATAAAAAGTTTTCCCTTGGTCATTGCATGGAAGTAACATAATTGTGACAATAAATGTTTTTATAAAATTAAAAATATCTTACTTTGTATAAAATATCTAATTTTTCCACCATTTGAGATGAAAAAATACTTTTCATTTATATCGAAAAGTACAGATGGAGCAGTAGACTAAAGCATAATCCATTGATAAATGCATGTATAACTTGACAATAGATCTAAATTCGAATCTTCTTCTCTAATATTAAAAAAAAGAAAAAAAAAGTAGAGACGGAGCATACATGTTCAAGAATTCAAATTTCGTCAACCAAACTCCCCTTATAGTAATTCAACTTTTTGTATATGTGTTATTTATTTATTTATGAGAATTAAAACATTAATTCTGTTAAACCCTCACCCTTATTTATTCTGCTAAACAAGCATATTTCTTTAAATTTATTCTTATGTGTCTTCCAATCAAAATTCATTATTGTAGATCACACATCTACTTCCAATCATTGCCTACCATGTATTTTTTCAGTTTTTGGTTCAACGATTACGCTTGCCATGGTGAGTAGCGGACCCGCCCCAAATAATTAGGGGCCAAAAAATAATTTTATTAATTATGAGTAGTAAACTAAAATTTTTAATTTGAGGGATCACAGCTCCCTTAAAACCCTCTTGATCCGTCCCGGGTCATGATTTGGTTCGATAGTTACCTAATATCATCAAGGCAGAAAATTAAATGCAATCTTAATTTTGGAGAAGCTGCAATTTTTTTTCCTTTTCTCAAGAACAAACACAATACTCCGTATTTAAATTTTAATATAACTATTTACGTTTCTTAACGCATGTATTTAATAATTTATTTCGCTTAATTTCAATTCTGGCTTCGCCCTGAATTGCTGTATCGGTTATCTTTTAATTATTAGAATATATATATGGAGTTTGAGTATAAGTGAGTATGACTAAAAAGTGATAGAGCAGATGAATAATGTAATGTCTGAAAACTAATCCTTCAAGAAACGAATGAGAGCAGCTTTGTAGGGCATGCTTCATGTGGGCAAGACAGAGATATATGTGTGTGTATGGGACTTGTTTGGGTGCATTGAACCTGCCAAATTCCCTCACATGGCTTTTGTAACTATTAGATTAAAGTAATTATTTACTTTTGTTTTTGATTACCAAAAGTTTAACAAAAAGTTAATGACTAATTACTCCTTTAATGCTCTAACATTTTAGGCCCTAAGCCCTGGTGGAATTGGGACTATAGAAATTGCAAGCCCGTGAATCTATGTAATGCAACTTTTGAAAATAATAATAAAAAATATGTTAAAAAGAATAGCTTTTTTGACTAAATAATAGTAATTAAAAATCTCTTAACTTTTGAAATTTATTGAACTAATTTACCTTTGAAATTTTGTGAAATAATCTTTGACTTCCATGCAACTAACAGTATTTTTTATTTAAATTCACTCCATTAAAAAAATTAAAATTCAATTTCATAAAATAAATTCCATGAAATTAGTTACAACTAATTTAAATTTTACAAATTAATTTTATAAAATGAAGACGTTATTTTTTGAACTAACATATTTAAAAGATGATGATAATATTTAATATTCAAATAAACCAAATTAACATAATAGTTAAATAATTTTCAAAAGGTGGATGCAATGATGATATTAAACTCCATTAGTTGAAAAAGAATACGAAAATCATAAATTAGCTTTTCATTTATTTACTATTGTTATGTCTGGACAACTATATTAATATTTTTATATATTTGAGACACAAATAAATTTTTTTAACAAATTGATACACTGAATTTATAATTAGATAAATATTTACTTCAACGTGTAACGGTATAACTGTATGAGCACATGAAATAAAGGGCGCTAATTACTTGGGTCGTTTATATATTCATCCACTCGGGCTTGGGCAAGGCCCTCACTTGTTAGATTAGACGTTCGTTTATTCTGAAGGAAATGCCAGCTTCCTAGAACGACTGAACGCTTTAATTGAATGGCCAGATGATTGAAATCTCCACTTTTCTGTTTTTCAAGCATTTGCTATCCCTGTACTAAACGACAGACCGCATTTCGTTCACGCCAAAAGACAAAATAATAATATACCATCGCTTTCTTTATCTAATTCGAAAAATTAGTGAGTTAAACATTTCTATTGGCACAAAAACGAATAAAATGCAGTGACAAAATAAATAAAAACAAAAGAGACAAAACAAAAACAATTATGTAGTCTAGACCTTAATTTATGACCATGTTAGAGTGAATGGAGTTGAAATTTTGAACAAATGAGTGTTGGGATGAATAATTTAATTCATTTTTAAAGTCGATTGTTCGATCTTTATAAATAAATCAAATACTTATCTTTATAGATAAAATAAATATACGTTCGGAGCGATTTACCTCTTGGTTGGCCTGACCCTTTGTGTGCAGAATTTCATCCTAACTCAATAGGTTGATATACTTGTGATTAATTATAATATATATATAAATGAGGGAGGAATAATGTGATTACATATATCACTTTTAATAAAATTTAAAATGTTCTAAAATACCTTTAATGATGACCAATTAAAAACTTACAGTTTATTAATTGATTGGATATAATTTATTTTTAAATTTATTTTTTCGTAAATATATATGATAATGAGATATTTGAAAATTCTAAAATTACTTTAATGATGACCATTAAAAACTTACAGTTTATTAATTGATTGGATATAATTTTATTTTTAAATTTATTTTTTCGTAATATATATGATAATGATGATATTTGAAAATTTTTATATTTTATTTTTAAATTTATTAATTTTTTAATTTAATTTTGATTATAATTTAAAGTATTTTTATTTAGGGGGGGAGATAAAATAGAAAAATATATTTTTTTTAATATTCTTTTTTATGTTTGTGTGATTTGATTGGATATGTTTTTTTAAAAATAATTTTTAAATGAAATAAATTTTGAATATAATTTTTAAAATTATATTACTTATAAATTTTTTTTTTTTTTTTGCAGTTCTTTTGATGGAAAAAATAATAAATGATAAAATGGTGTATATGAAAATATTTAATTCATTTTTCCCTTCACTTTATTTTTCTTATAGACAATTATCTAAGATAAAAAATAGTTACCTAATATTGTTCTTTTTTTATCATAAAAAATATGTGATATTTTTCTTTTATAATACTCTTAGAAATAATTGGATTATGACAATAAAGGTAAAAAAATCTTATACAATAATAAGAATAATGAATATTTAATTGATCTAATAGTTTATGTGAAATTTGATATTTCTTTTAATCTTCTCTTGAATATATTTATGTTATTATATTGTATATATTATATATATATATATAACTATATATATATATATACACAAACACACACGTTTAAACCGTTTATCGCATATCAGATGTGTAAGAATAGAGAGAGAAGGAAAATGATAAATAATAAGTAGAAATGAATTATACAATATACTTTGTCAATTTTACACTTAGATGAATATATATATGAATATGTTCAAAAATATTATTATTAGATTAATTAATTAAATATTATATTAATTAATGGTCTAAGATTTCTTTAAAAAAAGAGAACTTATATCCCTTTGCAATTTTAGGGATGTTTTCTAATTTTAAAGATATTAAAACATCGAGTAAAACTGATTTATGTTGGTTTTTAGTTTGCTTGGATAAACTGAATTTTTTATTCGATTTTTATTTTTTGTAAAAGGCATAAATTGATTAACCTAAAAGTGCATGTAAAACCGATTGAACTAATTAGATTTTGAACTATATTAATTTGAGGTTGTTTTCATTTTGAAAATTCACTTTAATTTTGTTTTAATTTGGTGTGGTTTCAATTAAGGTTATCGTGTAGCCCACCTATCTATAATTGGTTTCAAAAATTATCCCTCATTTTATTAAGTAAAAAAAGTAAAACCCAATTGATTAAAGATTGTTGAAACAAAATTTCTTTACAATATCATATATAATGGATTTTCTTAATTTGGCAATGTAAAAAATTAAAATTTTTATAATTATTCCTAAATTTTATGAAATATTAACAATTTGATTATATTTGAATTGATTTTTTTAAAATTGATAAATTTTATAAATAAATTTTAAACTTAAAAGCTATATAAATTATTAAAATCAATAATTTTAAATATAAATTGTCTAAACTTAATTAGATTTAACTTGATTAAAATATTTAATGTATTTTTAACTATTTATACATCCACAATAAAAATGTGAAATTCTAACGTTAAAAAGATATACACAATATAAGAGAGAAATTATAATGAGTAGTTAACATTGTATATGAAAATAAATAAGTATAAACTACGAGTATTAAACGAGCAATAGAAACGTGCAATGCACGTCATAAAATAAACTGGCATATATTTTTAAATATTTAATTAAATTTTTATTATAATTTAAAACATTCTATTTAGAAGAGAATTAAAAAGGAAAAAAATAAATTATTTTATAATATTATTTTTTTCTTTATATTTATATAAGTTGATTGGATATATTTTTTAGAAAATAAACTTTCAAATAGAATATATATAATTAAGCCTTAATTAAGCCTTTTCAATTTCAAATTTTTATTTTTAAAATTTATTTTTAAATAAATTGAACATATGTGTGTATGGGCGGCGCATAGTTTAAAAATTTAATTTTAATATTTTATTATTATATCTATCTAACTATAAAAGTGAAAATGAGTGAAAATGAGGGTAGAATAATGAAATTGCTGATATTATTTTTGTAAATTTTAAGATATTCTAGAATAAACTTTGTCATAGTGAATTAAAAAATTTTAACATAAATATATATATAATACTCTATAATTTGATTTGATGTTTTGTTTGAAATTTTTTAATAGATAAATACATATACATATAGATGATTAAACATTTAAAAATTTAAAAATTTTACTATTATTTTCTTATTATGTCTAATTATATTTTATTTCATTGTATTATTATGTAAATTATTAAAAATAATTTATTAAATTTATATTTTAATAATTTAATAATTTATTATTATTATTATGTATTATTTTGTTTTTATTTATTATTATTGTCATTTATTTTCAATATTATTATTTTAAATGAATATGTATAAATATGTGGCATTTGAAAATTTTTATTTTTTTGAATTTGTTTTAAGAATTATATCTAAATAATTAAGATTTTAATTTCAAAAGAGTATGATTAAATTTCTTTAATTACAAATTGCACTCTACTTTTGTTAGCTAAAAAATAAGATAAAAACTATTATTTTTAAATATCTCGAATTTTATTAATTATATTGATATCTTATTTAATTCAAATCATATTCTTTCTATTAAAAAATATAATTTTATTAATAAATTTTTTAAATGATTTCATAATTTTGATTGGATAAAAAATAAAAATAAAAATTATTATTATTTATAAATATTTATTTTGATTTATTATATCAGTTTCTTACTTGATTGTTAAAGTATATTTATGTACTAAAATATATTATAGTGAAAGTTATTAACAACACATGTAAGTTAATTGTAAAATGTAAAATAAAAGTTATATGATGATTTTTATAAATCAATTTGGTAGTTAAACAAAAAAATAAAACAACAAACGTATAATAAAAACTATATGAATCAGTATATTGAAGATAATATAAATAACATATTACTTATTTAAATTGCTATTTTAAAGTGATAAACAAATATATCAATTTTTTTAGTGAAATATTATAGTTCAAGACATATAATTAAAAAAATTACGATATATATATTCTAATCTAAATAAAAATTTATATTTAATTATATAAATAGAAAAGCTAAACGAGTATAAAAAATCAGCATATAGTTACGAGTATAGTCAACGTGCATCGTACGTCATAAAAAGAACTAGTACTATATATAAAAGTGGAAATGAGGAGGGAATAATCAGATTGCCGATATTGTCATCATGAACTTTAAGATATCCTAAAATAAAATTGGTTTTAACCAATTAAAAATTTTTAATTTAAAAATATATATAATAAATTTTTAATTTAAAAATATAATTTCTATAATTTGATTGGATTTTTTTTTTGACTTTTTTTAATAGATAAATAAATATAGATAAGTAAGCGTTTCAAAATTTTAAAATTTTACTATTATTATCTTATCGTGTCTAATTATATTTTATTTCATTATATTATGTAAATTATTAATAATAATTTAATATTTTTAATAATTTATTAATATTAATATTGTTATTATTCATAATTTAGCTTCAACATTATTATTTTAAATAAAATATGTAAATGGAGCATTTGAAAATTTTTATATTTTTTTGAATTTATTTTAAATAAATATATCTAGATAATTCATATTTGATTTAAAAATGTATGGTTAAATTTAATTACAAATTACACTCTAATTTGGTTAGCCAAAAAATAAGATAAAAAATTATTATTTTTAAATATTCCTAATTAAATTTGTTTTATTGATATCTTATATAATTCAATCCTATTTCTTATATAATTCAATCCTTATTTCCATTAAAGATATAATTTTTTAATGATTTTTTAATTTCATGATTTTGATTGGCTAAAAAAATAAAAAAATTATAATTATTTATAAATATTTAATTTGATTTATTAGATGGCTTTCTTATTCTATTGTTAACGTATATTTATTTACTACAAGAGATTATAATGAAAGTTATTACCAAAACATGTAAATTGATTATAAAATGTATAATAGAAGCTATTTGATGATTTTTACAAATCATTCGGTTTTTGCTTAAAAAAGAAGATGAAAACAATTAACGTGTAATAAAAACGGTATTAATTAATACGTTGACATATAACCAAAAAAATATTTACTATATATATAAAATGTAATATAATTTAACCATTCAATTTAAATAAAAATTTATACTTTCATATTATATAAATAAAAAATTAAAATTAAATGAGTATAAATATATATGAACATAGTTTAAGTATTATAAAATGTAATATAATTTAACCATTCAATTTAAATAAAAATTTATACTTTCATATTATATAAATAAAAAATTAAATGAGTATAAATATATAATGAACATAGTTAATATACAACCGACTTTGTAAAATAATAAAAATATTGCAAAATAAATCCTTCGTCTCAAAGCAATTGCATGGCAAGGATTTTTATTTCATCTAACGTTTAATTCACTTACTAATTAATTATTCGCTAAGAAATATTTTTATTAATATTATACAAATAATATTTATTTATGGTGCATGGACATGGAGTATCAAAAAGTCTACTTTAAAAAAAAAAAATTCAGATGACAGCTTGGAGTGAGATTTAGTTTGAAAATGAACATGTGAACGACAGAACAGCATCCACCGACGAGTCGTTCATATATAAACGATTTAATTTTAAATGGAATCGCAGGCTGTGTGAACGCATCATCAATAGTTCTTAAATTCGATTGTCTCTGACGTGGCAGTTCCCAACATCGCCACGTCTATACATATTAGCCTGAAAACGGTGTCCAATTCTGTAGCCATCTTTTTCAGTTTTCCTTTTTCCCTTCCGAATCGGTGACTGCCAGAGAGATTTATACAATACAAGAGTGCTAATAATTTATATTCTTTCGAAATCAAAGATCGAAGGAGGCTCTCTACCACATTCATAGAAATCAAAGTGTATGTAAGCTTTGCTTCTCCTCCTTCATTGGCACATTCATTGATTCCGATAATTTTTTCGCGTTTCAGATATGCTTAAGATTAATTTTCTTGTAAATTGGAGTAGACAATACAACGGAAGAGAAGATTAAGTAATAGCAATGCAGAAGGAGCATAATACTTCCAGTGCACCATCGACACCTAGAATTCGCCATCGTAAGCGTTCAAGTGATGTGAGTCTACTACTCCTTTCTTTTCCTTTCTTTTTTGGTACTTTATAGTCTCTGCCTATATTTATTCGCAGGTGAACTGAATTTGGATTGGTAGTTTAATAGTTTTCTTAAATTTGTATTGAATGATAAAAATGTTACGGAATTTCTCATTAATGAAATTTGCGTTAAACTTGAGTATTTGATAACTTAATTAGGTCCCCTAATATAGAGAATCCAAGTTGGATATGAGTTTTTAGTGTGTTTTAGCATATTTGCACAAATGGGTTTTATTTACATTTATATTTGTTGGAAAAGTTTGAACGTTTTATACTTCTGCTTTGGTGACAGATTCCTCATGAGATAAACAAATTGAATGGAGAGCATTTACTCATTAATGACCAAAATAAATACAAATCAATGTGGATTCGAGCACATTCGTCTTTATGGATGCTTGGAGGCTTTCTGTTGATTCTTTACTTGGGGCATATTTACATTTGGGCTGCTGTAGTTGTGATCCAAATTTTTATGACACAGGAGCTCTTCAATCTACTCAGAAGAGCTCACGAGGATAGGCGCCTTCCTGGGTTTAGGCTTTTGAATTGGTAGGGACAATAATAGTTTTGCTTGTGAAAAATATAAGGTTTGAAATATATCATATGATTTTGCAGGTATTTCTTTTTCACAGCAATGCTTTTCGTCTATGGCCGCATCATCAGTCAACGACTTGTGAACATTGTATCTTCAGATAAATACTTCTATAGGATTGTGAGTGGTATAGTGAAGTATCAGATGGCCATTTGCTACTTCTTGTACATTGCAGGTTTGACAACAAGAACTATTCAAGAATTTGTTAATGTCATTTTATGATTATCTTAACTTTAATCTCCTTTTGCCATTATTGGCATTGCAATGCTGATCAAATAAATGGTTTTATGCAGGTTTTGTGTGGTTCATTCTTACACTGAAGAAGAAGATGTACAAGTATCAATTTGGTCAATATGCTTGGACGCACATGATTCTCATTGTAGTGTTTACTCAGTCTGCTTTTACTGTAGCCAACATTTTCGAAGGGATCTTTTGGTAAGATCTTCCAAAACATTTCTTCATTGTCAGGTTTATCTGTTTAGTATCAATTTAATCAAATAAAAAGATATCTTTGTTACTCTCCTTCTGATTTGTCTGTGATTAACTCATGCATTGCTTTTACAATGTTAATTCGTTCTTTTCTTCTATTTATTCACTCATTATTATTGTTATATATATGCATGCAGGTTTCTTCTCCCAGCATCGCTCATTGCCATCAATGATGTTGCTGCTTATTTCTTTGGTTTCTTTTTTGGGAAAACGCCTTTGATAAAGTTATCTCCAAAGAAAACATGGGAGGGTTTTATTGGAGCATCAGTTGCAACTATGATCTCAGCCTTTGTGGTAATTAAGCTTCTCTCATTCCCATTGATTACACTGTTATATAGAATTAGTTTGTCTTGAATGTCACAAGAATAATTAACTCTTGGAATTCTTTGAAATTCTTTTTCTTCCTGTTCGATTTATTTTGATCACCTGTACAATTATGTTGTGAGAGAACAGAAAAAAATTGAAAGTATGTGTATTCATCCCATGATATTATTGATTTTCTACTGCCTGTTATTCAGTTAGCAAACATCTTGGGACGTTTCCAGTGGCTGACGTGTCCAAGAAAGGTAATTCTATTGTCAAAGTGCAAATGCACGTGTTTTATGAAATTTGCGTATGTTATTTCATCTGTTCTCATGTGAAGGGAACACCTGCAGGACTTATCAACAGGGTGGCTTCAGTGTGATCCTGGCCCACTATTTAAACCAGAGTATTATTCCTTACCAGGATGGATGTCTAATTGGGTGAGTTTAATTTCAAGAATTGAAGTTTTTTGTTTTTTTGAACAAATGTAGTTGAGTGTCTGGATTGAATATTTTATGCCCCTGATAAGTCATCGTTAGTGTGCAGATTTATATTTTCAAAAGTATTGAATTCAATAATAATCTTGCCTCTCAACATGGCTTGTACAAATGACACAATTTGAAACAATTTGGTTTAATTGAGCTACATTTGAAAGAGTTTATTGCTCATCTTGGCATTTTAGTGTAGTTTTCATCTGAAAACCTTACAATATATATATTTTTTCAATCCAGCAAAACTTATGATGCCATCTTGATGAGTGTAAAGGTCAAATGAATTCATAGTCCATCGAAGAACTAAAGATAGTTCAATATTAGATTTCTTGTTTAAAATTCTGCCATTAAATACTGCAAGATATATCTTTGCTTTGTTCAAAGTTCAAGGTTAATGCTTGGTTTCTTCTGTGGTTTAAGTATGTGATTACCTATGATGTCCATCTCCTAGCATTTATTGTTGAATACAAAGTGCAAATTGTGTCAATGTTTATAGTTTCCCAGGAAAGAGATATCAATTTTGCCGGTGCAATGGCATGCTTTGTGCTTGGGTTTATTTGCATCGATAATTGCACCTTTTGGAGGCTTTTTCGCTAGTGGCTTCAAGAGAGCTTTTAAGATCAAGGTAATGCTGTTGAATTCTTTCAGCTGCTTAAAAGTTTATATGGATTATTCTGTAAATTTTCCAATTTCTAATATTTTTTATTTCCTCCCCTTCTCCCCTCTCCCAACTATTACAGGATTTTGGGGATAGCATACCCGGACATGGTGGATTTACCGATAGAATGGACTGTCAAGTAAGTTGTGAATATACACACAATATCATAATACTAATTTCAATATTTGACCCTTTTTGTGATTTCTTTGCATGCTAAATATGTTTATTAGCAAAAGAGTATAAATTACCTAATTGGCATAACGCACAGATGATAATGGCCGTTTTCGCATACATATATCATCAGTCATTTGTTATTCCACGAGACTATTCAGTTGAGATGATTTTGGACCAGGTATGTATTTTATCTCAAACTTGTCAAGGGAAAATACCAAATCAAGGGCATGAATAATTTCTCATTTTTTCTTGTGCAGATAATGGCAAGCCTTACATTGGAGGAGCAGCAAATATTGTTTAGGAAACTGGGGCAGATATTCCAAGAGAGACAATTAAGGCTACATTGAAGTTTTGTAGATGTTTGCTTGTTTGTTTATTATCCAGGTTTTGCTTAAAACAGGTGATTGGAAGAGGAAGGTTTATGTAAAGTGCATCTCTCTTCTTCAATTTTGATTATTTTTGTTTGTTACTGAGAGATTATTTCATGTATGTAACCTGCATATCAGTTGGCTCAGCTTGAAATTGTTTCCTTTTTAGGAAGTTCAAATTTGAATTCTTTGGATTATAAGAGTTTTTACCAAATTGGTGAGCCAACTCTGTTGTGTTATCCTTAATATTCTTTCGGTCCATTGAGTTGTTTAATGAATTTGAAAAAAGAAAAAGCACATTGCAGTTGTGTATTAACAGTGCTATTAAGGGATCTGTTTCATACAATATTTATTTCAGTAGCAGCAAAATTTTTTGAACTGCGCAATCCTCTATAATGCAATTCCTGCTTATTAACTCTTTCCAAGCATGCAGAAAAAAATTTCTCACTTGGTTATATACTGAATCTCCGCATGCTCTTTCAACCATTCAAGAACTTTTGCTCCCTCTAGTATCTCTTGTACCTGTTCAGCACATAAAAATGAACTTATCATTAACAGTATTATGTCTACCACCTACTCAACAGTGGAGTCAGTTTTGATCAGACTGTCCCAGAAATGAAAATGGTGCTATTGAAACTACAGCGACCACTGGCTTTTTTGAAACTGGAATCATACAAGTATGAACTCTGTCCTCATCGATGGAAGTAGAACTCAGAAAAAGATGGAGTTAACTGTTCAAACTCATGAGAGGGTGCAGAGATTGGGTAATTATACTAACCTGGTCCCTCACTCTCTCTTCATCATATTCTTGTTTGTGACGTTTGAATTCGGAAATTGAATTCTCAACTTCTTTCACAAGATCATCTGTTGAAAACTGTATCATAATGAACATGCATTCATTATTTCAATTCAATGACAAGTTAATCTGACTTTTCTTTTTAAATTTACGTAGAACAGCTCAAAGTTGAGGTTAAAAGCTTCTCATATATCAAATAATGTAACAAGAAAACAGCGACCTGCATACCTCTAAATTTTCACGTTTGAATATGTCTCCAACTGCTAGATTTTGTTTTATCACCTTTGTTATGTTCTGCTTCTGGTTCTCTAGGTACTCATTAACTGCCTTTGGACTAGACAGAGAAGCTAATTGCTCTTCATTTAATTTCATTTTTGCCTGCAATTATGCTATGCAATGAGAACTGATGGAGTACGCTGATACAGAAGTGCATGTGAACATAGAATAAATTCTAAATTAAAAATAAAAAATTTGCTGTTCATAAGAACCAACCTGTACTTCAAGAAGTTTGGCTCCATAAAATTGCCGACCTTGTTCCTCAAACAAGGATCTAGGTATATCAATCTCCACCATCTAAATAAATAAGATGAAAGATATAACAACGTGATGAGTCAAATGCAAAGAGTATAATCAACCCACGGAGTAAACCAACAGCACATACAGCACGTTGATATCATGGTCAAAGACATCAAGAGATCAACCAAATCAGGAAATTGCTACTTCAGAACATAAATTAACCTTGTGAAGTTGGTCGAGAATTGCATTATCAGTTGCTTGGTCTCTTGCTGTTCGCTCCACCTCTTGGCATTTCTGTAACAATGATTCCTTGACCTACAGATATGCAAAGCGTTTCCTATTGAAGAGTTGATCAAATACGACTCAAATCCAGAACATTTCTAAGGTCCTACGTGAGTGTTACCTGCTGTAAGGTAGTGCATCCAGGAAGAAGTTTGTCTGCAAGGGAGTCATCCAACTCGGGCATATCTCTATAAAATAATTCTTTGCATTCAACCTGAAAAGGGCAAAGACAATAATAAAGAGGTGGAGCGAACAGAAGAAACTTATTATCTATACATGTCTTTGTTCTTCTACTCTACTTTCGAATTAAGAGGAGGACTTCTTCACAACAGTAGGGAACTCACAGTAAATTGAGCTTGAACACCGCGAAGATTTTCTTGGTTCCATGATTCAGGAAACACAAGTGGGAAAGACTTTGTTTCACCTCGTTGCATTCCAATTATTGAATCGAGGAAACCAGGAAGTACTTTGTCACCATCCTCTGTATCAAAATGAAATCCTGCAAAAAAAATGGTGTTGAAATAACAATAATCAGCAACTGGGACTTGGGGAAATAATTTAATAAGGAACATGCTTCAGTGGAGGAAAAATTGAAAAAACATAAAAGTTCAGTCGAAGTCACAATTGTGGCCAATTAATTAGAAATACTTTTCAACAATCAAAATGAATAGCAGACAATTAAAAGGGGCCAGAGGGAATACATTCCATTCATTTTCAACAATTAGAATATGAATAGTCATGAATCATGCTTTACTCTTAATATCGCATTGATTCTAGGCATGAAATCTTTTCAGGAAGTCCAATATAATCAAATATAATAATGACTGAGAACACAGGATTAAGCACATATATGCAAACCTTTACTCTCTGCATCTGGAATATTAATACTCGAATTATCTTCATCAACTTTCGTTGCTGAAATATCAAGCACTGCAACATCACCTATCTGTGGAAGTTTTAACATGAATTACAAACGGAGTACGATAAATAGGAACAGTTCTAATGAAATGCTACCTTCTAAGCTCTAAATTCTTGTATAAATATTAGATTGCTGAAGAAATGGTTTTAATAAAATACAGCCATTCTAATGAGCAAGTTGTAAAATAAAAGTAGATTGGTGATAAAATATAAGTACCAATATGAAATGTGAAACAAACATAAAAACACAAAATAGTTAATGCCATCTTATTAATGTGAAGCACAGTAATGATGCATTTTTGAAAATCAGAAATTCTATAAATTCATACAATGAAAGCATATTCAGAAAAGGTTTAATGATATTAGGCTAATGACCCAAAAAAAATTCAAAAATTACTATTATAACCAAACTTTCAAAGAAAAAAAATTTTACCCGTTCGATCAACCCTGTACCGTCATTTTTTGCATTAAGGAGAGATCGATGGAGAGTTATTGTAGAATTGAATTTGGAGAGAACAGATTTAGAAAAATAATAGATATGATAGATTGTATTTCATTTCATTTATGGTCAAATTGGTACGATTGCAACAAACCTTATGGTGAAATAGTGTATTTTAGAAGGTTTCTGTGTGATTGTAAACATCATCGAAAGGTATTGATTTTTTTGGTTAACGCATTGTAAAGGTAACCCTCTCCCTGAATGTGTGTTTGCTGGTTATCTATCAATCACAGCATGACTTCACATAGTTAATTCAAATTTCCCCAAATACAAGTTTTTTCATAAAATTACTCCAGCTGATTTATTCCCAAGGAATGACCTTTTCCAACAAAACATTGAACGTGAAAGTGAAATGCAAAAACGAAGACCAACTAAAGCTTTTACCTGCAGTCCTCTGTCAGTTACAATTCTCATTGCGCCAAGGGACTTTTGACGACGCCTTAATTCTTTTTCAGAAGCTGTCTGAGCATCTACATCACTGTCAATTTCAACAACAATCTTCAGAATTTTGTACGCATTCTCAGGGATCCATTTGACTTCAGGTGCCACATCCACAATAATATCATATCTGGACCACAAGTCTTCTCAGTAAGCAGATTAAAGATTTGTACAAACTTCAACCAAAAGATAGACTCGATCCAATTCCATAAACAATGCCCTTTACTTCAACCACAATAACAGAAGTTAGGGATGCCTGAGAGCTAAGCTGTATGCAAGTTTTAAATCTCCCAGAAGCAGAAATACAATGGAAAAGGACGTAGAAGATGCACATGTGACAAACCTGAGAGTATTGAGTGAAGAATAGGCCTTCTCCATGTCAGAGAATTTAGTTACAATGCGGATGGAGTCTCTCAAAGCCCTTCCAGTCACCTAAAGAACAAAAAAATATAAAAATGAAAATAAAAATACATAAAGGCAATCATTCTCCAATAAAAGGACACTGAATAAAACATACAGCAAAGCAATTGGATTTTAGCTGCATTATGTTTTTTTTTTTTTTTTTTTTGCAGGCAAGGCTCTCCTATGTCAGAGATTTAGTTATCAATGCGGAATGGAGGTCTCTCAAAGCCCTTTCCAGTCACCTAGAAAAAAAAAATATAAAAATGAAAAATAAAAATAATAAAGGCATCATTCTCCAATAAAAGGACACTGAATAAAACATACAGCAAGCAATTGGATCTTTAGCTTGCATTATGTTTTTTTTTTTTTTTTTTTTTTTTTTTTTTTTTTTTTTCTTGCAGGCAAGAACATTATGGATAGAAAGAAAATTTTGTTTAAACTTCAAAGGCAATGTTATGTTTTTTCAGGACAATTCCCAACTCCAAAGGCAATTTACAAAAAAGATCATTAACTATTCTGGAATTTTACTGAGATAAGCACACTTTGAATCTTTTGCTAATAAGTTATGCATGGGACCATCTTTATATTTCATCAAAAGAATGAGAAAATTGATTAATACTACAATAACTTGAATGTACCGAAGACATGGCATGTGGAAGTGTCCTCTTCAAAACAGATTCAATTGTAGCCTTCTGAACATTTTCCTTTCCAACATAACTTAGAAGAATACTTTCTGGAACATTCTTTCCAGGACGAAAACCCGGTACCTGTACACCAAACCAGTTTGTAAGAACCATTGTTCACTTTTCACAAGCTAACTAGCATGAACAACTACACACATTCTTAAATTGGAACTGCCAACAATGAAAACTAACTGGTGCCATTCTTCAGCACAAAAAATAAAAATTTTAATGGGAGAGAATTGAGTGGTCAACATGGTATAACACCACTAACAATTCAACAACAACAACAAAAAAAAAAAGTTGTGGTCACCCAGAATTAGATTTAGCTTTTACGTAGGAAGTGTTCTTCAAAATTGGAAACTTATATAGCTATATAAATCTCTACTTGAGCTGAAAAATTGAATTGGATAAGCAAAAACTACTACTCTTTCAATTTGAATTTTCTTGTATATAGAGCTACAACGTACTAACCCAGAATAAACAAGAAAAAGACAGAATAGCAAGGCGTAGAAGCAAGAACCTACCCTAGCTTGCTTCATGAACTCATTCATGACCCTGCTGTAACAATCATCGCATACAGCTTCTGGGACTTCTACAGTCAACCTCAACTGCAAAAAGATAGAAACTTTCAAAATTAAACATACATTACTCATAATTAAGACTGCAATTACCAACACAGACAATACAAATTACACACTTAACAAACAAAAAGAAAAAAGTGACTCACTCTTGAATTGGGCTCCACGGTCTCTGTGACTCTAATATCAGCTGGAAGCCGGTCTTTCTCAGACTCAACAGCAACAGAAGAAGAAGATGATGAAGCTGCGGATTTACGAGCACACTGAGGGAAGGCTGGACAATGGCTTTGACGCCAAAGTGGAGTCAATTTGTAAGAATTGAAGGGATTCTTGCTCTTGTTTTTGTTGACTTGGAGAAATTGGTTGTTTAAGGTAGCAGAAACAGAAAATTTACCAAGAAACTGAGGGATTTGTTGATTCCAATTTAGAATAGCTCTTGACCTTATACACAGCTCCATGCTAGTTCTAGTAACAAGTAGCTAGAGTATTAGATGGATATGGTTGAATTTGTTAAGAATCTACAAATATATCTTTCACGATATAACATTAAACGGTTGTCGTTTTGGGTAAACAGACAAGAAAGATGGCGCGATATAGAAACGACATCGCTGCGCAACATCTGCCCTTCTACGGTATTTAATGAAAGCTAAAGCTCTAAGCTTTTCAGATATTTCTTTGACCTTTACCTCTTAGCTAATTCGCTGTCGACGAAAACCCGGCACCGACAAAAGTCACCCCCGTAAAGCCGATATTTCGGTTTCGCGGGGTGAGCAAGACGAGAAAATGGAAGGAGTGGGGTCTCGACTGGGCCGTGCCTCGTCTCGTTACGGGCCATCGGCTACGGCCACTGTCTTTAACGGCCCGGTGAGGAAGTGGAAGAAGAAGTGGGTTCATGTGTCTCCTCCATCTTCTACCGTCAGCCACCACAACTCCAACTCCCACTCCCAGTCCAATGGCCACGCCAACAACACCACCAACTCTCGTCTCCTTCTTTGTCGGTGGACCCCTCTCTCCCCCGCCGATGCCACCTCCGAGGAGCCTCCCAAACGCAAGTTCCGTTATACTCCAGTATCCTCTCTCTCTCTCTCTCTCTCTCTCTTTCATGTTAATTTCTTTTGTTGATTTAATTTTGAAGTGTGTAACTAGGGTTTAACTTTTGCTTAGCTTCCATGTTGTGGTTATTAGTGATTTTAGCTTTGCTAATTCAACAATGAAAGGTTTACACATAATACTGATTTTGATTACAGAATGAGAATAGAATTTGAGATATTGTTCATTTTGTAGAAATGAGTTGCTGAATACATTTTGAATGAACCTTTTTTTTTTTTTTTTTTTTTTTTTTTTTTTTTTTTTTTTTTTCCTTTCTTTAATTGAGCATTATTTTTTTTTTTTTTTTTTTTTTTCCTTTCTTTAATTGAGCATTATTTGATTGCTTTTATGCTTTAAGATTGTGGTACTAGAAGAAGAACAGAGAAAGGCAGCTAAACAGGTTGATCATGAAGCTAAGACAGATGGAACTAACCAATTCACAGCATTGCATCCTTCCAAGAATGATGAACTAAATAATGACACTGCTTTGAAGACAGAAACCCAGGTGAAGAAAAAAAAAAAAAATACTACTAACTGTTTGTGCATCTTATCTGATCTTTGTGCTGTTTCTTTGTTGCCTCGTCGTGCCTGTGATTAGGAGTTGCAGGAGTTTCTATTATATGCTTGTGTAACGAGTTCTCACTATGCTATGAGGCTACTTTCTCTTTTCATATTTATCATTGTAGAAAACTATATGAAATTTAGATGGAATGAAAAGAATAAACTGGTTGTGATTCCATATGTTTCATGAGTAGTATGCATATCTTCTTTGAACTTGCCATAGGTTTCTCTCAATAGGCAAAGATGATCAAATATCTAATCTCTATCTGGGTTATGGATACAAAATCTTAGCTCCATGATGGATGCTGTCGACTTGAAACCATATTCGTTTAATAATAGAATTATTTTTATATTTTCTGGTACAATATCAGCAGAATTATTACAAGAGTTAGTTATCATAGTTGGCATGGTCAATTTTTATCGAGCTTGTCTGTCATAGCAAGCAAGCATAATGAATTTCAACCAAGCATTGTGATAGAATCATTTTCCTTGCCTGTTATCAATCTGGCATCTGGGGAAATTAATGCTCGTGTTACCAAGTTTCAACTATACAAAATTGGAACTAATCCACTTGCCTTGCAGGATTCCAACGTGAGTAATTTGGATTTGGATTTGTGCTTGAAAGGCCATAATGGGGATCCTGATTCTGTTGGCCGGACAAAAGAGAGTCAAGTGAAGAAAGGAGGTCCTGGTGGGCTCTGGACAACTGGTTGACACTAGGCAGCTCCTCAAAGCGGAAGAAGCCAGTTGTTTATCCATCAGTACGCATTCTGGTGGCTATGGCAAATGATATAGTAGTTTCTATTGGTAGAATGAGCAACATTGCTCCACTGTAATTAATTGTAAGCTGTGTCTGCAATTTTTGATGAAAGTTTAGGTTAATTGATGGCATTTGTATATAATGGAAATCCATCTCTATAATCAGTCGTCAACCTGTTTCTCGTATATTTGTATAGGATCACAATCCATTTTCCATCTTCACCCATCGTGTCATAACTTCATGCACTTTTCAATTAGCAATTGCGACCATTCAATTTATGGAATAGGATGGGGGAAAAAGTTAAAACAATAATATAAGTCTGCCTCTTTGCTGCGAAAAACAATTCGAAGATGTTAAGAGCTACAAACCCTTTAATGATTGGCTTTATGCGGTCACAAAAAATATAATCCTTTAGTTGCATAATTTTTTCTGGCTGATAAGTAAAAATGATCGAGAAAAGAAAATGGTTTACTAGATGACAAAAAGTAGAAGACCCTATTGGCACCACAACGCTATACTCCATTTCTCTCCCGGAAATTCAAAACTTCTATCTGTAGCCTGAGTGATGTATTCAAGCATTACCACCCTCATTGCTTGATTCTGTATCATTATCTACTGCAATTGTAACGCCAACTTCAGCTGGTCGAATTACACGATCATAAAGAACATATCCTGCCTGCAAGAGCAACACAAGGAGTTAAATCCTGCAATAATGAATCCAAAAATATATGTGACAATCAAATAGCAAGCTATTCAAATAACTACTAAGTGCAAAATTTTGCACTCGAAAAAAAAAAAAACAAAGGCATGACAAAGTTATGTGAAACACTGAAAAATGGAAACCTAGAAAGACATTCACTGTGCCAATAGAAATAATTCCAACAGCAATAAGAGATATGATAATCTTTCATGAAAAACAACTTCAACCAAATGGGCAATAATCACTAAGCGTCATTCTTTCGCTCCTAGCCATAACAAGTATCACGTTCAAGAGTTTTGCTTTTGATGATAAACAATCACGTGTTCTTAATTTGTATTGATAAAACAGGGACACTATATGAGAAATTAATATGGAAAAGATCAGGTGTGTTATGAAATAATACCTTCAAAACTGCTGCAACTGTGCCAGGGGGCTTAGAAGCATCGGGTAACTGGAATACTGCATAATGCTTATGTGGATCAAATGGCTCATTAATTGGATCAAACTTTTCAACGCCAAATTTCTTAAATACCTGAAATCCAAAACATCACAAAGCTGTTTAGGCAATGAAGTATGTGATAAAACAGATCTCTAATCTCAAGCACCTCCGCAAGCAAAATGAAAAACCACAAGAAGACTGTGCAGATAAGTGATGGATTTAATTAGAGATCTTTACATCTGCAAGCTGTTTCTCAGTCATTTCAACTCCTTCCAAAAGTGTCTTAAGGAGCGGTACTGCCCCAGTAGCGTCGGTAGATGCATCAATTTTTGAAAAACTATCTTTGACTACTGCAGAAGCTCTTCCCAAATTGTCTGCAACATCTAGTAGGCTCTTTGCAAAATTCTGTGGAAATTCATTCATAAAAATTTCAATACAGTGTAAAATTTCCAAATAAAAAGTCACCAACTAAATTCTATAATGCATTCACATCAAAGCACAAAAGCAAGAAATCACTTTGGAAAGAAGAAGGTGCTAAGAAACCTGTACGGCAAACTTTTTAGAGTTCTCTGCTTCACGTTTTGTCCTTTCCATGACATTCTCCATTTCTGCATAAGTGCGAAGAACTTTGTCTTGCATTTTTTCAATCTCCTTGTGCTTCAGTTTCAGAAGCTCTTCTTTTTCAGCCACAAGCTTCACCAAATCATCCATTGACAAGTCATCCTCAGAATCTGAATCAGAAAATGCAGTCCGTTTAGTACCACTTCTCCTTCTTTTGACAGATTGAGACATGGTTGGTTGGGATTCCGAGTTACAACCTGATTTTTCGCTCTCTTCAGAAGCTGAATCTTCTGTCTTGTTGGAAGGCTTTGCATCAGCATTTCTGGAAGCACCATTATTCTCTGCAGTGCTCCCCTCCTCCTTCTCATTGGTCTCAGGGGATGCAGATGAAGTAAATCCAAATCTTTGAAAGGGAGAGGAACTCAATGCTGAATGATGAAATAAAGATACTTGGCCTGGTACAAACTGGAATAGGAAGCATATGTTTAACTTCATGAAATGCAAAAGAAGAAAGAGGGGAGGCTAAATTCAAAATTGGGAATCAACTAGAATTATTAGAGGGCAAAAAGAAGAATGATGTACATAAATGCAATAATCAGCCAGGCATCAGACTGAAAGCCAATAAAATGTCTTTGCATAGACATTAGGCAAAATTATTATGAGCTTTTTGACTTGAGAAAAAATTAATTCTAGTATTTTCCACTCCTCCAAAATACATCTCAATCGTATTGGTTCTGAATCTCAATTCAAATCCTATGATTTGAACTAAGACCTTAAAACATGAACTATCGTAAACAATTATGCTAAATTAGCGTAAAATACAAATGAGTACGACTGATGCAAACGTTTTGAACATATTTAACAGTGCTCATGAATGCCCCATGCACAGATTCTGTACTAGGACTTTCGAACTGTTGTCAATAATTTTTTAATTGTGAGAACAAGAACGAGCTAATAAGATGCCATGATAACAGCTCACAGTTCACAGTTCAAAAAAAAAAAAAAAAAAATTGCCTTAGGTTTTGTGTTTAGTGTCAGCAACACAGAAAAACTAGAAGAGAACCAAGCCCCTTAAGGTCTTTAATGGTAGTAAAAAAAAAAAAAATCCTAACCAATTGAAGTAACCTCCTAGTAAATCACTGAAGCATGAAAACTTTAAGCAACGACAGATTAAAAGAAACCTGGCAGAGAAGCTTACGAAAACTTGGATTAGTAAACCTATACAATTTCACACTCAATAAGCATTATTTAAATAAGAAAGGCTGCATCTTTCATCACCGGAGGTCCAGAACACAATGAAACCTAAAAGCCGAAACCACTAATCAAATCTCTGAATCTTTAAATGAATTAAAGATTCTATTAAATACCTAAAAACCTTAAACCCCACAAAAACCCAGCTCGAAATCAAGCACGAGCACACTTCCACGATTGTGAAAAATCAAGTACAACAATAAAGTCTGAAAATTTTGACCAATTTATTTGAAATCCTTAAACCCCAGCAAAACCCTAGCCAAAACCCAAAACTAAAAATGAAGCTTTTTATCCTATAATATTACCTGCTTTGAATGTTCACTAATCAGAGAATCAATTTGATTGGAGAAGATTGGTAATAGCTGCTGCTTCTGCGAAGGAGAAAGAAGAAGCAGGGAGCGTCGACCCACGCTCCTCGAAGCTCCTGACAAAACCATCCGGGACATCAACATAGCTGAAGAAAGAGAAAAATTGGAGGGGAAATTGGAGAATGGACAATATTTCAGCGATGAAAAGAGAAATTAGAGGGAAAGTAAAGGAAAATAAAGAGGGAAAAAAGCGTGCTTGGAGCGAAAGAAAGAGGTTTAGAAGGAAAAATTTCTGGGCATGTAGAATGATGTTCATTTTATGACGTAATTACCCTTATCTATTAGAAATTTTCACGCCGGAATATGCTAAAGACGCAAAGGATTTTGGAGATTTTAGAAGGGTATTATTGTCCGGTTGTGGAGATTAGGTTTTCTTTAGAATGCTCCAGAAGGCAGAACCACAGAAGGTTTAATACGAGGGTGGGAACGTGCGACGAGGTCTCGTTTCGCGCGACCCTGGCAAAACGACATTGCAAGAGTCACCGCATATCGAATCCATTGTAATTTGTAATACTAATATCTAATGTTTTACAAAAGAATTTGCATAAAACAAGTTCAAAAATTATCTTAAAAAAAATTCGAAAATATAATATTTAAATAAAAAAATTTACATAAAAGAGTTTAATAACATATCATGAATTGAGATCGTTTTCCTTTTTAATAATTTCATCAAATTAATAAAAAATTTTGCCGATGAAATTACTCAAATTGAAATCTCTTTTCTCATCCTTTTTCGAGAATTCTTCTCAAAAAAAAAAAAATAAAAATAAAGATTGTATAATTTTAAGCTATTTAATTTTATAAAATATAATAATAATCGCTTTTCATTTTTTGAAAAATTTTTTTATTGTATCATCAACAAGTCAAATGAAAAATTTTTTTTATTGTATAGTTGATGAATCAAAATAACACAATGGACCATACGTAAACGTGGTTTTACACAAAATAGTATTAAGGTAAATTCAACATAACAGTAGCAACTCTATGTAACAAACTTCTAATTTTGCAAATGACAAACGTCTCTGGTTGAACCACCTGTTAGTATCCTCATCGCATTAGTAAGGAAGGAGTAAGGACTCGAGGTTTGAAAATTTTAATTCCAAAAATAGCCACCGATAAAGTTTGCCTAGTGATGTAGTCTACTTTTGCTTCATTGACCACCTGTTGACATATATAGTTTCACAGGTATAACTACCAATTGCTAAATTGATCCAATTGTGGAAAACAAATTCCAAAACCCAACCGCCTTCGTCCTTGTTATCTTTGATCCATTTCAGCACTCAAATCCCAATCAATCTTCGGTTGGGTGCCTACTTTTCAAGCACCCTTTGAGTTACTTACTTCCCTACTGAATCAAACCTAACGAACGTAAATGAATCGGTATGTCACATTTTATCTGTGATTCGAAAGTTCAATCCTAAGGCCAAATTTCATCAACTACAACCAAACTAATACTGAAATTGCATGCCACTCTCTCCCAAACGTTACAAAATCATAGACCTCCTTAAAGCAAATACTACAAGAGCAAGACTTTCCACATTCTTGCTGCTAGCCTAGGATATTCTGTATACAGGGATTTATTGAAAATGAAATTCTCTCTTTAGATAACTTGTCTAATGAAAAAATATTACATATTTCGCAAAAAAAATTATTTCTAAAACAAATTTTAACAACCTTTAATTAATATATTTGACATCCCGATGCTAATAATACCTTAGAGTATATCCAATGCAAACATGGATTGTGGCTAATGTGTTTTAATAAATAAAAATTGTGGATCGTGAGCGTATGAATGCGTATTTGTAGATGTTAGATTTTAAAAATGGTTTTCCAATGCACAAAGAATAAATCATTTTCAACGCAAAAAGAAATTTGAGCACAAATGAAGGATAAGGCATAAAGAAAAAAAAATAATAAATAGGAAAAAAAAAGAATAAATAGGAAAAAAAAGAATAAAAAAGTTGAGTCATCCTATCTAACAGACCCTCTCAAAATAAAAAGTGCGATAAATAATGTATATTTTTCTTTTTGACTCATTAGACTCATATACTAAATAGACAATAATATTGGAAAAGATTTTTACTTTTTATTTTTAATTTTTCAGACTTGGTAAATAAGTTAACCGTTTATTGCATTGGAGATGCTCTTATGCTGCCACAACGAGGTCGTTTAAAGTTGGCAGCCTAGAATAAGTGGGTGTAAGTGCTGATGTGGGTAGTGATGTAGATGTTGGATAAACAGGACAGAGAGTATTAATTTGGGAAACACTGTACATACAGATACAAACTTAAAACTTCCAATTCAAGTAAATATTCTTCTACATCATTATCATCAACATATAAATATATACAAATAAATGACACTTTGCCAATAGAGCCACTGACTCTCCAATAATCTGTCTCTATATCAAGCCCTCTGGAAATTTTCATCACCAAATTTTTTCAGTCAGTTGAGCTGAATTTCTGTATTTACCTACTGGAGCAACTAGAAGTCTCAACAAACTTCATAATCATATGTTACCTCAGTTTTCATCAGCCTCTTCTCTCCCCTTTCCTCTTTCTCTTCACAAGAATATAATTATTCATACCAATTTCACCAACCATCTTTAAGCTACTAATAATAACTTTTCAGAAAACACTTATAATATATATGCAAAAGTTGAATTAATTAAAGCAAACTACATATGGAAAGTTCTGCAGCAATGCTTTGTCTTTTTTTAGCTCATTTGCTACTGCAAATTCTTGAAGTAAATGCAAAAGTTCCAGCCATCATTGTGTTTGGAGACTCTACTGTGGATTCAGGCAACAACAACATGATATCTACAGTACTAAAGAGTAATTTTGCTCCTTATGGTCGGGATTTCAATGGTAGCAAGCCCACTGGTAGGTTTTCAAACGGTCGGCTCGCGACAGACTTCATTTCAGAAGCCTTCGGACACAAGCCAATAATACCTGCATATTTGGACCCAACATATGGCATAAAAGATTTCGCCACTGGCGTTTGTTTTGCCTCTGCAGGAACTGGTTATGATAATGCTACATCTGATGTGCTAGTAAGTTGTGCTAACTTAGTAGTACTGATAGGCAGAATTTTGAATAATCCAAGCATATAATAAACACATTTTGAATAAATTTCTGAATATTTAAATAAAATGCATTAATAGTAAAATTGCATAAAATACAGAGTAAGTTTGATACAATAGTTAAATTCTAGAAAATAGTCTTAGTCTTATTTTCTTCATTCTCACTGGACTTGCAGTCTGTAATACCTCTTTGGAAGGAATTGGAGTACTATAAAGAATATCAGAACAAGCTTAGAGGATATCTAGGACATGAGAAGGCTAATGAACTTCTAACGGAAGCACTCTACCTAATAAGCATAGGAACAAATGACTTCCTAGAGAACTATTATTTACTTCCAAAAAGATCAAAACAGTTTTCGGTCACGGAGTACCAAAATTTTCTTGTGGGAATCGCTAGAGATTTTCTCACAGAGCTTTATGATCTAGGAGCTCGGAAGATATCTATAGCTGGCCTTCCTCCAATGGGGTGTTTGCCTTTAGAGAGAACCACCAATATACTTCATGGAAGTGATTGCATTGAAGAATACAATAATGTGGCTAAGGATTTCAATGAGAGGCTAAATGGGATGGTCACTGAGCTGAAGAGGAAGCTTCATGGGATCAAACTTGTGCTTCCGAACCTCTATGACATTGGCTCAAAAATAATTCAGAATCCAGGTTCTTTTGGTAAGATGTTTTCCACTCATCTAGAGATACATGGCATGCTGCATTTGGATAACTCATTATGAACATTAGGTCATTAATCCTAGATCTGATTTACAAAATAATTTTATTCATGCTGGTGATTATGCTATGCAGTAGCCCAAACACATCAAGACATATAACATCCAGCAATGTGATCCAACTCCTCTATAATTTCAGAATTGTGACAAATTTGACATCTAGGTACTTAACAAGAATTAGGTTCCAATACAAAGTTATCGAAATAACATATCAAAGATGGTAGTGCATACTGTGATTAATTAACTAAAGCTTCAAAATCATGGCCAGTGTTTGTTTAATTAAGTGCATTTCATAAAGTAAATGCCTTCTGCAATTATTCCTATTTGCAGGGTTTGAAAATGCAGCAAAAGCATGCTGTGGAACTGGATTTTTTGAGATGGGTTACATGTGCAATGGAAGAAACCCTTTTACATGCTCAGATGCAAATAAATATGTATTTTGGGATGCCTTCCACCCTACAGAAAGAGCGAACATGATTGCTGCTGATTATGTAGTAAAAAATTATTTAGCTCAGTTTCTGTAACAATGACAAAATATAATGTTCTTAGCATAAAAATTCTAGTTCCAATCCTTTTTATCTGTCTTTATCTTTGAATTGGTTATACTAATGTCTTTATTGTAAACTAATAACCAATGAAGTAATGCAGCAAACAAAACCTCCAATTTTTTATTTGTTTAAGTTAGGCATATTCTCCTTGAAATTTGCCAAGGAGCAAGATGAAAACTACAAGGTGATCCCACCATGATCTGGGCGGCAAATGTATTCATTGATACATTTGCAAAAGCAACAGCATTTTTATGTTTTCCTAAATGAATCAAAGCAAGCAAAAAACCTAGCAAATAAAATGAGCATGGGTTGTCTGTCTTAGCAAATGAAGAACCTAACTGAAATTCTGAAAGGTTGAAAAGAACTCCATGAGAAGTAGAGAATAATTTCGTTTCATTGATTACCTTCTCCGATGGTCAAACAATAATCAGATTACACACTGAAATCAGCAAATTGACATAAATAAATTAACATAAAATGAAACAAAACCTCATAAGAAAAAAACATTCAATGGAAGAAAGGAAGCTTCAACTTGAAACAGGAACCCTATCTTGATTACGTCATATTCAAATATGCAGACAACCATCCATAAATATATTACTATGCAAGGAAGCTACATATTTTTGTGATGCAACTGTGTAATATTACTTTCTAGGGAGACAGAAATCTTGATCTCAGATTGCAACCTACTTTGGCCCTTTGGGAAAATGCAATTTGATCAGTGCAGGAAGTTCAGCGAGATCAACTTGAGGCTTCCCCAACAAAATACCTTTCAACTTTTCATCACAGTTGACTATATTCTTGTTCTTTGGATCCTAGTAAAAAAAGAGACGACCAGAGTATTCATGAGAATTAATAAAAAGGTCATGCGTGAATCATTAAAATCTTACCTATGGATAACAAGCAGAATGGACATCCCCACTTAGGGGTTACATTTGCAAGAAATTTGAACATTGTAAGTCAATGCAAATTAAGCTGATTTAACAACCAAACAATCAAACTACCTTTAGCATTACGCATATTATTAAGATCAAAAAAATTTGAGCCGGACAAGCTCAACAATGAATTAGCACAATAAGTTATGGACAAGGTAGCAAAAACAAGATGAGTTACAAGGATACATATATTTATGCATATAATTGAAACTAATACACCAAATATTCATAGTAGATATAGCAGAAAAATATAATAGATGACACAATATGGTTGGTTACAAAGCCTCTAATGTACCACAAAAAATTTACCAAAAAGATAAATGGTTACTTCAAGAAGCACAGACCTGGAGATTATTAGTCTTGATATAGGACCAAACACGCATGAAACATCCCAAGCGGGAAATTTGAGACTGACCCACGAATTCTCGAAGTGTTGAAGGAAGATTTACAAGATCAATCAAATTAGCAAGTTTTTTAGGGTTCTCTGTGATAGCTTTCTTCATCTGTTGCGGCAACATTTTCCTTGAGCTTGTTTTACTTCCTTTCTGCAATTCAGAAATTAACAAATATATGAATCCAAACTAATTTTCTTGGAAACCAAAAGAGGTCTGCGGAGAATTTAATGAAACACTTGGTCTGCAAAGTCAATGAACCCATGCTCAGAGCCAATAAATACTAATTATGGTGTCTTGCTAATAGCTATGAAAATCGGATAACAAAAATTATACACCGAACATCTTCTTATAGAGTTTAGTCAGTTCGAATCAAATATAACAGTGCGAATTAACAAAATTGAAGGGCAACCACAGAAAGTTCTACAAAACAAATCCTACCAAAATTGAAACTTGAAGGTCCCACAGGCCACAGATGACTGATGGCGGATTTTTCTTGAGTTCGAATGTTATATGTAATTGAGAGAGAGAAGAGGTCTTAATTGTCGATAATCTTTCCTGCTATGCTCAGCTCATGGCAGGAAGTGAACATACCCGGTGTAATGAGACGTACGAGGAGCTGGGGATGCACAAAGGAGGGACATGTGAATAAGTAACACTAGTTCGTTTCGGTTTAAAGACCAATGAAAAATCAAACTATTGGTTCAATAGCTTCAAAAGCAATGTAACCCGGACGGCTGGACCTAATAACCATCATATCTGGCGCGCATGGGATCCACCGATCCACATTCGGCCCTTTAAGCCCAATCTGGCCCATTAACGATGGAAATTTCATCAAATAGTTGATTCTTTTATTCCCATGCATTCTCTGCAATGGCGATAATAAATAAAATATTTTATAGTAAATTAAATTTTTAAATGCATGATAATTTAAAATATTTTGTAATAAAATAAATTTTACAAAGTAATAAAATATTTTCATCAATATTTATAATATTTCTTAATATTTTGTAAAAGATGGATATTTATCGTAAAAAGTGATGATATATAAGATAATAAGCATGACGGTGAATATGTTATAATATTTTTAAATATTTTATAAATATGACTATTTTTTTTAGTTAATGAATTACAAAATAATAACTTCAATTACCAATATTTTGTAATAATCCTTAATAATTTATAAAAAGTTATTTTTATTTTTTGAAAAATTGCCGGATTACAAAATAATAGCTCTGATTGCTAATATTTTGTAATATTTTTTAATAATTTATAAAAGTGGTTGTTTTTTTCTAAAGTTACCTAATCACAAAATAATGAATCAAGCTACCAATATTTTGTAATACTTTCTAATATTTTTGTAGAAAATGATTATTTTTATAAATTTGGCCGATTATAAAATAATAGTTTTTCAATTATTAATATCTTATAAAACTTCCTAATATATCATACAAGGTGACTATTTTTTTTGTAAATGTTGGTGATTTATAAAATAATAGCTCCTATCGTCAATATTTTTAAGGAATTTGAAAAACGAAATTGTTTTTGTAAAATTGCCAATATTTTTAAGGAGCTACTATTTTGTAGCTCCGGTTACCATTATTTTGTAATATTTCCTAATATTTCATAAAAGGTAAGTGTTTTTTTTTTTTAAAAAAAAAAGTTCATGGGTTACAAAATTATAGCTCTTTTTATCGATATTTTATAATATTTTTAAATATTTTGTAACAAGTGGTTGTTTTTTAAAAAATTGCTGAATTATAAAATAATAAACCTAAATTTTAATATTTTGTAAAAGTTTCAAGGTAAAAGTAAGGAGATGCCCATGTAATAAATAAATAAATAAATAAATATTTGCCTTATACATGAATGAATGAATGAATCAAAGTCAATCGTCAACTCTCCTTTGACAATATGAAATGCAAAATTTGCTATAATAAAATCATTTGACGCGCAAAGGAAATATATATAATTCCTTCGCCGAATCGAAAACTGGATTAGCGGCTCTTAAAAAATAGGACAATGTCTGTCCTTTGGAACTCATAAGGGTCGCATATGATGAAATTTCAATTGAAATCTGTAAGAACCGACCTTAGAAATTTGTTCAGGATAGTAAAATAATTAAACAACTCTACAATTAGTTGACTTGATTTTGCCTTTCAGATTGTTTTAGATCTTTTGATAGATAAAAAAATTTAGAAAAAGGAAAACAAGTATGAACTCGGGAAAGAGATTAGTCGCGTGCCAATAGAACGTGAAATACTCAAATTAAATATTTCAAACTCAAACAGGATAGAGGATTTAATAAGAAATGCAAGGGCAACGTTAGAGAGAGAGAGAGCGATTGAATATACGAGCTTTTGCATTTCACTGACTAACATGGCGGGTACCCTAAATTGGGAGCTTGTGAAGGGAGCTATTCTTGCTTGGATATGTGCACCTATAGCATATTGTTTTTATCGTTTCCGTCGTCTGAGTCAAAGAAGAAGGCAGCAGTCGCTGGTTGGATATGCAGAGGAGTCAGAAATATCAGAAACGTTGGAAAATGAAGGAAAAGGAAGGCAATTATCAGGTGTTGAAGATGATAGTATTGGCCGTCGTTATATTTTACCTAAACAAGAAAAGGACTTATGGCGGTTGGTGGAAAAAAAAAAAAAAAAAAAAAAGGAGGCAATATCAGGTGTGAAGATGATTAGTATTGGGGCCGTCGTATATTTCTACTCTTAAACAAGAAAAGACTTTATGGCGGTTGGTGGAAAAAAAAAAAAAAAAAGGAAAAAAAAAAAAAAAAAAGCAGGTTATCGCCCTTTGCGTCTATAGGACGAATCCAGCGATTCAAGATACGAACTTTTCAACTTGGAGGAGCTGGTGCTGGTGCCGCTGGTGATGGTGATGGTGGAGGAGGAGGAGTCAGTGGCACTACCAGTAATGGTGATGACGGTACAAGAAGTGGCGTAAATAGTGGACAAGGATCTAGTGGCGCTTGAGCTGATCATCTACATGCATAACTAGTTTTCTGTGAGCTTTTCAGTTTGTCCTTTTTAATATCAAGCCCACGATTTTCATCTTTCATGTCCATAAACTCCATTAATTTGCAAACACAAAGGACCACTCTCTTTTAATTCCTCAATATCTTGTATCTCCTCTTCATCTATATATGGCTTCAATTACAGAACTAATAACTTCGAAATTGGTATTATTATTATTTTTATCATTATCGAATGCGTTTGAGCTAATATATTACCTCGCATTTTGTACAGGTGATAAAGAAGGCCTTTCTTGCTGTCTTTGGTGGTGGTGGTGGTTGCAGAGCCACCAGGGAAGCGCAAGGAGGCCGCAGTGGTTTTTTCTTGATCTAAGTGTTTTTTGAGACTGTTTAGTAATTTTTCTTGGAATTTCAAAATAAGGAGCGTCAATGTCATTTCAAGAGGGAAAAACAAGAAATGATTTTGTGCTAGAGCTTGGGTTAATATTATTTCTTTTCACGTTTCACGTTGATCTTTATAAAAAAATATCATAAACAAGGCAAGATTTTGATTGATTGGTTCATATCTCCTCAAAAATGGAAATTTTTGTATCTAATCTCTCTATGTAATCCATTTGCTTTCAAATCCACTACCGTATAACTATTTTTTGGTTTTTTTTAGAAACTATTGAAACTGTTGGCTAAAATTAAACAAAAGAAAAATGAAAGAAAAAAGTTTTTTTCAAGGATTTTCAAACTTTATTTATTTTTTCAAATAATAAATTAAAAAGGGAAAAAAAAAACAATGAAACGATCATTTTAATATCCTTAGAATTATTTAATTGATATATGAGTTTGCTCCATATCTTATTAATTAGGATTTACCATTCTATTTTTAGGGCTGAATTCAAAAAAGTTGATATTCTTTAGTTTTTTTACGAGGGGAGGTCCAATGGCTACAAATAATTTTATGGCCTACACAGTAGGGGCAGTATTCCTCTCTGAATAACATTCACCAAATCGATAATAATCTTTACAGTGAGGAAATATGAACTCAAAACCTATCACTCTCTCCATCTTCTACAAGAAATAGGAAGAGCAACTAATAAATATTACATTTTTTTTTATATTCTTTAGTTTTGTTGTGGATGATTTATCTAAATTGATTATTGGAATAGGGAAAAAGTATTTGAATTAATAAATAATGGAAAAGGCTAGAGTCAGTAAGAACAATTAATAAGCACAAGGATTTATAAAAAAAAAAAGGAAAATATGGTAAATAGAGATAAAATAAGGATAATAGAATGATGTCTCTAATATTTCAAAATTGTTTGAAGAACAAAGCAAAGATATCATTGGAACATAAAAGATTTCTATATAAACTTTTTGGCTGCAGCGTATAAATGGTTCCATATACCAAGTCAATTAAAAAATTCTTTTTAAAAAAATATTATTGTTTTGTCCATTTTTCCTGTGTATTGTCAACACACACGAAGTATAGATGAGTATTTTTCTAGATTTTATATAGAGGTATGGATTAAACATAATTTATTATTTTTATTTTAAATATTATAAACACATAAATAACTGAAATAATTTAATTATGATCAAAATAGCATAAGATTTTATGTATTTTTCTGACTTGTTATACAATTTTCAACAAAGAATTATGTTAATGAAATTTATAGAATAAAAAATAAAAAAAAATGAGCGATAAATGAATTAAAAAAAACATTTGATTGTGATTTAGAAAAAAAAAATTCTGACTTGTTATACAATTTTCAACAAAGAATTATGTTAATGAAATTTATAGAATAAAAAATAAAAAAAAATGAGCGATAAATGAATTAAAAAAAACATTTGATTGTGATTTAGAAAAAAAAAAATTAAGCGAGTTAGAATTTGAATCTGAAAAAAAATATTATATGTATAAAAATTGTGCAACCCACAAGCATGCATGCAGACTTGTATCTTAGAAAAGTATCTTTGAGCAACGTAAAATTAACCTAATAAGTAATACAATAATATTGCAAATAGTGTTGATGTTCATAGAAGGAGAAATGAAACCTAAAAAATTTTCCAGAACTCCTTCAATGGTTCAATCATGTATCTATCATATCCAAGATCCAAAATAATAATAATCCTAAATCCTAATAGTTATAACTCCACATATGTTTGAAAATACTTCTCCTCAGATCTCTGTCTTTCAAGCTTCCATCTTCTTTTCATTTTCTGTATGAATTCTTCTGCACTTGCATCCACTCCTTTTAATTGAATTTTGTCATCACCTCCATAACTGTCCACACCGTCACCATCCTGATCATGACAAGCACCGCCATCCTCCTCCTTGTCATGGTGGTGGTGACATGGAAGAGACTGGGTGGTTCTTGTCGTACTGAGAGGTTTTGGTTTCTTAAGACGGATTAATTTCTTTTGGAGTGTGGATTTGAAGCCTTTCCATGTTTTGTTTGTTGAAGGCTTCTTTTCTGGTGTGAAGCAAGACATGGCTGATTGGTAGATTATGAACAATGGGTTCTTTTAGGGTTTTGATCTTTTTTGTTTCAAGAAAATGAAAGAGATGGTACAATTAATATATACCAACCTTGCAAGATAGTTGCATATATGTTCCAAATCTACAGCAAAAATCTTTTTGAATCTCTGATTTAGGATAATGCATTTTGATTCTAAAACCTAAGCGTCCATAATTACATTTCAAAAATCAGTAAACGGGATATGGATATAATGTACCAGAAATGGTAATTCAAACAACTTAGATATGGATATAATGTAGCAGAAATGGGTAATTAAAAGAACTTTCCTTTTTTCTCTGAAATTCTTTCTTTTAAAGCAGGATTTTTCAAAATTGAACTTTAAATATATATGAATCTAAGATTTTTACACAGAAAGAATCAGTTCTTGGTCACTCATCAGGTTCAAATGGGAATCAGACTAGAATAAGAAAAGTCCGGACTATAATTGAAAATTTTCTTCTCTGTTTTTGTTTTTGCTAAGAATATGGAAATGGTCGGATTATTAGTTAAAGGATTGAATGCCTAACTATTAACATGGAAATTTCCCAAATAGCAAAAAGAAAATAATTAAGAAAAAAAAGTTAAAACAAATTGGTGTAAATCCAAACCAGTTAAAAATCAACTATATCAATGTTTTGCATTCATCATTTCTCTTTGTTCATAACTAAGTTTGTACTAATATTAAGTAGAAAATCATTTGAAAACATCTCTCAATATGATTCTAAGTCTATCTCTTTCCCTTTTTAACATATTTTATTATTGATAATCCGAATAGAATAGCTCAGTAACAAAGAACACTCTTTCCCTTTTTAACATCTTTTATTATTGATAATCCGAAGAACACTCTTTCCCTTTTTAACATCTTTTATTATTGATAATCCGAATAGAATAGCTCAGTAACAAAGAACACTCCGAGAGTTCAATAATAAGGAGCACTTCAAAGATTGATTTGATCACCATGACTTAAATTATAAATTCAATACTCCGCAATGCAAACTCCTCGGGCCAGCCCTATTGCGTCTCAAGTTTAGTTGAAAAAAATCTTTTATTATTGATGTATAGCAATTATCTCCAAAATGTACTACTCGCACCTTTTGTTGGGTGTGCCCGTTTCCAAATTTATGTAAGCTTTATATAAAGTTTGGAGCTATATAAATGAACCTATTAATTTATAACTTATAATTAAAACAAACTAAATCAAGCATAGGAATCAATTTTTATTATATATAATATATAGTATAAAAAGATGCTCTCAATCTATAGAATGACACTAAAATCGATGTACACCTACGCAATGGTGAAAATTTCTTTTTTAAGGTCATCCAAATTCTGTCTGGTCTTGATCTAAATTACTTGCCCTATATAAACTGCTATGTTTTAATCGTACGGATTTCTGAAGTTCTTCAAGAGATCTGGAATGTCATAGCCAAGCATATCATCAACAGCTTGTATCATTTTAGGCTTTAACTTCTCAAACTTGTCAATGTTGTAACCACTCAAAACCTCTCTAAAGTGCTCAACATTTGGAAAATCACCTGGAGGTAAATGAAACTCTCTCTGAACCTGCAGAAACAAGAACATGGTAAATTCCACACACACACACATATATATACAAGATAAACATGATATATGTATATGTGTAGAGAGAGAGAGAGAGAGAGAGAGAGAGAGGTGGCGGGAAGAGATGAAACCTTTCCAAACTCATCTGCCAAACTATCAATAAGCCGCTGTTGAGTCTTTGCTTTACCCATCATTGCCGGCATCTCCTTTTTAAGATGGCTAATAATATAAGCATGAATCTTGGCAGCTCTAGCTCTTTTGACAAATTCATTAATCTGTAAGAATTTAGTGTCATCAGCTTCAAGTAGACAGATTTTTTCCCTAGAAAAACTACTTGGAGAAGATGGTTTAACCAGGTTCAAGTAAATGATTTGGCCATACAAATTGAGCTTGATTTCATACATGCTGCATAATATGGTATATGGATTATATGCCATTCCATGTATCCACCATGCATGTAGACGAAAAATAACAACCTCAACGCAAACAAAATGATAAACTCACTCGACGGTCACAAGCCTTCTTTGGTATATCTTTTAGATCAGACAGAAGGTCTTCCTGTTCTTTCTCAAAAAGTTCCTTCCCTATTGGGCCAACTGCAGCTTCATTTACTGGTTTGTCATTGAATGAGCTGCCAAACAATCAGAGACATTAGTTTTTCATGACATAAACAACATGAAACAACTTTACAACAAAAAGTTGAGAACCAAAAACCATCTTTTGTGGGTTTTGTTTTCAATGATCCACTTTAGGACCACAACCAATTCAAGAATTTTAATAAACAAATAAACCCAGCCTAATAACATCAGGTTGCATATTTTCAAAGGTTGTGATTTGGACTGAAAGCATTCTTCACAAGATAAGAGCAAGCAAGTAAGCAGTACAAGTCCAGGTCTTTTCGCATAGCAATCACTCTATTAATATGCTGAAGGGGGATCTTGTCGAACATTATACTATGCATTTGAAATAAATTAATCAATAAAAAACCTACCCAATATAAACACGCACAACTTCAGGAGTATTAACAACTTTCCCAAGTGACCACATCAATGCGCCATAAACCCTCATTAGCTGCAGAAATAGGACCAAATCAAGTGGTTAAAATGCCACAAAATAATATATAAGACAACGAGAGAGAGAGAGAGGGAGAGAGAGATCACCACACGATACACATGCATGCTAACTTGTATATGCGCAAATTTTATATACAGTGAAGAGTCCAAAACAATACGTTGTTGAATAAAATTCTTACTTGCTGAGTATCAACTTGGTCTGCCTTGTTGAGAACCACACGAATTTTATCATCATGACCACGCAATGATGAAATCACACGCTTGAACTCATCACTAACATCAAGTTTGTGAGGATCAAACAGAAGCAGAATGAGATCACACTTCGCCGCAAACCAAGAGGTCACACCAGTAAAATCATAAGCTCGCTGTGTTCGTTGTTTCTCTCCTGATAAAACTCCTGGTGTGTCCACAAATGTAATATGCTCCAGCAACTTCAAGCACAAAAATACACAATATATATATTTGAATGCTCCTGATTAAAAGTTAATAACGTCTTTATTGATTATAGATTCCAAGACTCACAGGATGAGGCATTTGCGAACATTCAAATTTCGACAAAAATGCAGTTCCAAAAGTTGTGAGTCCATTAAATGGCATATCTGCTTGGACAGCCACTGTGTTTCCTGGAATACTCCTTTCATCAGTACCAGACTGTACAAAGAAACAACTAAGTTTTAAAAACTAATGCTAAAAATTACTTAAGAGATGTAATGTGGATCACTCAAAAAAGGATAGTGCTTAAACTTATTTATTTATTCTTTCTACAGTGTATTACAAGTTTAATAATTAACAATACCCTCAATGCTGAGAGTTCAATCACTAGATCTAGCGGTAATACTATAGATAATCATTTTATTGCACAGTGTATGGTGTACCATTTGCATTTTAAAACAATAATAGGAAAAAGCTTTAGCATACCAGATTTAGCAATGAAGAAGAAAAATCAGCACGATAAAAAAAATAAATAAATAAAAGATGAGCCGATGCTGCAAAAATAAGAAAACAGTCAACAACTTTCATCAAATTACTGATAGCAAGCCAAAAGAAGAAATTTGGCATATTGTTTAAATTAAAGGTAGTCTTTACTATTTATTGATGTTAAATTTCAATAGCTATAACTGAAATGTGTCCAAGAAGCAACAAGCAACAACAATTAATGAAGAGGCATTAACAATATTGGTAACATAAACAACTATCATTACCATGACAACAACAAATCTGTCAGTAGTTGGCTCAGGTCCAATATGAGCTCCTGTCATAAAAGCAAGGAAAAAAAAAAAAAGAAATGAATGAGTAAAAGAAATGGGAAATTACTTGCATATTTTTCCCCTTTTTTTTGGGTGGGAGGAGGGAGGCGGGGTGTCAACAGGGGAGAAAGAGCACTCACCAGGATAACTAGTTTTAAGCAAATGTTTGATGAATGTTGTTTTTCCAGTGGAATATTGACCCAATAGCATAACCATCGGTTTGGCATCAAAATCACTGCTTGTCTGCATAAACAAATGCACATAACCTATAAGTTCATACTACCATGGCCAGGAATCTGGAAATATGAAACTAAACTGAAAACTGATTGGATACATAATCTGGGTAATACATCACACGCCAAAGCTATTGCTTACTTACCAATAGTGGAGATACAAAATCATTAAATCGATAAGCAACTTCCAATGGCTTCAGCTTCTGAATGTACAGTCTCTTCAAGCCATCAATGATAGATGTAACAGAGGAAAGAGATATCTAAGCAGATATCATAAATTTTAGGCACAAGAAATGTAAAAAGATGTAAGTTAGATGACAATAATAAAGAAGCATGTATCTTATATTATAAGCAAATACAAGGAAACAATCCAAACACAACAATTATGCATGAACTAGGAACTACAAAACATATATCTTTTATTATAAGCAAATACAAGGAAACAATCCAAAGCAAATACAAGGAAACAATCCAAACACAACAATTATGCATGAACTAGGAACTACAAAACATATATCTTTTATTATAAGCAAATACAAGGAAACAATCCAAACACAACAATTATGCATGAACTAGGAACTACAAAACATATATCTTTTATTATAAGCAAATACAAGGAAACAATCCAAACACAACAATTATGCATGAACTAGGAACTACAAAACATATATCTTTTATTATAAGCAAATACAAGGAAACAATCCAAACACAACAATTATGCATGAACTAGGAACTACAAAACATTACACCACAGGCTGATGATTAAGTGTGCAAACATGTCCAGTAAATTAAGAGGAAATAACAACAAACTTGACAGATTCCATAAACATAAACAAAAATGACAATCAGAGTTGGAAATAAAACTTTCTATGGGACAAGCAATAAAATAAATCACATTACATAACAGAGGTGGTAAACTCAGATCATCTTATACAAACTCTTCAATTTTATTGGATAAGAAGCAGTAAAATCAAGACAACTTCAACCAACCAATGATGTATGATTGGATCTACCAAGAATAGTAACTAGCAGAGCATCAAGAAGGAGTATCACAAAATTTTGCAGCGCAGCAAGAATGGGAACACATGTGACTGTAAGGAAAAAGAACTGTTTGCACTGAAAAAAAAAAAATGGGAAAGGAAAAAGAATAAGAACACCAAGCATGAGATCAGGAAAATTCTAAAAATCCTGCAAAATAAAAATTAAGGATAAGTATGAATCAAAAAAATTATAAAGATAATCTTGTATACTAAACTATTGAAATTATAATCTTTATTGAACAGCTCTTTTAATTATCTCACCCTATTGCCTCCCACTCTACATTCTCCAACAAATATCTAAATCCCAGTAACAGTCCTTTTGACTCTGGAAAAAAAATGAATTCTTCTACTGTAAGTATAATGAAACTTATAAATTCTTCCTCATTTTCTAATCCATATATTTGCTCTTTTGGTTTTTTCCCCCAAACCAAGCTAACAACTCAAACTTTGGTGCATCAAATGAATCTAAGGATTAGGTCCAAACCTTCTACTCAAATTCGTAATGGTTAGTTCCCAATCTAATTCATGCACAGTACTACCCAGAAGGCAAAGATTATTTAATGCAATAATTTCTTAAAGTAAGTGGAAACATGGAATTGTGTCAGCACAAGATCAAGAAACACAAACAAATTCATAATAACAATTAAATAACTTAGTGATCTCCTATTCAATCCTCATGGAAACTCAAGCCTATAATGAGATGTAATCCTCAGCATGACTTGACGATACGATTACAATTATCAAGAGCATCTCAGTCATAGACAATACATGAAACGTATCAAGCTTAAACCAACTGGAAGAGCCTGTCTTGCTAGCATACACAAAAAAGAAAAACAGACAGCCTTATCAATGAGTGTTAGCTACCAATCACATGTATCATCATTCAAAGTCAGTATACATACATGAAGAACAAAAAGAAAAAAAACAGGTCTGTTATACATTATAAACTGAACAACATAACTAATTAGAATCTAAGTGTCAATTCCCATGCCCAACACAAACCTTTTTTGATGATTTTGAAGAAAACCAGTTGGCTGAAGGTGACGGTTGCACTAGATGACTACCTGCATTTTTTGAAGATCATTGAATAGACAATTATTAGAAAAGAAAATTACAAATATTTATATATCAACAATGAAAGGAGTTCTTACCATTTGTATCAGGTTCACTTGACTTTGACAAACGCTTTTTCTTCTGCCATGAATTAAAGTAAAGAATTAAGAATTTACACAGAAAGAAACAAACAAGAAAAATTTTAATTAGCTCAAAAATAATAGCACACTTACTGCAAGCAACAAATCCAAACCGTCCATGAACGGAGTTTTCAAATTTTCAAAGTCAACTGCAAATATACTAACATAATATTAAAACATCAACTTAAAATCAAAAACTGAATAGGAAAAAAATCTTCAAAACCCAAAATTGTAAAACAAATAAATAAACAAGGACAAGCCTAGAAAGCTTACTATTACTATTTAAGAGATCATGAGTTATTTCATGTCCTGCTTGCGCTAAAGAAATTAACTACACTTCAAAGCATCAGTTGATCAGTAAATAACAATTAATTTAATATTAAACCTCATAAAAAGTACTAACTAAAACCTGCATAGCAGTGATAAACTCATTGAAGCCAAGATATCCTTGTCGTTTAGAATCTGCAATTGCCCAAACCTTTTAAGAAATTGGGAAAAACAAACAAAAACAGTAAAAATGTTTAGTTTAACCTAATAATATGAAGCAATAATAGGATTGAAAAAACAGAATTCAAACAGAAGCAAGAAATCAAACCTGCTTAAGATCTTGTCGAGATAGATTAGACATGCCAAAAAATTTTATAGCGTCATTGCCAGTAATTCGACCATCGCCATCTAAAATCAAACAACACACTCTCATGTACAGTGTTAATAAGTAATAACTTCAAAAAAATATAGAAAAACAATAGCAAATGCAGAAGAAGAAGAAAAATGTACCTGAATCAGCAAAATTAAACCACTCAAGGTAGATCTTTTGATTATCTTTAGAGCAAGAACCGATTGGTCCTGAAGATATTTCCATAATCGCAAGACGATCAAGTGAAGGAGATGTTTTTATCTCTTTTTCTCCGTTTCGAATTTTGAAGTACTGTTTTTGCTGAATCTTGCTTTTAAACTTTGAATGTGAAGTAAAATATTTGGTAAAGGAACACTTTCTTCGGTTTCTCGCGTTTTTTCGGGAGAGTCCTTACGGCCGACGGAAAGAGTTAAGAGTCTGGCGCTTGAAGGAAAACGGTGTCGGTTTCTGCAAGTTGGGTAATTGCTAAGGCGCGTGCCTGACCGAACTGTTAACGGTATCTTAAAAAATGAACTGTAAATCTGCAAGTTTTCCCTATCATTTTTAAATTTAAAATTAATATAAATTAATTAATTAATTTGATAAAAATTAAATTTAAATAATTAAGAGTATTTAATCAAATTCATAACATTGAGATTTTTTTGTTGGAATCATATATTTAATTCAGATTCTCAAACAAGGTATAAAATTATATATAGCTAAACTAACAAGTTTGAAATATATAAAGTTAAAACTAACTTGACAAAAACAGATTTCAAATATCATACCATTTTGAAATAAACAAAAAAAAATTATTAATTAATGGTTCTCAATTTTGATAAAAAAAATTTAAAAAGTACATTATTGCAACGTACGCAACAAAGTTGAAGACCTTAAAATATATATTTATATCAATCTGTAAGAGTGTTGCAACACGTGGCACTATTATGATGTTGCAAGAAGAAAAAGAATTAAGAGAAAATTAGCAAAAAAATATTATGTGAGATTTATAGTAATTTATATAATTAATGTTAAGAATTAATGTTTTTACTGGTATTATATATTTTTTGTTACGAATTAAGACAAATTGCAATTTTACTTAAGATATTACCATAAAATGTGTAAAAATTGATAATATAAACTATGAAATAATATGTACTAAATAAAATTTATAAATCATAAACAATTATATACAGAAATAAAGGAAGAGAAAATATATATTTCTATATATACTAATACAATTCGTAAATTATAAATTACGAACTAAAATGTATAATAACAAAGCATCACGCACAATGCAAGGCCTTATAAATTATAAATTATATACAGAATACCGATAGAATGAAAATACTACATAAACTGATACAAAAGCATTTAAGTCCAAACATGTCATTATAAATTAACTAGTACTATTATCAACAAGAAAAAACATACAACGAAAGAGGATACTATACAGACACACATAATGGTCAAAATAAATAAAAATGAATTAATATAAATTAAATTATTAAAATACTGTGATCCGATCTCTCTTCCACTCTATAAAAGCCGAACCATCGTTGAATATGGTGAAAAAATATATCCATTTTCTCAAGAAATACCAACAGTCTTTCCAAGCAACCACAGTACAAGAGCTAACTCAACTCCAAAAATGGAGTGTAATGTACTTCGATCCAGGGTGAACCCGTACACTGTAATCCCAGCTCTGTTGTTCTCAAAATAAGTCACTGCCCATAACAAAAATTAATCAAAATTTAATCACACCATGACCAGTAATTAATCATATGTACCTTAAATAATAAATTTCGAGTACTAACCCAGAGCTTGTCTCTTCTGGAATGAAATGGTACTATATGCGTATGCCGGAATCAACTTAGAGTTATCTAATTCGTCTTCTTCGTCGCCTACATCGTCCGCTTCTTCTGATCCATCCTCGGTGGAAGATGTTACACGTTGAAACCTTGGAGTTTCACCCTCACTTGCATCAAATGAGTCTAATGTTGCACAAATATGCCACTTTGCAGCCAGGTTAGTAACTGATTGAGCTTTGTGTGTGATTTTTGTAGCACTCCGCAGTAAAATTAGCAGCCCCGTTACAAGGGTTATAGAGCATAGCTACAAATTTTTTTCAAAAAGAAAAAACAAATTACTGAATCCAATCATTTAATGACTGATTTAATGATGTTATAATGAGCATTTGGTTGCCAAAATCTTATAAAAAAGTTTGATTTGAGAAAGTAAAATTCTAATATTTGGTAAAGAAGTTCTATGAAAATTCAATTCTTGGACCCTATCCCGGTTTTCTCATGTGTGCTAGTAATAAATTTAGTGATTACTGATGAAACTAAAAAAGTCTAATTATGAACCAACAAGTTTTTTTGGGGTCGTAAACGTTTTCAATTCTGAGTATACAAGTTCGATACAGTGACATACCGCGAGTTCTCCAGCTCTGTACAAATCAACAACAGCACCAGACTTGGTGGTTGTAAGCAATGAAGCAAACTGGCTCCCAGTAACCAAAATCAGTGCCCACAAAACGAAAAACCGATACCGATGGCTAATAATCCTCAAATGCCTCCTGATCCTAAGATGCTCAGATAGAACAGACTCAACATCAGAGTCAGTTTGGAAAACTTTAGCAAAGTCTTGGAGACGAAGGATCTGCAGGTGGCAAATCAGGTGGAAAAGAACACACACTAGGAATATTATAGTTGTCCGGTAAAGCCAAGAGCATAACTCCATTATGCAAGCAACGGTGTCGCTTAGAATGACATTACCCAAGAATGGGATTTGAGAGGCACCAGAAGCATACCACCATATCTTGTATGCTGATTCTGCTATGAAGCATGGAGCTACAAAGATTGACAGAAGCTGTAATGAACGCTGCATAAAGAATTAAAGAAGTTATGTCAAAACCAGCAAGGGAAAAAAAAAATCACATCGATGGTCAGTGAGTGGCCCACCAAAGCATAAATGTTCTTTCTTTCTTTCTTTCTTTCTTTCTTTATTCATTTCACGTGGCCATGAAGTAAAGGAACATGAGTCTGAGAACCTTTCACTTTGTTTTATTGCACTTATTCAGTTTGGCTTATTAAAATTAAATTTCTAGATTCATCGTTGCAATAATGTTTAATGAATATTTTCTTTCAAACCAAACACAAAATTTGCATTTAAGAAAAAAAAAAAAGTATTTCCGTCAAATAAGGTATTAAACTTTTTTCCATTAATGAGAATTCCAGAAGTCCGCTGTTCTCTCTCACTGTTTGGAAGAAAAGAAAATAATTTTAAAAAATAATAAAAACATTATTATTTTCTCTTATGAAAAGAAAAAATCAGCCAAACACAAATCAAAACCAAAAACATAATTTAGAGTAAAAAGAAACGGTAGACGTACATTGAGCTGATTTGTGTAGCCTTTCCTCACAGTCTCGCTTTCATCGCAGAGCTTATCAAAGAACAAAAACCTTCTCAATCCATATTTACTAACGAATCTGGACAAACAAACAAAAGACAAAGTCGCGACGCTACTTAGCGACAATTGCACAACGCTATCATAAGGCCTTTTGTGTTTGCCATCGCAGGTACTACAAGCTAACAGGAAATGAGAAATCGCAGGAACGATAATGGAAAATAGAATGAACATAAACCAAGAGAGACAAACGAGCCATATATTTGATTGATCTACACACATCCATCGGAGATAGTATCTAAAGCTCTGTAATTCATCATAAGCATGTGATACACTTCGCTTGAATTTGTCATTTGGCCTTGCTATTAAAGTTTCTTCCATGGTTAATTTCGGGGTTGGACTAGTTTTGGAAGAAGAAGAAGAAGAAGACGATGGTAAAATGAGAGACGAGGGAGAATTTTAAGCAGAGATTTGTTGCGTCCGTTGTGAGGTTGGTGTTTTTTTTTTAAAAGAAGAGACGTCGCTGAGAATTCAGCGACTCTGTTACAGCTGGGCCTCGCCTCTGTTAATATAACTGACCGGAGAAGTCGCTAGTAATTTGGGCGCGTGTTAGGCAGTGCCTAATAAATGATTGCGTGGCGAGCTGATTGGTTTGATTTGTTATAAGAACACCAAATCCAACCTAAAGCATGGTACTATTTATTAGCAAATAATTTCTTTTTCTTTTTTTTTTTTTTTTTTGGTTTGGATTGTTATAAGGAACACCAAAGTCCAACCTAAAGCATTGACTATTTATTAGCAAATAATTTCTTTTTCTTTTTTTTTTTTTTTTTTGAAATTTTTTTTTTTTTTTTTGAAAATTATTAGCAAAGAATTTCGTTTGATCAGCCATAATACTATGTAATATTTTGTAGTTAAAGATATTTTAATACTCTTTAATGAAATATAATTAAAGATATTTTATTTCTTAATATTAAATTAAGCATAATTTAAATCCGAAGCTATTATCAGATTATAATACATTTAATATTAAATTATACTTTTTAATATGCAAACTGTGAGTAAAAGTGTCTTTACGGAATCATTATGTTTTTGTAAAGAAGTAAGTAGTACATTAGAAAGATAAGAAGTTAATTGCACATTTAAAAAGGAAAATGGCTAATTTACAACAAGTGAAAAATAAAACTAAGTCTATATTATATTATTAATTACGAGTATATTGTTTATAATTTCCTTAAGGAATATATAAAATAAATAAATATAATATCACCTAATTACACTTTTGAGGAATTTATCACTTTATTAAATCATAAAATATTTAATAATCTTTCATTATACAATTAACTATTAAGTAATGCTTGATGACTTACTACCGCGGTGATAATGCGAGCCTCTATAAGGGAAGAAAATATTCTTTAGAAAATAACATTGAAATAAAATAAAATTATAATTCTAATTTAGTTTCCGTTTATTTCCATAAAATAATTTATAGGAAAATAATTTGTTGAAAATTATTTTCTAAATGACTTATTTTTCGTTATTTGGTTGTAATATTGAAAATTAGTTTAAAATATTAAAGTCTTTATATCATAAAAAATATTAATAATAATAGAAATATTAATAATAATAGAAATTATATAATTCAAAAATTTTATTGTTAAATATGAAAAAAATGTAAAAAAAAAAAATTTAATTATGAAAGCCGTCAGTGACCGGTGGTGGTAGCTGATAGTGGTGGACGGTGATAAATGGTAACTGGTGGTAGTAATTATGATGGTTAATAAATTAAAAAATATGAATTTATAAGGTTTGTTAAGTCTGAAAAATATTTTACTCTCTCAAAAGTGGAAAGTTGTTTTCCTCAAAAAATGACTTAATTTTTCTTTGACTAGGAAAATAATTCCCGTTGATTTATTTTCTTGAGCGCTCCAAAAAACGGAAAATTTCAAAAAATATTTTCCTATAAGTTATTTTACGAAAACGAACGGAGCCTTAGTTTCATTTTATTTCCAACATGGTAAAAAATTAATGACTTCATCCCTAAAAAAAATAAATAAAATCCATTACCAAAAAACAAAGGGCATAGAATACAAAAATTACTATGACATTCATAATTCAGCAAATGGTTAAATATTTGCGTACCTAATAAATTTTAATCATTAAAAATTTACCGTGGGACATTCCATTCGTCTCGCTGTCAACTTAATTATTGTAATATAATCACATGTCCAAGGAAGTCATTTTCCTTTTTGCTCTTTTTATCAATTTTCAAATGAAAAATAAATTTTTATTTTGCTGTATTTATATCGTAACTGTTATAAATATAAAAATTTTATCAATTTTCAAATGATTTCAAGTTAACGTTTCTGATTAAAATTTACCGATGAGTATTGAATAAATGGTTCAAATATTATTTTTTCTCAAATAAGATCGAGAATTTTATCTTTTTTTAATGGAACAAATATTCATTAAAAATATTTTATTTTTTTAGTGAATCGATTCCAAAAAAACGATTGATCAAATTGTAATTGTTCTTTTTTATTAATGGAATGACAGAAAATAAAAGTTATAAGGTCTCGAGTTTGATTCAGATTATTATTTACGGATGTTTACTCTTCATGCGCAATCTATCTAATTAGAAATGATAATAATAATAATAATAATTAACAATTATTAAAATGATAATCAAAAGGTATGAATATCATAAACATAAAATACAGCTGGCCATGAAACCTGTACACAAGACGTGTACAGTGCTACCGTCATTTGCGGAAAGGGCCAACATGCCGATGCCACATGGGATGTCAATAATCACCCGTAAGTGTTATAATAATCGTTGTAAGACTTTGTTTGCAGAACTTTTTATTTGTTAATATCAAAAATAGGCTATACGTGTCTTAAATCCAATTTATGTATCTGGTATTATTATCATCCAAACAACGGTTTTGATTAGCGGTGAATTACTATTAATCCCGGTAATTTATTAAAATTCATAAATTAAGCTATTTATTTTTTAAAATAAATTAAATAGTCTCTCTATTTTGTTGTTCTTTAATTAAGTAACACTTCGTTTAACCAAAATAATGCTAATAAAATATAATGTTACTCCCAATAAGATTTGGAATATCTTTGCCATACCAAAACTCTAAATTTTTTATTTTTATAATAAAAGCCACAAATATTAATTTACAGATAAAAAATCATTAAAAATAACAACCATTGACATATCAATACAATAAATTAAATTTAAGTGGAAAATAGAAATAAAAAAAATTTTGTTTGACTTATTTTTTAGTTGAATAATAAAAACAAATAAGAAATTTTAACAGTCGGATTTAAAGGGACTATTTAATAGATATTTGAAAATAAATTATCCCGATTTGTAAATTTTATTAAACTATTGGAGTTAAATAGTAAATCGCCATTTGATTACAGAAGAAGAAAAATAAATAAATAGGACTTAATAGAAAATTGCATAAGCCGCATTCTATAGTCAGCTGAACTGCTCTCAGATGCTATTGTTGTCAAGGTCTGATTGGTTGATATATAAAATAAAGGATTCAATTATTTCTTCTATTTATTTGTCAAATTATTATTATTATTTTAGAAAATATTGAATTCATTTTGATTGATAGAAACCGAATTTTCAAAAAGAAAATATTTTGTCACTCTGTGTTTGCAAGCATCTGATTAATTGACTGAAAGCCTCTTACAATATGAAAGGGTCACCTTCATCCTCCATTTACTATGTTTTGTTTATTAGAAGTGAAGATAGGATGTGGGTATGTGCTTAAGCTTCATTGCTTCCCTATTTGTAAGAGAATTATAAAATGGGCTAAGCAAGATTAAAGTAATTAAGATTGATTTAACAAACAAAAATTGAACCAACTACTACTAATTGAAAACAACAAATATCTATGGATAAACTCACTTAAATCCTGAGAAATAATTAAGATAATTAATCTTAATTATTTTGTGTATGAAATAATTAAGCTTTTGCTTTGTAAATGATGATCAAAGTGCATGAGAATTTGTGTATGAAATAATTAAGATAATTTTGCATCTATTAGATTCAAGTTTTTTGTATTTGAGAATAGGAACTATGCGTTAAGATCTTAAATAAGATGGAAAAGTAGTCATTCCAAAAATAATGAACAAAATTTTGCAAAATGCGGTGAGCGTGGATCGAACACGCGACCTTCAGATCTTCAGTCTGACGCTCTCCCAACTGAGCTATCCCCGCTTGAATGAGTAATTGGTTCAGATATAATTTATTTAAAGTTTAGTCAAGGATTCATTAGAGAAGAAAGGACCTCACTAGCCCACAGCCATACCTTCATATTTATTTAAATTAAAATAGGAGGGATGACAGTTAATGTTCATTTACAAGTTAATGTCATAAAATAATTCTTTGTAAAAAGATCTTTTGCATTTAAACTAATTATAAAGTTTATTTTAAATAAGCAAATCTATTATGTTATACTTAAAATTTTATTAATTTTTAGAAGGGTCAGTTTTATAACAATAGGGAGTTTGGTCCCTCTTATTCATCGAGAGTCAATATTTAGTTAAGATCAAACCAAAAAACAATAACTTTAACCGTATCCAATATAAGCTTAAAACCATATAATTTAGAATCATTTTTCATTTATATTAAACATAAATACAATCATTAAAAAAAAAATTTTTTTAAACGAAATACGTAAAATCTATAGTCAATGCATTTATAACAAATTCTTATAAACATTATTTGCATTTTGAAATTTCTTTTATCATGTTAAATTTGATTAACTGACCAAGTAATATGAGCATTTTCATTCGTCTCAAAAACAGAAAAAAGAAATTTCAACTAAATTTCACAAAATTTAATAGTACAAATTCTGAATCGAAAATCACCTGATGCGATTTTGAAATAAAATTTCAGATACCTAAAAAGTTTTGGCAGGAGAAATCAATTTCGCTTTAGGAAGCAACCAATCATAGACCTGGTTTGTTTCGAAACTTTTGCATATGGAAAAGAATCACACATAAATCCAATAATTGGCTACTTCAAATCAGTAGAGTTTTTACCCTTAATTCATAATATCAGTTAATACATCAGAAAAACTTGAGAAAAGCTAAATAAGATGGAGATAATTAAATGGGAGAATTAACAAAGTTGAGATGGTTGTTTGGTGACGATTGACAAGGCTTGTAGTTTATAGAGGATGATCAATATGCAAGCAGCAACTAGTAACAATACAGCTGAAATGGCCATTCACATGTAGAGAAGGTTAGCTCAGATGCAAACAAATATAAACCAGGTTCCTGTAAAATTCAAACCTGAACCAAGAGGAGATTGGCCTAGAGAGAAAGTAGCTTGCACGTTTATGTCTCATTTTTAGTGGTAGATGGAGAAAAGAAAAAATTTTCCACCATCAAATTTGATATTGAACAGCATTAACTTGTGCATCGATGAGAGAATAGGTGGCTTTGTGTTTCGGTTATTAGGTTTCCTATAACTACACAAAAATGCAAACTAGTTTAGCTGCAACATAACTAGAAACTGAAGATAAGCATCTTGGTAAACACCAAAAGACAATTGGGGTTAAACCTAAAAGATAGCACTCCAATTCCCTAATAAAACCGATCAACAATTCTGCAATTACAAAATCTCACATCCTGACTCATTTAACCTGGAATCCACTGCCCTAGGAAAGTGATTTGGGATAGAAATGTTAAACCCAGATAACCATATACAGCCATAAGGATAAGGATACTTATTCTAACAAGAACTCTTACTTACAAGATAAAATGACCCTACTCCAAATGCTGGAGTTTGGCACGACTTGTATCCTCCACCATATGGCTGCCCAAATGGCCACCCATAATTTCCTACTTTCCTAATGCTCAACTTGAAGCATCTAAGAAACCATTCAAACATAATAACAAAGTCACAAAGGTGAAAACGATGTATCAGCTACAACAACACCATCCTTGAGACCCTGAAAATCAAAGATCACTCTCTTTCTTTCTTAGAAATGCAAGCAAACACATCACCAAAGCAAATATGAGGCTAAAGCAAAAAAAATATAAACGAGAAAGGAAAGGGTTCCTTTCTCCTTTATCTTCCAGCCATCTCATTAACTTCTTTATCCAAATCAAGCAAAGCCCAATTAGTAAAAAACCAAATAAAGTGATCATATGTTCTAAGTTACCACAAACAAGAACCAAAGGTAGTAGGAACACAAATAGGAAGAAAAAAATCAATTTCTTTTCTATTAAAAGAAGAAAAACTAAATCAGGCATTTTATTTACAGAGATGGATTGGTAACTAGTAACTAAAGTGTCCATCATAATCTGATCAACAATATCATATAAATGAAACACCAAACGTGCATACTCATACAGATTAATATCAGCTTATCTTAACCTAATCTGATATTTTTCTTTTTTTTTTTTTTCTTTTTTGATCCGCACAATAATGTTAAAAAAAAATTAATTTTTTTATCATTTAATAATCGTAATCGTCATCATCATAATCATCAAAGGCATAGAGCAGTACACTGGAGATCATCAATTGGAAAGTCAACCTGATCCAACGGTGGAAAATTCAGATCGAAAGGTAAGGGCTTTCTGCACAAGGAAGACGATGATGCAATGTCTCCATTGTCAGCCACCGAAGACGATGAATCACAATCGCTATGACAATCCTCTGGCACAACCGGTGGAGTTTTCCGATGGTATTTTCTCGGAGCCGTAGTCGTCAACAGAAGCCCCGATTTTTTTGTCGTTGTCGCCGGCACCGGTGGCCTGGGACCGCTAAAAGACTCCACTGTACTGCTCTGGCTGCTAGATGTGGGTCTTTGGGGATTTACGTGATGCTCTTGAAACCCATTTGATGTATATAACCTGTGATCAATTAACGTGTCGGATGGGTTTTGGTAGGTGAAAGGAGATAATTGAGAGGTAGAGAAGGGAAAATTAGTTTTAGCCTTTGACCCACGGAGAGACCGGGCGGCGGCGTCGTAGGCACGGGCGGCATCCTCAGCGGAGTCGAAGGTGCCGAGCCAAACCCTTGTTTTTTTCCAGGGATCTCTGATCTCGGCGGCGAATCTACCCCATGGTCTTTTACGAACTCCTCTATATCTGGGTTCTTTACCCTTTATGCTATTTTGAGGTACAGATCCATTTGGCTCCACCACTTGTTTAGCTGCGGAGGCGGCAGCGGTGGCTACTCTTCCTCTCCTCATAGGAGTTCCGATTTGTGAAGGAAAAAAAGGGGTGGATTGTGAGAAAGAAAGGAGAAAACCCACAATCAGCACCAAATCGGCAAATCGGAAACAACTGGTGTTATTTTGAATCGACCATTTTTTTAGAAAATGGATTCAACGGAGAGGAGGGAAAGAGAGGAAGGTCTTCTGGGTTAGAGGCAGAGAGGAGGGGATAGGTGGGTCAGGAACCGGATGGCATAACAAAGCCAACACTTTCTCTTCTGCCCATTTTATTTTTGTATTTTTTAATTTTTGTTTTTGTTGTTTTTAATAGCATTTCATTTGGTTCATGGAACATGACAATATAGTTTTTAAAAAATCTAATATATGAAAATGATCACATGGTAATGTGAAAATAATAATTTTCCTTTTCTATAACGACATTTTAGGTATTTGAAGGGTTTGTTGGGTAAGATAAAATTTATATTGTGAATAATATAATTATTTTTCAAACTTTTTATTGAACCTAAATTATTAAATAAATAATATATTTTTTAACAATGGTAGTGAAACTAAGAAAATTAAATTCATGTGTGTTTCTTTTTTTTTTTTTGTGAGATATAAATGAAAAGGAAGATGCATTTTTTTTTTTTGGGAAGCCCATATTCACTTATTATTAAATTTTATACTGTTACAAGATTCTAATTGATAATCTATTTCGAAAAATCTCAAAAATTAAAACTTTTTAATATATAAAAATTATATTGATGAGATCTTTAATTTTAATTATTTGAAAAGTACAATCATTTATTTACATTTTAATTAATATTAAAAAGATGAGAATATATTACAAAGGACATTTCTTAAGGTCTAATTAGAAAAATTTTTAAATGGAGTTTCATGATAAACAACAGCTTTTACACTAGAATGAATTAATTAAGCCAAAAATCTGCAAAACAAAAGACTACAAGTATACAACTGCGGATTCAAAAGCCTGGCCCAAAAATATGGGCTTTATTTACTTTAAAACCCAAAAAAAATATAATTGTGCGGTGAGCGTGGATCGAACACCCGACCTTCAATCTTCAATCTGACGCTCTCCCAACTAAGCTATCCCCGCATATGCATTGAATCCCAAACCGTTCATTATCTGAGATAAGGGAGAATAATTTAACGAAATTTTCCTTCTTAGTATGCTATACCTTTGTGAACAAACAAAAATGAAACGTAATAATAAATGTAAGTTTTAGTTACTTCTCCTTAACCCCCAATCAAATAGAAGATACTTACTTTTCTCTCACACCATCTTATAAATCAAACACCAACTCTTATTAAATTCTTAGGGTTGATTTTCTATTTATAAACATTAGCCTAACAAGGTAGTACTTAGATAATACATTGATGAAATTCAAAATCTAACATCCATTTGAATATAATCTTCTATAATTTAAAAGATCTTATTTTTATTTTTATTTTTTAAGATAACAAGAGGATTACATTTTAGTGGCTAATAATAAAAATGAGTTTGATTAAGAACTACAGAGTCTGGCCTAATCCCTTTTGCCCTCAACTGACCAACCCCACCACTCCACTCACTGTTTCCTAATAGGTCTCTTTGAAGCATCTAAGAAACCCAACCCATCAACCTTTCAAACATGGCAGGCCAGCACTGTTCGAAAGCGACACATCGGCCACTGCTAAACGACGCATCGTTTTCTTTCTCAGAAATGCATCTCTCAAAACGAAGGAAAGCACAGCACAGTCCAGCCATGGAAAGGAAAGAATTCCCTTCCCTCTCTCTTTTTGCCCATTTCTTTACAGAAGATTAAACAAAACCCTCATTAACAATAATCGTGATTATAATATCACTAACTACAACAAATCACAAGCAGCAACATGGAGATCAAAATCTTGTATTATAAAAGGAAAAAAAAATTAAATAAATGAGACAATATTTTTTACAAAGGAGGATCTGTAACGAGTAGTTGATAATCCAGAATAATAATGATAAAGATCGATCATCAAGAAATAGTAGAGGAAATTAATTTCTCATCAAACACCATAAGTGCATATCCATATAAGATTAAGATAATTTTTTATCTTAACCTAATCTGATAATTTTCTCTTCTTTTTTTTTTTTTTAATCCGCATAATAATTAAGGGGGAAAAAAGAAAAAAAAAATTGTAACCATTTCTTTTTTTTCATTTAATAATCATCGTCGTCATCATCAAAGGCATAGAGCAGTGCATTGAAGATCATCACCAGCAAAGTCAACCTGATCCAACGGTGGAAAATTCAGATCGAACGGTAACGGCTTCCTGTATAGAGAAGACGATGATGCAATATCTCCATCGTCAACTACTGAAGAGGATGAATCACAATCGCTGTGACAATCTTCCGGCACCACCGGCGGGGTCCGAGGATGGTGTCTCTTGTGACCTCTCGTTACCGTCGCTAATAAAACACCTGATTTTGTTGTTGATATTGGTGGTAGCACCGTCGTTGGTGGCCGGGGACCGCTGAAGGACTCGACGGTACTACTCAAACTGCTAGACGTAGGTCTTTGAGGATTTACATGATGCTCTTGAAATGCATTTGATGAATAAATCCGGTGATCCATGAACGGGTCGGGCGGGTTTTGATAGGTGAAAGGAGATAAATTAGAAGTAGAGATAGGAAAATTGGTTTTAGCTTTCGGTCCACGAAGCGTACGAGCCGCCTTGTCGTAAGCACGTGCAGCGTCTTCTGCAGAATCAAAAGTACCAAGCCAAACTCTCGTCTTCTTCCATGGATCTCTAATCTCCGCAGCAAATCTGCCCCATGGTCTTTTACGAACTCCTCTATATCTCGGTTCTCTTCCGTTTAGGATTTTTTGTGGTGCAGATCCGTTGGTTTCCACGGCTTGTTTAGCATCTGCAGCCGCAGCGGATGTCACGGCGGCTCTTCCTCTCCTCATAGATTATTGAAGAAAGGAACACGAAAAGAAAGGTGGATTGTGAGAAAGAATGAAAGAAAAAAAACCCACAATCAAAACCAAATCAGCTTGATTAACAGAAAATCTTCATGTATGAAACAATCAAACAACCAAGAAAGACTAGAAAATGGAAAAATGGATTAAGAAGATGAAAGAAAGAACGAAAATTTTCTTTTATAAAAAAAATTGTTGGGTATGAGAAAGAGAAAGGGATATGATAAGAACTGAATGGGATAACACAACACAAGACCTTCTCTTGATAAAAAATTTTGGGTTAGTGTGTTCTTTCTTTCTTTCTTTTTTTTTTTTTTTTTTTTAAATCTTCATGTATGAAACAATCAAAACAACCAAGAAAGGACTAGAAAATGAAAAATGGATTAAGAGATTGAAAAGAAAGAACGAACAACATTTCTTTATAAAAAAAATTGTTGGGGTATGAGAAAGAGAAAGGGATATTGATAAGAACTGAATGGGATAACACAACACAAGACCTTCTCTTTTGATAAAAAATTTTTGTGGGTTAGTGTGTTTCTTTCTTTCTTTCTTTTTTTTTTTTTTTTCTTCTGGGCTTTGAAATGGCTTTTCCTTCTTTCTCACACAAAAGATCTCTTCTTCTACCTTCTCTCGCCCCCACAAACCCGACCACGATCATTGCTCTCCTATTATTTATTTATTTTTTTGTGAATTATTATTTATCAGTGTTCAAATAATCTACCGATTGAAAATGACTAAAAGAGTCCTTGACGCCTTTTGGTCAAAATACCAGACAATAAAAAAAAACAAAAGCATTGTGTTAGTGGGGGGAAGATAGCTATTAGCTAACATTTTTTTTTTTTTTTTTTTCTCTGGCTGAAATGGCTTTTCCTTCTTTTCTCGATTTCTCTACCTTCTCTCGCCCCCACAAACCGACACGGATCATTGCTTCTTCCTTTTATTTATTTATTTTTTTGTGATTATTATTATCAGTGTTCAAAATAATCTAGCCGATGAAATGACTAAAGAGTCCTTGAGCTTTTGGTCAAATACCCAGCAGTAAAAAAAAACAAAAGCATGTGTAGTGGGGGAAGATAGCTATTAGCTAACATGTTGATTTGTGGTGGGACAGGGTGGGATTTGGTTTGGATTGTGTGGCATGTGCAATTTCCTGATCTATCTTCATGAATTTTTATCTTTCTTTTTTTTCAATTTCTTTTCTTTTTATATGATTTAGATTATGGCAGGCTGATATTACCCATCTAGCTCTCTCCCATTTCACATTTACTTTTCTCAAACACCAATTAGGTTGTTTTTGCTTTTTTACTACTACTATTATTATTATTATTATTCCGTTATTCTTTATTAAATAAAACAAAACAAAACTTTTTTCATTATTTGAAATTCAATTTTCATTTATTAACAGTAATTTATAGATCCTATAGAAGCAGAACATAAATTTACTGTAATTTAGATTAAATATATATTGAATATTTAAAGTTAGAAAGATTTATAAAAAATTATATATGTAAATAAAAATAAATTGAAAACTACAAAATTTATTTAAAAATTTTAAATTATATTTTATATTATCGAATAAGAAATTAATAATTATTTAACAATTGAAAGAAAATGTAACTTTTATAAAATATTAAAGTAATTATTTGAATAATTTAACACAACAACTTGCAATTTTCTGGTTAAATTTAATTGGGTTATCCCTCAATCGAATAAAGCAATTTTCACTAAATTTGGATTCAAACAATTTTTAAGAGCAAAATGAGTTGTTTTTACTATTACTATATGATTCTGATTTCAATAAAAAATTATTTTTAATTAATTTAATTTATAAATTTTATTATTTTAGACAACTATTTTTTTCATGTACAATGATTAAACATTCAACATCTTATTTTAAAATTTTGAATTTTTTTCACTCAGATCAAGATTTGAGCGCCCTCTTTAATCATACAAGACTATGAGCAAAAATATTCAAATAAATATCTAAAAATTTAATAATCCCATTTACCATAAGGCCAACCTTAACAAGCCTAATTGTATATCAATTATATTAACTATTATTAACAAATTTTTACGTAATGGCATGATTTTAATTTTTTTTTTTTATTTCCCTTATTGGGATCTTGATATAGCATCAAACTTTAATTATTTTGCACATGAAATTATTGGATAAGACCAACTCATATTTTCCTCTATTAATATCACAATATGTGATATTTAATTACAAGTTATTAAAATGGATGAGACCAATCATATCTAATACTAATAATTTTCACTTTTTAGTTATATGTTTTCTTTCTAAATTCAAACTTATTAATATGTTCTTTGTGCATCACAAAAGGCATTTTGGTTTCTCCCTTTTTGCCAACAAGAAGAACTTGCTCCTTACATTCCCTTATTTTTCATTACTATAATTATTTTTTTTTTTTCCACCTTTCATTATAAGAATCAAACAATAAATTTGAATGCTATATTTAGATAATTCTAATAAGCAAACAAATAAAACCTTTTGCACTCAGCCCATTCATATACAAATTTTCATTTTCATTCCTATTGAAAATTTTAAAAATGCCGAAAAACACTTATAAAGGGACAACCACAAATTACAAAACGAGATTATTTTTATATTAAAACATCAGAAATATTTAAAAAAATATATATCTTTATTGAAGTTTTAAATTCTAATTAAATTTGTGACATACCCTAAATAAATAATTAAAAGAGAAGAAAATAAAATAAAGGAAGGTGACTCGGGAATTCCATGAAAGCATTGGTTGCCAATTTAATAGGGTGCATCATAGGATACTATTTCAAATTCTATATAGATGCACGCATCGCTATTTAAGACATTTTGAGACCAAATACCAAACCTTTGCACAACTTGCACGTATCACTTTCTTATTTAATATTTTATATTGCTCTTCGTCAATTAAAATTTAAATTATTTTCTTAATTATTTGAAAACTAAGATAATTATTTACATTAGGGTTCAAGTGTTAACAGGGACTCGGATTTTAGTATATAAATTCTGTAGAAGTAAATATTAATCTGTAAAAAAAAACTTATTAAAAAAAGATTTCTTAAAAATTAGAGGTTGAATCTATTTATAAAAAGGTCTAATTTTGGTAGCTAATAGTTGTTTTAGTAGTGTTAAACTGTTAGCTATTTGAATAACTTTTCATGAAACGTTAAAAGCTAAACGTTATATAAGTTAACTTTTCACGAAATGCTATGTTAATCCCTAAAAGCTAATTTAAATGATATGTTACCGAACACTATAAAAAATTAATTGAAACGCTAAACTCTATTTAAAAGTTTATTACCGAACACAACCTCAAACGGTATAATGTTTAATTTACTTTATAGATAGAATATCCCCAAGTCCTTCATAAATTTAACATCGATGGAGCTTCAAGAGGAAAACCAGGCGCTGATGGTATTGGTGAAATTCTTAGAAATTCAGATGGTACAATGATCTATTTATTTTTTGAGTTTATGAGTGTCATTTCCTTCATTCTAATTATACAAAGCTTCTCGCCGTCTTTAAAGCAGTAGATGTATTTTCTCTCTCGGACTTTAAATACTACCCTTTAATTATTGAATCAAATTTAAAAAATATTATATGTTGGGTATTTCAATAGGACAAACATCCTTAGAAGTGTTAGGAATATTTTAACAAATTTGATGCAATACTATAATCAACGGGTAATATCTCCTATTATTATGTGAATCGAAAGAGAAATCATTTTGTTGATAACTTGGCTAGAAAAGGTATAGATGTAACAATATCCTTTCTTGCTTGGATTTGATTTTTACTATTGAGGCTTTATGATAATTTCTTCAATTGTTCTTGTCTTGAGAATAGACTTCAATCTGATGTATAGTTTATCGAGTTTTTTCATTTAGTATTTCCGAAGTAGAATGAGTATAGTGAGGAGGTCTGATGGCCTGGATTTAAATGCTTGGTTGTATTAATTTTTTTCCGGATTTTAATAATAAAAGGAATTTATTGATTAAAAAAAAAGTCACGCGATTACATTGGTATCATTAAATGTATTGGAATGGGTATAGCCATTTATTTGAAATAAATTCTCAAAGAAAAGTTAATCTTATTGCTTTGTTCTTATAACCCCAAAACAATACTATCTCACTAAATAGAAAAAGAGCAGTTATTCTTAATTTTGGTTAACTATTCAATGGATTAAACTGTTTGTAATCTTAATTTTTTATTTAATTATATAATTACTTACTCTATATATATATAGCTCCGAATTTTGTAATAAAATATATACCTCACAGAAAACGAATTACATGTTAAATCCTTTTTTTAATAATAAATGCATAATAATAAAAATTTTAATATGAAATAAAAGTGAGTATTGGAATTCAAAATTCCTGAATAACATTTGCATTTCGTTTGTCCAAAGGGTGCTGCTTTTTTAAAGGGACAAAACAAATGGATTGGATTTTCACCGAAGGTACCTTAAAAAGTCAAAGGAAGTAAGCGTGTCTATGTTTCTTTTTGGCCAATGCGCTGATAATAATCATTTCGATGTGTGTAATTTATACCCATTTCCTTGAGAAACAAATCACCCAATTCACACCATATGCCAAGAAATCAGGCGGAGCTAATGAAATTTTTTAAAATTTTTAGAGGAGTTGAATATAATTTTTTATATTTTTAAGAATTAAAATATTATTTTTATAAAGAAACAAGACCCCTTAAGCTCTAAATGAGTTCTGCCCTAAAAAAATACATTCATTAGATGTTAAATGTTATGAGATTGAATCTTTTTAAATATGAGTAATAATGTTGGAAATAAATATTTAATTATTGTTTAGTCAGTAATTAATTTTTTTATTTTGTTATTTTCTTTAATATACATTGAAGGATTATTTTCCAAAATTTTTAAATATCAAAACCAAATGGTCCAATCCCATCTATAAAATGAGAGTAAACTTCCTAATTTTGATAGATGGAAAAGGCA